CCACATCGAGGACACGGGTTGCGTGGTACACCATCAAAATTGCGATTGTTGTTAGCGCGTGGTTTAACATATCCTATGATCTCATCCAGTTTTGCTACAAGTCGCTCAAAACTGCTCTCGAGAAACTGAAAAAGGTCGGTTTGCTGATTAGCTGCATCACCAGTGTTACTCTGTTTCACTGCGGCAATGCGAGGTTGAGGCATGTCTCTTCTCTCAGAGTGGTTAGTATCAACAGAGTAATACAGCGTTGCAAGAGACAGTGCACTTTCAAAAGTATCAGGCTGTTGCATGGTAACATGTTTGATCATGCTTTCATCGGTTAAACCGGCGAGAAACTGCGATTTCAAAATATCATCTTGACCAGCAATATCAAGATTTGGGTAAGCAAGAATAACAAGCTCTTTCAATTTGTTACCATAATCCCGTGGCGCTTCATTTGGCTTAATCCTACGACAATGAAATGTAGTACGATATGAGCTCGCATTTCCGGCAGGTTTGAAATAATGATTAAAATGAGCCACAATATCACGATAGCTAGTACGTTTCATATCTGGTAAATCTTTCAACACATTTAGAGCTTGACCTGTCATGCAAGTAGCCAATTCTAATCCTGCAGTGTCGTCATCCCACTGATTATAACTGGTAACCAATTCAAAATGGCATAAATAACTGGGCCACGTCATGACAGTGGATCTATCGAAATACATTGGCTTTTTGGCATTTCTTGCCATCATCGTAGCATTAGCTGTGCTATTGAGAACACTACGGCTAACATTGGCATTTGAGACACTACTAGCGCTCACTGGAGGAGCTGATTGTGTAGCCACTGTAACCATTTTCGGCCTAGTACTAAGTTGCCTTCTGACATTTGTGCCCTCATTACCATTATCATTCAAAAAAGGAATTGTAGGTGCAAGGTTACTCACATGACCATTCTCCAAAAATTTCACTTCTAATGTCTGTGAGAACGCGTTCCGCTTCCCTTCTGGCTGTCCATCTTCTGATCCAAAATCAGAAATTTCATCATGCTTGAGAACAGGCGCTGCTTTTGGAACAACCGTTGCGGGTGTTGAAGTGATCAAGCTGACATCTGGGACATGTGACATGGGCTGAGTTTCTTCAGAATCAACAACTTTTCCTGTTTTAACCACGCCAGAAATATCTTGCAGCATGTTGTAAACATGTTCAAAAGATGAGCCAATTTTCGCATTCTGGAGTTCAACTGATTCTAGTTGACTTCCAATCTGTTGCACACGACTGTCTATCAGTTGCAAACGGCTGTCAGTCTCCTCTTGCTTTTCCTCTGACTCCCTCAATTTCGCCTTCAATACCTGTATTTGCAGATGCAAAAGTTCATTCTCCTCTTTGGCTTCCTTTGGTGCCGGTACAATCTTTCTTCTCTTAACCATTTTTCCAAAATATCAGGCAACCGCAATTGAAAAAAAAATTCGGCAACCTCAAATGTCCAATATTGTCCAAATATTATCCGTCACAGACTAGCCTACCTAATCGGCTTAGTCTTAATAGTCCCTGTGTCAAATAATATATCCTGGCGTGTGCTCGCCAAAAATTCGTATATGTGGCGTACCAAAATTGATATCACCACTCAGGTTCTTTCTGCCAGCTTCTTGGACACTGAAGTTGCAATAGATGTCGATCACAAAATAATCTTCTTGCGGTTCCAATTACAGCAGAGTAACTAAGTTAACTAACTAGACTAATTATACACCTGTAAGAACTTAATACAACCAAATACTCCAATCAGAAATACAATAAACAAATAAAAACATGAAAAACACAGTACAAATACCGTAGGATACATACGTAACACAAGATACGGAATTAGTCTATGACGTCACAGTCATGAACTATTTACTTATAATGGGATACTAAAAACCGGGTAAAACATACCTAGATATACATAAGAATAACTAGTATGACACTAAAAATACAACACAAATCCTATCTTATCGACAAACACGTAATAGACATGGAAATCACACAGGAAATAAACTGCGAAAGTAGACTAGTTACGGAAGTGGTAAATACAAGCTAACTAGAAAACAGAGCTATGCCAAACTGGAGAAATAATAAACCTGTACTACTAATATCATTTTACAACAAGAATTACATAGATTTACGGCATTAAAACACTATAATAATAACCTAATATACAGAGGAAATATCTACACTACCGGCAGTCTGACAGACCAGCAGAAAGAGAAAGTTACACAGCTGCTCACTAATGACTCAAGTGTTAAGAATAAATATTGACATACAAAATAAAACAGAGTTATAGACGTGGTCGTCTCAATATGACAACAGTATAGCCTTGAAATATGGCAAAGAGGCGGAATTAAAAAATGACATTATTTATAAGCAGGAGCGCAGCAAGGATTCTTAAGAGGGAGGTGGTTCAAAATTGGAATCGGAAATTTCCGCGCAACATTTTTTGCGATTAAAAAAACTGATAACGAGATTTCTGTTGCGTAAAATATTCAATCCATGTCCATGTCCACATATTCAATCGTTACTCACGTTTGATTCGAGATTACTATTAGGATTACTAAAATGAAAGCATACTATTCTAAAATAACATAAAATACGTGATAAACTGCCAACTATAAATAAATTGGAGTCGTATTTTTGCGATCTTGGAATTTGTCAAACTTGATTCGTTCTTTCGCACTTAAGATTATTTTTAAGCAAGATATCGCCGTTTAAAAAATCGCAATGTCTGGGCAAAATACGAACAATTGAAATTTATTTTATTGCATTCGGCTCCGTTGGTAGTTTCAGAATGAAAAAGGGTACATCGCGGATCGCGCGCATAATTGATTGCGTGCGGCTCCGTCGGTAGTTTCAAAATGGGGAAAAAAGGTACATCGCGCGCACAATTGACTGTGTTTCGATTTCGCAGTTACTACTACGATGAAAACCTAACATAACACCAAATTTTGTGATTTACAATGTCTATAAAGGCGTTTTCAATCTGAGGCGAGTCTGCTGAAACCAAACGTGTGATCTTCCATTTTAAGTTTTAGTTTTAATATTTTAGAATGCCGCTTTTCAATCAAGAAATGGGAGTTGCGGATTTACCTCTTTATTAATTATTATTTTTAGCATTTCATCGTCGATGACTATAATATGGTAACATATTTTTCACATTCAACTGATGATTCCCCACGAGAACAAAAAAGCAATTAACGTCGTCATTGTGTAACAATACATGTATATGCCGATCGACCCCTAATTTATTAGTATGTTTGTCAAGTGTCAAATTTACAGCTTTAGTATATATATATAATTTATGCTTACAATTTAGTTTTATTTATGACTTGCATCAACCCTATTAAAAAAGGTTCAGCATTTAAATTGGGTAAAGTACTTTTAACTTGCTCAGGAATATTAATCTGAAAGTAACAATTTTAACATTTATTTTGGGGCTCCGTGAATAATAGTCAACCTTTTCAAGGGCTCCGCAACACCAAAAGTTTGAGAACCCCTGCTTTAGGCAACATATTAGTGATATCACAATTTAACATTTGAAGTTTTAAGACATAGGGGTTCATCTATTGTGTTTAATCACTAACGCTTTGTAAATCACCGCACATGGGTTTGCATTCTATGATTATATGCGAGAAGACTTACATATTTATATACTACTCAGCATCGCGTGGTGGGTTTCTAAATACCCGTTCCGCCTTGAGGTTGGAATCCAATTTCATGTAGCCAACGATAAATTATCTTATCACATCACTTATCACATGTACTGGTGAGTTTAAAAAAAACGGTGATAAAGCGCATTGTTGGCAATATTCTCCACTAGAAAATCTATCAACATTTTTATTCATTCCTATATTTCCCTCTCAATTTTCTACTCGTATTCGACAAAACATCCTATTCGACTACTAAAAGTTTGAATATTACCTCCAACTTTAGTTAGCAGTCGCTCAGTCTTCCACTTTGGCTAGCCATTACCCCAGCATTGTAAATATTGTTGTTGTGTGGTGTCCCGGATGCACAATTGGATCTGAGATTAACCGATTATCTATTCAGGCGCTGTCCATTGCTAACTATGCGTGAGGGGATTACCGCGACCCCAGTCGGTCGTGTTACTAAGCATCGACTACCAACCAACCAAACAAAGCAGTAACCTGATGTTAACGATTCCCATAATCGAACTGGAATAGAAATCGAAAGAGTAGTTTGGTTCGCAACTTGATCAAGCTGTCTCAACTCCCCGTATTTAATATCTCTAACTATATAAATTTCGGACCTCCTGAAGTATGCTCACCAAGATGGCGCACAACCTGAACTCAGGTTGTGTACCAGGTTAGGATTCAGGTTGTGTGACATCTTGGTGCGCATACTTGAGGAGTACCAAAATTTCTTTATAAAGTTTTTATACAAACAAGAGTTAGATGATTTCCACGTTCACAGACAGCTAGATTTTGAGATAAAAATGTGTTTTTTTCCATTGCACTTACTATTTCCTTGTTCACGAATCCTGCGATCCAAGCCTAAACACCAATTCAGACATGGCGCGGCGGTGTGGCTCAACGGGCTAAGCGTTAGGAATACGCTCCCCACCGCACCTCTAATCACTCTGCGTGGGTTCGCAGGTTCGAATCCCATGCAGGGATGGTTATGTGCGAGAGGATCGCTGGACTCCTCACCGTCGTTGGGGTGGTTCACGTAACCGCTGGTCGGTTACGGCTTCCTCCACCACCAAGTCCATGCTTCCGAAAACAAACAATACAGTAAAACTAATCCCATATATACCCGACTTGGAATGGTAACCAGACGAGAGGCCGTGGTTCGCCATATGGATAAGCCGTCTTATCGGCTTTTCTCTCCCCCGGGATAAATATGTAAAATCCTATCCTATCCATGGCGAACGGACAAGAAGCGATGGTTGGTCATATGGATATGCAGTCTCTAATTCTCAGTATCGTTCATTTCGACTTGGATATACATAACAAAGTTAGCCAAAAAAATATCCATATACCTTTGTATATTCCACAAAACTAGAGCAATTTCATACAAATCAAAATATTGCAAAAAAAACAAGAGTAAAAATAAATTACAACCAATGCACCATGCATAATTATCAACGCATATCCTTGAATATCTTATTCCGTTGCATTTTCCTTTTTTGTTCAAATTCAAGAACAGGACACCATTACATGATTTGAAAGAAGCATCTGATAAATAACACAGTTTATAATATGTCCCAAATTGGCTTCTGGTTAGTTCATTATCGAGTGAATACTTATGACTTTGCCTTTTATAAATTTTAAGTTAAAGAAAAATAGGCAAGGCAAATGTTTTATTATCACCAACTCACCGATTTTGGCGCTTACGACATTTGCACCACCTCTAATTGTAGCAGGAGGCTGGCCAAGTGATTCAACTATTTCTAATCGAATAAAAAAGATTTTGTAAATTTTAGAAACCATGCGTCCATATGTGTCTTACAATCCATCTCATGGAAAGAGATCTCATGAGAGATTATACTGAAATGATAATCAAGATTGAAGCTATCATATATTTTCAATCTATCTTTGTATTTTTGACAATGTATGCTATAAAATGTTTCTGAAAATTTGAAATTCGTGTATATTGGAGTCAAGCTTTTGGTTAGCCATGTCTTTGATGAAAATGAACCAAACAAAAAATCTCATCACAATGGCCAGTATTATCGGCAGATAATGGTATAAAAGCATCACTACCATCGAAATATTGTGCTTATCTCTGTGCTTGCTGGGGCTGCATGGCATGCTGCCTTCGGAAAGCAACAACAAAACCTAAAAGAAGCGCTACAACAGTCATGACATAAATATCCCAATCATCACTTATATAATCGTGAATACCATATGTTCGTACAACTTCAGTCCATTGCAATTGTTTTAAAAACTGAATACCATATAATATACCAACTTTCATCAATGCAAGCATGACAGGGGCTTGTGCATCAGGACTAGTCTCTGCAGCAAGATCATAATATCTCTTTGCGAGATGAAAGTCTTGTTTTAAACCCAGGCCTTGTTCATGCATGTATCCCAGGTTAAATGTAGCTTGAGCATCTTTACCCTGCTCAACAGCTACTTTGTAATGGGAAGCAGCTGTTTCAAAATCTACTTCAGTGCCATATCCATAATAGTGGTAGTCACCCAACTTTATTCTTGCTGTCGTATATCCCTGTGATGCTGCCCGGTTCCAGTATACCAGAGCACGAGGATAACTTTCATTTAGCAAAAGATTTGACTCCTTTTGATCCAAAATATGGGCAACGTTACTCTGTGCAACTTCGTATCCCAGTTCTGCTAACATGAGATAAATAACAAGAGCTGAATCAACTCTACCAGCTTGATATTGATGATAAGCTGCATCAAACAATGCTGACCATCTTCCTCTCTCGCAGACATTTTTATACAATTCTACGGCCATATGACAACGGCGACCGACACCTGTACCAGTAGCATGCATTTGGGCCAAATTGTACACAGCTAGTAAATGACCAGATTGAGAGGCCAAATTAAAATATCTAAGAGCTTGCTTGTAATCTCTTTTCACCCCAAGTCCGAGAAAATACATATTGCCAAGTTGTAATTGCCCTTCTACATAGCCCTGGTCAGCAGACAGCTGGAAGTACGTGAATGCTTTTTTGTAGTCCATTGGAACACCTTTGCCCAGTAAGTGCATGGTTCCTAAGCCTGCTTGACCAACCGGGTTGCCTTGCTCAGTTGCCTTTTCAAAGTATTTTAATGCTGTCTCATTATTTTGTTTTACAGTGTTTGACCCCTCGGCATACATTTTTCCCAAATAGGCTTGGGCATTGGCATTGTTTGCATCTGCAGCAAGTTTAAAGTAAGCATAAGCTTTGCCTACATTTTGTTCAAATCCTCTTCCACCTTGGTAATTGAGTTGCCCCAGCCCTACTTGTGCTTGAACATCACCTTTGTCAGCTAAGAACTGGTAATATTGCACAAGATCTTCATCGACACGGCCTGATCCAGTTCCAGCATTTTCTATTTCATCCAGTATTCTTATCCTATGTATCATTACACCTCCACTCATAGTGACACCAGAAGCAACTTCATTTGCAACTTTGCGATAATATGACAGAGCGCTCTCACAATTTCTTGATACCCCAATACCTGTCCAGTATCTGTAACCAAGCATCATTTGTCCCATGGTATCGCTACCAAGGGCAGAAAAAGTAAGATAGATCAATGCTTTAGCTTGACTTGAATTGGTGTGAACACCAGTACCATATAAAAAAGCAAGTCCCGCTTGTGCTTGAGGGGATCCCTTCTCTGCTTCGGACTCAAAAGTTCTTTTTGCCTTTTCAATATTCATAGGCAAATATCGACCATGCATTTCAGCAAAAGCAATCTCAACTTTAGATTTACTGTGACCCATTTTAGCTGCTTCTAGCAATTGCTGATAACCATCATAAATTGTATTATAATGATGAGAAGAATTCACTTTTTTCAATCCCTCATTGTATAAAGTCTCCATTTTGATTTCCTCCTCAGTAAGTGGAAGGGGAATGGGTTCTGGGTCTATATCTTGTTGCTTTTCATGTACATAAGAAGTTCCTGTTTTGTCGAAGTTATTAGAGAATGGCAATCCATCAGAATTAACCTTTTTTGCACCAGGGTCAATTTTGGATGCTGCTGGTTTATTTTTCGAACCATCAAAACCTAACTCATGACTGATTGCTTCTTTCAATTCCTCTTTCTCCTTAATGTACATTCCTTCACTTTCATCGTCTTTCTCTTCAACAGATGATATCTCGGTGGGAACCTCTTTTTGATTAATTTCAGTGGTAGTTTTAACAGGCGCTGGGATTTGATTATGCTGCTCCTTGACAGGTTTTGGTATATTGGATCCTTCTATAGGCCTACTACGTTTGATATTTTCAACATCTTTTTCCTCTTTCAAAAACATTTCTTCTATACCAGGAGAAATAATTTCATATTCGTCTGGGTTGATATCATCAGGTCGATAAGAGCTTGCTTTGAAATTTTCGGGTTCATCGGGTTCTGAATCATCGTGTAGTTCAGAATCATCATCATTGTTATCATATGAAACATCTGGATCTGATTTCAACTTATGTGAGGGTGGAGATTTGACAAAACTATGCAAATTTTCTGCTTCGTCGGTCAATTTTTGTGAGTTTTCCGATGTATCATCACCAGTTTTCTTTGTTTCCATTTCAATTTTACACAGTGAGTTTCCAATGCAAAATGAAAGAAGAACAACAAAACATTTCATTTTGTTCTGTGATTTCATATTGATAATAAACATTGAATATTACATAGAATGCTATAAGGTAATCAAAAACAAAACGGGATAATGAGCTGAAACTCTGCACACAGTAATATATTTTCTTGAAGTAATATATCTTTTAACATCTATGACAGTGGTTCCCAAAAGTTTTGTTCGTATGATGCCAAATTATCAAGGGAAAAAAACTTGTGGCGCACTTACACAAAATAAGAAAGTAAATGACATAGAAAGGTATAAAATAAATTTATTGATTCATATAAGCATCTTTTGAAATAAAAACAATAAAAAATCTATAATAAATAAAATATTCAATCATATATTGGTTATATATTTAACACAATTCTGTTAATTTTTCAAGGTGCACTTACAATCACCGCTCCCTCTGGAAACCACTGATCTAATAATTTCGTTTCAGTGTGCTTGAAGGAGAATATGTTTTGAATTAATTTTCATGACTAGTCGGATAATTTATTTGCAACAATTATAGGTGCATAAAAAATATGATAAAGCGCCTTATGTCAGTCAGTGAGTAGTTTATTTATCACATGCCGAAAGTACACAGTAGACAAACATAATTAAGATAAAAAATATGTTCCAGTGTGAAGGGAAACTCGATAAACCAGTGATGGTTATCGAGCAGCTTCAACCATCTGCCCATGAGTCTAACATTGAAACCTTCTAAGAAAAAGTCGAACAAAAAATACTAACAACAAAAGCCAGGCTTATCCCATTGAATCTAATTATAAAATATACCATATCACTAGGAAAATTATATCACTAACACGTAACGTTAACAACCAATGTTTAGGGTAGCAGTACCGTACCCATTGGCATTGTCAGATTGCAACTAAATATAAGTATAGTATAAGGATATAACTAACACTATTACCTCAAGGTCTTCCAAACTCTGAACATGAGTGTGCATGACAGCATGATGCCATTTTGTAGTATCGACGCAGCAGATAACATTAGATTATAAGAGCTGCCTGCTGTGGAAGGACACATCAGTCGTTCTCACAGCAAATAAAAATATACCATTCGTCCGTGGGCGCAAGAGACCTAAAATTGATGCCATTTGCTGTCGCCAATGATAATGTATAAACATCTTCTAATCCAGTGGTCTTCAAAATTTTCATGACGCGACCCCATTTCAAAAAATTATGACGTATGATAAGCATGGCGCCCCCAAAGTATATGTATTGAAATGGAAAAAATAAAACCAATAAAAATTGATCACACATTTAACCAATTGCTTCTCTTCGCAGAGCTTTTGAGATTGTGGCATAATGTAGCTTAAGCTTCTTATCGATAGAACTTTTTGATAAACAGCGCATTTCGTTTGGCACTAAACCATGCTTTAAAAAAAGATTGATCACATGAACTATTCTTTTATGTTTATCAGCCATTTGTGAAACTTAGCAAACAATAAAGCAAAAGCAACGGTCATAGTCCATTACAGTAAAAACACTGCAACTGTTTACTTTAAAATTCAAATTATTGTCGTTACACAATAGCCTTATTATAGAGATATTATTCTAATTCAGAATATCGCTAGTCGGCCTAGTGAAGTGTAGACTGCACACTGTTGTGTATCAGCTCATTCTTTTTCACACGAACCCATTTGTGATAACATGTCATAATTACTTTCTCGTAATTACTCATTGTCTGCATGCTTATTATTCGTGTGAAATGTATAGCGTTAGAACTGTGTTATACTGACGTTTTACTTATAATAAACTGTATTATTTTTGTCTACTGGCAATTTGGTAATATTCAAGACATCACACACACAATAAAATAATAACAAAAGAAAACATCGCCGGACACTCTGCGACCCCATAAATATTTAAGGCGACCCCACCTAGGGTCGCGACCCACACTTTGGTGACCACTGTTCTAATCTATGGTATCTTTTTCTATATACGATTCGTTAACAATATATTATACCCTGCCTACTAATTTATATATAAATGGTGACGGAGGAAGCCGTAACCGGCCACTTGTTACGTGTACCCTTCTACGGCGATGTGGGGTCCAGCAATCCTCTTGAATGTTGTGTTGTTGTTTTATAAGTTGTTATATTCGTGTACATAAGAGACTTCTGCCTGCCACACAAACTTGCCATCACAATGTTTTTTTTAGTCTGCTATAACCTAATTTGATGCATCACAATAATAAATGTTCGGGCAGAATATCTTGCATTTCTCATACTAGAAATAAAAAAAGTATGTGTCACAAATTTTATTATCAGTGTGTTTTGGATTAGTTTGTCTTTTTATATTTGCCTATATTCTTTTCGAGGACCCTTAATTTGAATATAATTCATCCGAGTTAGATTACTTTGAGACTCCGACCACCATCGACTCCTGGGGAAAAAAGAGCTATCCGCCTCTTCTCCGATCGCCGCGCTGGAGGTCGGACGTGTTTTCCTGTGTTCTCTGGCTTGTGATGTTTTAACTGTGAAGTAGCCTCATAATAAACCACAAATCCGGAATCGGAGTCTTCTGATTCTTTCAACACACAGAATAAAAACCTATCTGTGACATATGCATACAAGGACCAGTTGCGAGCGTCCTAAATTATAGAGGGTCAAACTGGAGATCCAGTATCTCTAGCCTATATAACGAATAAATTAAATGGTGTGTAGGTTATGTCAACGTAACCGGGACCATAACATTGATTCTTTTAACGACTTGGGATGAGAGAATTAAAAAACGTTGTGCTTTATCTTGTAAAAGTGGCGGAGGAATCTTATAAGTGTGGTACTGAAGCAGAGTTGGATCAATTACATTAAATCAGTTCAATTACAATTGCAATTATTCCCTTAAATATTTTAATTACATTACAATTACTCCGTGCAAGCATCTTGCTGATTGGCGAATGTTACGAAATAAAAAAGGAAGTCGATTCTCGTAAAACGCCCCTTGCATAAATATTTATAAACATTTAACATAATAGTGAAGCTTCAACCCTCTTGTCATTTTCAAATTAGCTAAATTTCGCTCGTGATTGAGTAACCAGAGTTCACTTACACAAAGAATAATGTCCTCCATGTAACACGAAGTAGGCTATGTGATCGTTTTTATTCGTCCTATTTGAACTTGTCTAGAAGCAGAAAGTGATATTGTTAAGACTGCTTTGAGCGAAGGTTCAAACAAACGCCAGTACAACAATCGGATTATTAGCAACAGCGATTGAAGCCATTACGAGCTGATTAATTTAAAAAGAAAAAGAAAAAACAATATGAATATATACTATTCATTTTGTTTTACATGTAAACCAGTCGTAATGTCTTCTTCCCCGCAATCGTTTACTCGTTAGCTCAGTTGTTTGGAGCGTATCGCTATGCACTATATCTATCTTTCGAATATAGGGGCCATGTCATACGCAACAAGACGTTTACAGTCTTTGGATAAAATCATGACTGCGAACTCTGAACTGACCTCTCAACTGCAAACTGAACAGTAGATTGATATGTGAATGGATTTTTTTTGTACAATAAAAAGAGGCAAAGACTAGAGTAATTAGTTGAACTTGAGGTAACCGTTCTGATTAAATAAATTATATGCCCATTTAGGCGGTGTGCCCCTGACTCAGGGATACGACCTGGCATTAATCAATAAGTACAATAGAATGTATATATATATATATATATGTTGATTTTGGTCAAGAATAGAAACCAAATATGTAAAGTATCATCATCTTGGGAGGGAATATATCAAGATGTGGTGTACAGAAAAACTTTAAACTCAAAAAATTTCATCAACATTTCAAATATATATCGCAAATGACTGCATATAAACTGAAAGTAAACTATGGATTAGTCCACTAAAAATGTTTCAATTCATGTTTTGTAGTGAAGGTTTTGTGACAACTTCTCTTTACCTTCTCAACGTCATGGTTTCGCGGGAATCGACTAAATATAAACAATTATGGTATTTCAAATGTAAATTCACGGCATGCAGTATATTTAAATTAGTAACAAAAAGGTACAGTGACTTAATTGAACATCATGCAGACAGAGCATTAAGACTAGGTTATGAGTTAAGAGTTTGCATAGAAGCCTTGGGAATCAAATCAGATTTTGCTGATATTAAAAATAAGATCCTCATTCTTTAACACTTTTAAATGTAAGTTTATGCGAAGCGCATGTTCACAGAATATTGATAACAGGGTAAAGAATTTACTAATTTTCTTACTTTATATCGCATGTGCTCATGTCAAACTCTGGACGCCCATATGCGACCCAATGTGCAAGTTGTCGTCCTGCTCCGCCACTCTAAAAAAGGGTAAGGTAGACCGTGAAAATCACTCACTTTTAATTTGCTAGATTATTGTCGCTGTAATATATTGGATCATTTTAATGCCTATTTTGGAGGTATTAAATATGAAATCCAATTACATGCATGAGTGGATAGATTTTGATCATTAAAATTGTACCTATTTCGTTGTGCAATTGAGGAATATAAGTCATGAAATACAATTTTGAACATTTTCAGGCTAAAATATTCGATGTTAGTGGGATAAAAACTGTACCATCATCATCCCCCCGCCGTTAAATGAGGTTCCATTGAAAAATCCTTTGACATCTGTAGATTCTCCCATCAACGGATAGCCATCCGGAGTGAATGAATCTTGAAAAAAATAAACGATAATTAGGATTGCTAGTAATTTTTTATACATATATATATCGTTTACACTTTTTGTATTCAAATTTTAAACGGATTTCACACTTTGCATGATACGGCTTTAATTTAATTATTTGGTGAGCGTTGACGAAGAGCCTAATGACAACATACAGACAAAGACTCGAAATAAATAATAATGTTTATTATTTTGAATAATTAACGAAACAAAATTTATACCTGGCCCACAAGTTATTGATTCAAAACCAGCTTTCTTTATGCAAGGCAGCAATTCAAAAGCCGATTTAACATGAGGTTCGAACTGCAACCAATCAGAATTAGTGAAGCTGAAGGCGAAGTTTTCTGGAACCTAGTCATGATATCCCGTCAGTTATAACATAATACAAATTTGTATTATCATAGCGAATCATTTTTGTAATGCAGAACAATCGACGATTTAGGGAAGGGATACAAAACGTAGCAAGGAAGGCACACCAGTCATAACTTTTTTAGTCGTGACTTCTAATATTAATTGGTACAAAAATTTCTAAAGAACCTTGACGTTTTAGTGTTTGCCAACAGCTATCACTCACTGAATTTGATCAAAGTGCTTAACGCAGAGCACTATACTCAAAAATGGATATATTTTGCAGCACTTTTTAAACTTTCTTTTTTCACAAGCTGTAGCCAATGTTATCATTTCGAAGGCATCATAGGATTAGCGTGCCCGATCCGGATTTGATTTATTTAAGCTGCTTCATTGATCAATCCATTTTTCACTGTTTAATATTTCATGACATATGTAATAAATGTGTTGGCCATGTCGAGGGAGTCACTCACAATAAAAAATTGCTCTTAGTCACGATGAAAACATGATGTAAAAATAAAAATAAATTGTTACTTTGGGTCAACATGGTATTAAATACAGTTCTAACTAATCAATATGAGTCAAAACAAACTCGCCTTTTTAATCTCTATCGGATTCTTCTCATGACCACCAAAGAGCAATGTGCTACCCTGGTTTTTATAATACCTTCCACATTGTAGGTCAAATATATGAGGCGTATTCTCGATTCCGGGAATTTCTTAAAAAAGTAACTCGCTGATTGTGATAAAAACAAGCTTTCGGCAGATCAAAGAAAACGTCATCTGCTACATACCATTTAATATGAACAACATTTTAAGACGTCATGCATAACCCAAATCTATTCCAAAAAACTTTCTTACTTTATAGTCCTGCGAATCGATTTATGTAACAACAATTAACGTCAAATATAAAAATTACAGATATACAATTACAGAGGTCTCGTACAAATCGCCAAATCTCATGAATTGCATGGTTCAGTACTTATATGCAAATTTTGATGTCTCGTTTTATTGTCTAATACTAAAAATGACTTGAATAATCGAATTAAATATATAATAGGCTGCATTGGAACGATCCACTTCACAGGAGCTTACCGAAGTAAAAATTTGAGCAACAATGTTCTGACATTTTATATTAAAAAATAGGTTTCATTCAAAAAATTGCCAATTACAATGTAAATTCCAATAGACAATGTCTCGCGAGTGTAACAATATACATATATATACATTTCTATATATATATTATTTACCTTGAGTGACAGCATAACATCTTTTGTAAGTAACGTGTGGCAGCTTCAATCCAACCATCTAAACGACAAATACTTCAAAGTGAGTTACTTGAAAATTTCGTATACCTTACTTCTTTTATTACGCATCATATTGCTACTTTTATACTCAAAAATGCCCAAGTATGTCCCATAAAAATGATTGATGAACATCACCGTGGTGTTTTTGTATATTTGAACGATGATGTATCTAACGTATCCCTCTCTTAGGTCTTAAGATTTTCTGTCCGGCAAATCGCGTTCGATATCTATCACTATCACACGTGTCGTGCATCGTATGTATAGAATGATCAAGTCTACAATACGCGCATTATACAGGGTGTCTCAAAAGTAAGTATATATGCACTTTTAATTTTGATTTGCTTTTCAGGTACTCAGGTAGAGCGTTCATTTCTTTAGGAAACATAGTATGGATGAGTAGTAAAATCTAGGTACTGTTTGCATTTTCCAACAACCCACAGAATGACAATAAGATTAACCCAAGGAATGAGGTGAAAAATTGCTGTTTTACAAGAGGCAAACTCAGCTCCTCTTTAACTAAGAATTTTGAATTAATTTGCCTCCTAAGACGAACAATGTAAGCAATTCATCATAAATTTATGGAAACTGAATCCGTGGTTGGTGCACAAAGACCAGGAAGACCAAGAATCGGACTCTCTGAGAAAAACGTTCAGAGCTGGATTAATTTCAAATTCCTATATGACACTAAGTTTGTCTTATTGATTTATATGCTCTTGCCAAACAGCAACTTTGCATCTCATTTTTTTAATCAATTTCCTTGTCATTCAGTGGGTTGTTGGAAAATGCAAACAATACCTAAATTTTACTACTCACCCATACTATGTTTCCTGAAGAAATGAACGCTCTATGATGAGTATACCTAAAAAGCAAATCAAAATTAAAAGTGTATACTTACTTTTGAGACACCCCGTATAATTGAGTTCACGGAGCCATCAAATTATTTGGATACAAAGAATAGCCTGGCTACAATTTGTATAACGGACTATAAAAATATTAATCATTACCTCTGCAATATCTGAAGCCCATATCCCGGAACAATTCACGACTTTGTTGGTCTTAATTATTCCTTTATCGGTCTCTACAGATTCCACTTGTCCACTCCGCGATGTTTCAATATTTTTGATCAAACATTGCTCATATATCTATAAAAACATGTTGTACGAAAATAACTGAAGTTATATATCACAACAATCGATTTACTAGTTGTATATGTTTACCTCAACCCCGTGTTTTGTTGCCGCCTTCTTCAATGAACTGCAGAGAATGCCCGGATCAATTGACCCATCACGGGGTATGTAAACTCCACCGACAAGCCCCTTTGTGTTCAAATGAGGATGCAATTGCGATATTTCTTCAACGCTGACGAGGTGGGACGTAACACCGCAAGCGGTTCCAATCTAAATGTGTATAACTTAACAATAAATCAATATATAAAACGTATTTATCGGGTAGAATTTTTTTCCGCCCAATTGGTCTGAAACAAACTCACCGAACTCATTTTCGCCAGAGCGTTCAATTCACTCGACTTTCTTGTAACAAATATTGCACCTGTCTCCGTAAAACCAGATTCGACACCTTCACTCGGAAGTATATTTGTCAATAAATCAACAGTTTGAACTTGCATCGTTGTCCTCGCGTAAGAATTGCTAAGATTTTGGAGTATTCCTTTGAATATTAAGATATGAAAAAAATAAGCCCTATGCCAATCTGCGGTCATATATTAAAGTTTGAATTTTATATTGCTATGCATATACAAACCATTTTTTTGTCGAATGGGCGGGCATCTCCGAAACGTTCAATGAATGCTATAAGTACGCCTATTTTAGAACCTGTTCGATGACTACAAAAGATGAAATAAGGGCAGTTTATCACGGTCTGCATGGTCTTTTTACGAACCCCTTGAACTAGATACAGTTTGAGATGAATAATCACCAGAAGTGAATGAGAAAATGAAACTTCCATATGATAGAGACCATGCATAGACGATCATCATTACACATCTGATTGTGAAAAGCCACATGTCAAAACGTTTGTCTTTTGTGATTAAACCTCATTGCATCGCACAGTTACAAAGATAGGTACATTTCATGCTGAAGAAGACCAACGACCTAGAAGTTACAACATTTTTACCAAGTAGATTAAATTTTATATTACTCGGATTTTTTTGCATTCGCAATTTATTTACTGAAAATCACCACACCCCAATTCAGTAGATGAACAATGTTCACAACTATGATACAAAAAATATTTTTAATCGGTTACCTCCAGTAATCCCCGTAGTCCCCGAGCCTATTTTTTCTTTTTCGACGAGAACGACTTTTCCTATTTCCAACTTGGCAAGATGATACGCTGTACTACATCCTATGACCCCTCCACCAATAACAACGACATCGGCCGATTCTGCAATGTATATAAAGATTAGGGCCCGACCGATACTGCCTTTTTGAACCGATACCGATACCGATAGTTTTTTAAAACTAGGCCGATAAGCCGATGTTTCCTCACCTACAAATATGGCTACAAGTAACAAGCAACACTCTGAGAATATTGTGTTTTTCTTGGAAAATAAATGAAATGTTGAGCTCATGCAATTGTGTACGTGGCAAGAAAGAACACTTATTGTAAATTTGTAAGGGCAGGAAGCTTATGAATCTCAATAGATCCAGTTCAACGTTCTCAGATGTAGTTGAGCAGAGTTTTTCTGCATTGGTTTCAATGCTTTTCTGCATTGGCTCCAATCATACTTGCTCCTGTGTTTTGCTTTGAGATGGCTCTACAAATTATACCCATCTTTCTTTTTAAATCGGCGGAACCTTTCGACTTAATAATGATAAGCATATTTTACAAATTACGCCATCATTATGGCACACGAAGTATTGCCATACTTTGCTCTGACCGCTAGAACCAGCCATCTATTGCATATCAATACAAGAAGTTAAATCGCGCCTTGAACGAGGCGCAAGGGGAATCCAAGGCCGTGGAAAGTGGAAACGGCGAGAATTCTTTATTAATCAACGTATATTATTTGACACAAATAAGTCGTTCACATGTTTCTCTCGCTTCAATTAGCAAGGCCACCACGCTCGCTTACAAAGAGTTAAATCCCGTGCCATACGTCCGTTTTGGATAAGAGAAACATAGTCAAAAGAATTCTTTATCAACCAACGTAAATTATTTGACACAAATAAGTGGCTCACGCGTTTCTCTTGCTTCAATTTGCAAGCCACCACGCTCGCAAACTCGTATACGAAGTGTTGAATCCCGTGCCGCCGTACGTCCGTTTTGGATAAGAGAAACTCGTCATAAGAATTCGTTATTAATCAACGTATATTATTTGACACAAATAAGGGGTTCGCGCGTTTCTCTCGCCTCAATTTGCAAGCCACCACGCTCGCAAACTCGCTTACAAAGTGTTAAATCCCGTGCCATACGTCCGTTTTTGGATAAGAGAAACTTAGTCAAAAGAATTGTTTATTAATCAACGTATATTATTTGACACAAATAAGAGGTTCGCGCGTTTCTCTCGCTTCAATTTGCAAGCCACCACGCTCGCAAACAAAGTGTTAAATCCCGTGCCATACGTCCGTTTTGGATAAGAGAGACAGTCCAGAGCCGCCTTTTGATAAGAGAGAAATAAAAGTAACCAAGAAAAAGAGTATTAGGCAGAACCGCTCTCAATTAAAGAAGCGATAAAACTGCTTTCCCGGCGAAATTTGGACACTTTGGTAGTCACGTGATTGGCCGATATATATCGGTAAAATTAGCCGATACTAGTTCGAAATTTGTGAAAAACATGGCCGATATATCGGCCGGGCCCTAATAAATATCAAGTTGAAAGTTTGTCAAAGTATGATGTTTGGATCTATTGTACAATTAACCTTGTTTTACTTTAAGACGTATGAATTAGTATCTGCGAAATCATTTACAGACCACTATGGCAGATGTTGAAATATGCTTTTTGAAAAACAATGTTTATAGAGCAAACTGCACGAATTAACATGCTATTGGCATGCGGGACTACAAGTTGTTCGTATCATGTTTCATGTCCCTTTTAATTGAACAGAAGAATTAAATTCAAAAACCGAAACTCGGCAATGCCATGTTATTGTGTTCTCGGTGTTCTAAAACAAGAATTTCGAAAACTTACCTTGTGAACGCAATACGTTTTTGTTTTGATTTGTTGATTGCATCCTGATCGCTAAAATTTTATGAATGAAATATAAAAATTTATCCTTTTTGTAGACTTATCGAAATCGAAAATCTCTCGAAAAGATTACATGTCTAATCTTAGTTGCATGTCGAGAATCTCTAAAATTAACAAACAGGCAATGTTGAAAATCTCTCTCTTTTGAGTCTCAGATTATATGAAGTCGTTTTAGTTTGCATATAAAAAGTAAATATTCAATTCTGACGATTTTACTAAATGTTTTAAAGTTGCTACATTTCGAAACCGTCACCGAAACTACCAGTTCAATGTAGCCTCTGCTTGTCACGTGGACGTTCACGCGTGAGTGATATACTGAAGCTGATAATCGAAATAATTTTCACTGAAATCCCTAAGGCTTCCCCCAATTTATGGCGTATCGAGATGAAGGAGAGCTTGTTCGAAAGAGTAGTTTATTTCGCAGAAGGTAGCGTTCCCGGAATTTTAATTTTCGTCTTGGTTTACGATAAATTGGCGAAATGTAAGAGTAAATTCGAAGTTTTTTAAAATTCGACGCATATTTTTGCTGCTGCCATGGAAACGAAACACTAATACGGATTTTCACAGAAACGCACAATACTAGAGTGATAGGATAACCCACTTAAGAAATTTCATTCAGAACTATCCAGCCGTTTAGACGCTTCAGCAAGACATACATACAGACAGACTTAAATGCCCACTGACAATAAGGGTCTCCTAGAGCGGAGATCCAATAGAGCAGAGATCCAATAATAACATGTTTTATACCCCGATTATACAAAGCATATGCATTCTTGCAAAGCAAGTGGTTGTATTGGAGACAAACTGGAGAAGCGAATAATCTTATCAAAATCACTACTTCCAGGAAGTAATTAATTTTAACAGCGCGAAAGCTTGCAGATCAGTTATCATGCAACAACGTTCGCTACAACGCTATATATTCACTCGAGCAAAATATTTTAACTAAAATAAAGTAAAATATTTTTTTGTTGCATGCTTCTGCATTGCTACATATGTTATATTCACGCTAGCCAGGCACTGGCTGTTCGGTATCTCATTCACCCCGTCGTATTATGTCAAACATCTAGCTTGCAAGTAAATCTAATCGCTTTCCCTAGTATATATGTTACAATTAACGTTAGAATATTCTACAATGTTTTGCCAATATGTCGTATCGAGAGCAATCACACTCGGTTTGTAATGACACTACTTATATTAGTGATCACCTTCGAAAAGGCTTAATTAACTTGAATTAAGTTTCGTAATAAGATGAAACCGCGTTGAGTGTATAACGTCAAAATAACTAATGCAACTGCGGGTGGATTGCCTGCCCAGCTGTTGATCGGATCATTAGTTTTCCTTCCTAGTCGGAAAAAAAACTCCTGATATATCATTGATCCGTTACATTGAGCAGTGCAAGAAGCCTTTGATTTCAATATTTAAAAACGAATTTGTAAAGTTTTCAGAATTTTTCTTCCGAAACAGAATTGGAAATATATTGCTTAATTTCTGTCTTGCAACTGGGTTTTGTATGATATTGCAAAATTTTATCTATAGTATAATCGAATATATGTTATCATATAATAGTACATAACAATGTCTTATCATATTATATCATATTCAATTGTTTACCATTTTTCGTGTACACTAATTTATTTATGTCAATTTGACATATACCCTATGATTTGACATATCGATACACAGACTTGAATGAAATATTGATCACGACAAATTTATTTGTTAATGCCAGCCATATATTTTTACAATATATTAAATATTTCATCATATAGTCTATCACGATTCACGATGCAAACGTCGACTACAGAGGTGGTTTCTGAGAATGGGAGTATATTATATTATAAACTAATAATATGAAATCACGTTAAGATTCATTTAGGTAGGGGTTAAGGTAATACAATATTTGTTTCCGGACAAATAAATCAACACAACAAAATAGCTGTACAATTCCGATGGGTTCATCGTATGTTGCTCTATACATAGGTAGACGCGGCATTCTATTTTAAAATAGTTTTTTCATTTTCGTAGCTGGGCTGCTTGAATGTGAGTTAGGTTTGTAGTTATTCAATTTTCTTCCATATTGGATATATTTTTATTTTGAATAAAATGATTGATCTTTCTTTATTGAAGAGAACTTGCAAATTCGAGAAAAAAAATCCAAATTTTTTTAATATGTAACCGAATTATCCTGCAGAATTTCGATTGCCCCAATTTACCGCGCTTGCGTATTTCCAAATTTCCACAAATTAAAGAATCGATATTACTAAAGGTAATAAAATAAAAATATTCGTGAAAATTATTCTCGGTTGTTTTTTAATATATACTATAAAACCAGCATTCGAGAAACTTCTTTCGTCAAATACGTCAGGATGCCTCTAAATTTTTTTTGTGTTTCTTAATCGCTGATTTATGCAATGGACTTCCGTATAAAGTTTGTCAACTTTTATATCGCTCATTTAATTATGCCTTAATGTGTTAATATTGAAACTAAAAATAGTGAGAGTAATCACACAAAACAATTTTCAAACGATCAACGACATTCAATGTCTTTCCAATAATATCCCAAAAAGTGTGTGAAATGGTAATTGTTAACATAAAACTTAGTTTAATTCTGGAAGAAATATGTATTGTATGATTACTATTCTTACATAAAAATTATCTAAGGGTAAAAATACCCACTGAACTTTTTATCCATTGATTCAATTTTCGAAAAAATATTATCGTGATTTTATAGAGCTTATCCATGGCGCATTAAATTTTAGACTTCTTCTTTATTTGAATGTTATACTCTATTCAATATCGCACTGTATTATCATCCAAATTAATTGTTTTTATTAATTTCTTTCGTGTAATTTATTATGCAAATTTGATCAATGTCCTTTAAGTAACCTCGAAAGAGACTGATAAATGACTTGGATGAAAGATCGATCACGACAAAAAATTAAATTGTTAATATATGTCAACTATAATTACAATATACTAAATATTTCATATATATATCTATTTATAATTGGGTGCCGTTGACTGATTCACGTTTTCTTCATTTTTATATACTTCTGTTCTTCTTGGCTCACCTTTCAGATCATAATATATCTCGGATCGGACGGAAAAGGCAAGCTTCAACTTAAGAGGTGGTTTCTGAGAATAAAAGCAATATAAAATACATGTTAATAAAAGCAGAACATTTATTTTTTCCAATTAAGAAGAAGCCAAGGTACTACGTTATCTGCCGCTGGACAAATGATTCAAGAAATTATGTCTTGCTATGTTAGTACTTGTTACCTTAGTACCCGCGACCTTCATCTAATTCTATTCACTCCAACATTAAGAAAAAATTTAATACAACATGGGGTTTGCCAGTAAATCCAATCGTTTTCCGTAAGATGTTACGTTTAAAATATCGCCAGACTAATAACCAGATTGCGTGAGTCATTTTTTGGAGAGTTTGAGTTTTTTATACAATAGTTTTTTTTATGCAATGCAACACAACACACCTGTCTGTTAACCTAAATGTTATCCCAAGGATTCCGAAAGGCATGAAAAGGGAGATTTATGTGACATGCACATTCTCACAATTGTTCCATCATAATAAATTATCATAGTTCAACACAAAACTATTGTGACGTTACAAATGTAAAATAATCATCAGTGAAGCATTTTTCATTATAGATTCTAGCTTAGCGCTTATAAATTTGAATTTACACTATATTACAGTTGTGATATCCACTTTTGAGTCCAAATACATATCGGTTGGCCTTTATTTAGTGATACATTTAATATTTATGAAAAGTCTTATTTTCGGTGGGGATGCAGAGCGCGGCATATTGATAAAATACTTATACCCCCCCCCCCCCCCCCCCAACAAAAAAAATAATGTTATTACAACAGATAACCTGTTTTGCGATTATACATCGCAGATACTGTAAATTTCATACGTTTTTTGACTGTTTGATTTTTAGGACTGATAGATGGATATAGTCAAGTTATAAAAGTGAGCAGGCTATGTTCCAAGGTCACAGGCACATTTCTGCGTAGATCGGAGTGAGCCTTATGACGGCATCATACAAATAAATTTGAATCCAGCTGCGACTATTGAACCATTGAGAATTATTCACTCCTACCAGCCGACAATATCTCCAAGAAGTTTTCTATGTTTTGCTCCAAACCGATAAAAATGACTTACACTTATTTTTTGTTATTAGCCTGGCGATATTTTACAATGCTCTACCAATATGTTTTATCGCGAGCAATCACCCGCGGTTCATAATGACTATTTTCTTTTTAAACGAGCACTACTTAGTCGTCACCTTCGAAAATCTTGATATGGATTAAGTTTCGTAATAAGATGAGACCGCGCATGTATAACGTCAAAACAACAAGTACGACTGCGGGTGGACTTGGCTGCTGCTTGTCAGCTGTTGATCGTGTCATTGGTTTTCCTTCCTACACGGAAAAACTGCTGATATATATATCATTGATTCGTTAAATTGAATAGCGCGAGAAGCATTTTTTTCAATTTCGAGGAATTATGGTTATAATTTTTGGTGCTTATACTCGGCGCATTGGATTTTATACTTCTTCTTTATTTGAGTACCATACTATATTTAACGTAGCACTGTCTTATCATTCAAATTAAATTTTTTAATAATTTTTTTCGTTTAATTTATTATGCAAATTTGACCAATGTCCTCTTTGAAACCTGAATTTGACCTGTCTTTTATGAGACTTGAATTAAAGATCGATCACGACAAAAAATTAATTTGTCAATATTAGTCATCTATAATTACAATATAGGCCTACTAAATATTTCATATATCTATTTATAATTGAGTGCAGTTGAATGATTCTCGTTTTCTTCAGTTTTTATATAATTATGTTCTTCTTGGCTCAACTTTCAGATCAAACTCTACCTCGGGTCGAACGGAAAAGGCAAACTTCAACTTAAGAGGTGGTTTCTGAGAATAAAAGCAATATAAAATATATATTAATAAAAGCAGAACGTGTATTTTTTCAATTAAGTAGAAGCAAAGGTACTACGGTATCTGCCGCCGGACGAATGATTCAATAAAGTATGTCTTGCTTTGTTAATACTTTTAGAGCTGATATTAAAATCACATCTTAAAAATGTTTCGATTTTTTTCTACAAGTTTATTCTATTTGTTAATAGTTAAAGCATTCACATTTATTAAGATAATTACAAGTATATAGTGTCGATACTTCACGTTTAAAAATCTGAATTTGCGATTGTTTTGACATGTCCGAGACAGAATCCGTACACCACTGTTCCATCACATAAAACCATGAATAATATTATAAATGTATTGATCCAATATATATATATTCAAAAGTATCGGTATTACAGGAGTGTTTTCCGTAGGCTTGATAGTGAAGTTCTGCAGAATTTTTGCCAAAGACAGCTTGATTTCCAACAGTGCAAATCGCATTCCAATGCAGTTTCTTGGTCCTGCGCCAAACGGTTGGTAAACCATTGGATCAATCTGGCTCATGTCTTGCATTCTAAAACAAGTTGTACTTATAGTAGGTAATGAAATCTTATGTATAACAAGAACGAAGTTCATAAATAAAGTCAACCTTGCTCTACTTTTTGTGTTAGTTTGCAAATGGTTTATTTTTCACAAAGACCTACAACTATTTTTGCTCTCTAGCAAAACAGTACATATAGCGTTGCGGAAGATAGCGTGGTTTGCCCATAGTTAGAATATAGGTTTTATTTTATATTCAAATAATAAATGAGAAGAGAGGATGTCGAAAAATAGAGATTGTTTTGGAATTGACCTCCGACTAACTCAAGACTTTCACACCAAACATGAAAATGTTGATGATTGGCCAATGACCACACAACGTTTTGGTATTTTTGTCGTTGCTTCGTTGTCGTCTCGAGAATAGTTTTTGGGATTGTAGGTTGGGTTGTCGTCACAAAAAAACTGAGTTACTGTACGGATGACACACAATATTTCATTATTATACTTTATTACCGTACCTAGGGTGGGGCATTCGGCTATGTAGGCTACTACTTCAAAATTCAATACTATGACACCACGTCTCCTGATATCATGATATTTCATTACCATGATTCATATTTCATTTTTCAAATATCCTTTACATATCAAATAGGCTATTAATTTATGATAATATTCTGAATTCATTATGATGTGATTATGACTTTTACATCATTCTACACTGAACTACAGTAACTTTCCCCCGTGGTGTGAAATACAAAATATGACATCATCTTCAGACGTCACAAATGTTCAATTTTTAAATGCCCCCTTCAACGAACTGCCACTGACTTCAACCACTATTGAACTACCACAACAACCACTATTTCAACTTTCCTATTTACATAATTAGTTAATTACATACCTTTCTGGCTTGAATTCATACGGTTCATCCCAATATTCTGGATCATGAGCAAGTTGGTAAGTCGGTATGTTTATCTGCATTCCTGCCGGTATTGTAAATCCGTTAATTGTGATTTCCTTTTCGGCGAAACGAGTGTTTCTATAAGTTAGAAGGTATACCATTACATGAAAAACGGCATGGAATTTCCAAAAACATAACTGGTTCTGCATCACATAAAATCCAATTATTTTTTAAAGGATTAAGCAAGTTGGATATCCAATGCAGAGGTGTCTTTTTATAGTAGTTTTACCAAAAATTATCCAGTTTTTCTGAAGAGAAAGCAAAAAATTTTTCAAATCAGTTTTCCTCCACAATGCATTACCGACAACTGAACAACGTTAACAAGCGAAAGATGTTTGAATCCAAAACATTATTTTCAAATTTCACAACTTACGAAATTGAAACAATCCTGATTGTATACTGGTAAATGTAAAGACAAAGTTTTATATCACATGGGACAAACAATGCCAAACCTCCAGAAATAGGTATTGAAACATCGAAACAATATTCAGATATATCTGTAAAACTAGGCAATTACATTTCGAATTTGTAAATAAACCCTATTCTGCGATGATTAGTTAGTTATTGTAATCAATCATAATGTGATCGTTCACTTTCACCCAGGTAATTGTGAGTCAGTTACAAATCAGGGTCTCAAAAAGGGAATGAAAAACTTACTTCAGTATCGGGATGTATAGTCTGAGAGTTTCATTTATACACATGTCCAGTAACTTGAGTTTGCTCAAGCCCTCATAGTCAAATTTGCCCTGGAACAACAACCGTTAATTTAAAGTAGGTTTATTTAGGCAAAAATTGTAGTGATTACTGATTAGAATAGTATAGTTAATAGTATATACATAAAATAACGCTAACCAAATTTCCATTCTGAAATTGAGTCGATTTTCGACCTTTTTTGAATCGTGGAACACTTTTCGTAATTATTTTGAGGATAGTAACGACTTAACGACGTTGATATTACGAAAACGTATCAATTTTTAAACCGTGTTTCAAAATCCTTATGAAGGAAAATAATGTCTGAGCGGCTGGCTAAATTTCAGTCGTTACGTTTCCGTTAATATTTTGCTGTTTGGTCTTTGTTACGGAAAAAACCTAGGAAACCTATACCTGGAAAAAACTTCACGTAACAGACGTTTAATGAAATCAATTTTCATCACAAAATATGCCGATATATATATATATTTATAAATTTGGGGAATAACAAAACTGCAATTTTAAGAATGTGATAGTGGCTAAATCTTCCCGGTAAACTAATTCGTCGACCAATTGGTCTAGTATCGGTGTGAATTCCAAACATTAGAACAACACATTTGCTGTACTTCAAATTCAGGTGTTGAATGTCGCAGTCGTGCCCAAGCAATTATTTACTGGAGATAAAAGCAAATTTCAAGCGAATATCAGAGCCCTGCGCCCTTCATATAATTCTTATTCACTCCAACATTGAGGAAAAATTTGATACAAATATGGTATGCGTGTGAATACCAATTGCAGATCGAATTTTACGGTGCATTTATATATTTGGCGATATGGCCGAGATAGAGTGTCTAGTCAAGTCGTAACAGAGACAAGCTAACATGTTTGTCACCCTCCTAGATGCGCCAACCAGGAAAACGAGAATATCGGTCGGAGACCGAAGACTTATCGATCGAAACTGCGATTTCGATTCATGACTCTATAGTGACACCGCGTGTCTCATCACTATTTAATTAATTTATAACTCGCTAATTATACGACATAATTGATCCAAAATCAATAGGTCCGAGGTCCTTCTGGTCCGAGATATGATGAATGCACATGCGAAATTTGGAGCAGATTCAACCTTGCTTTCGTGAGATATCGCGTGCATCTAACAGACAGACAGACAAATACCTATCAACATACTTACCGATCAAGATCGATAAGTAATGACTACAATAATAATATTGTACTGAAGGGGTCACCGAAGTACAACTGGTTTACTGTATCGGATACGTTACAAATACAGATATTGATAAATTTTATACTACTACTACAACATTAGCAACAGTATCTATCCCCGTTCTTAGTTAAAACAACAGTGATGCTGAAATATAGGGACACGAAGGCGAAAACGAGGTATACGGGTATGCAATCTGTTACAGAGGACTTCTGGTCCAGCAGTGTTTACGACTGAAGCGAACGCGGAACCGCCACAAGGTGCGCCATGTTTGATGGCGTCATTACACACAGAAAACGAAATTTTAAGAGTCCCCAGAGTTTTTGACAATAAAATTAATAGCCTTCTAAGGCCAAATACAATATTTAAACACTGAAAACTTTAAAGGAATTGGTCCAGTAGTTAATGAATAAGAAGAAAAATACCAAGAACAACAACGACATAATAACAAAACGATCGATATGTACACTTCATGTCAAAACATATACATTCAATTAACTATATTGTACGTATAATCTTCGAACCCTGAAATTTTCGAAGCAATTAGTTAATAAGTGAAGCATTTTTTTCATAACGATAAGTAGGAAAATACCAAAAAGAACAACAACATAATAACAAAACGGGCATTATGTACACTTTTTAAAATATATTCAATGAGCTATATTGCTTGTTGTTGGATAAATACGTATCGACTTATATCAGATATCAGACAGCACTTTTCATTATTCATAGGAGTGCGAAATTATATCACCTTTCATCGCAATTGAAAACTGAAAGCTTGGGCACACAGAACCGTGACGCAAACAAAGACGTTGTTGGCGCAATATGTTTAACTAGGCTAAAGATAGACAGACTGCAAATAAATTAGATAACCATCTCAAATAAAAGAACAGCTGATGTGAGCAAATTTCAAAAATGCTTACATGCTCTTCAAACATTTCGTCTATCTCCTCTTGAACTTTTGTTTGTATTTCCGGATTTTGAGCAAGACAATATGCCAAGAAAGACATTGTGCCCCCAGTGTTTTCGTAACCAGCAAGTATCATTAGCATCGAGTTTCCCACAATTTCAGTTTTGGTCATCCCTGAATATTATTTAAAATTAAGAAGAATATTCCTAAAAGCTGCATAATTCGCTTGATCTGTATGAATTCAATGCTCTGTCTAGGTATCCCATTACTGACGTCATATATTCACCAATCGAACCATGTAACAAACAGTTTTCGATAAAATTCGAGAACTCTTCCCAGTCTTATTCCACAGAAAAAAATATTATTCCAATACAGTACCTTTTACATTGTTTTCCGTGAGTTTGTCTTCTGGTATCTCAGAATCAAGCATAAGCTGCATAAGATCAACTCTGCTCTGTAATTTGAAAATGAAAGTAAATAAAAAGAATTTTGATGTCACAAATAGAGTGTGTAAAAGATGTTTAAAATTACTTGTAGTCTTTCAATATTTTCAGTTCGAAATGTTATCAAATAAACGAATGCCTAACTTGAAAAAACCCCAAAGAATTAAACTTTCATTGATTCGATTTGTAAGTGAAGATATATCACCTCCGCATGATGATTTTCTTTGCGTTTCCCAATAACACGATCAGTGAGCGTTTTGAAATATCCCACTGCACCGCTTCCAAATGCACTGATATTCAATTTTTCTAAGACTTTTTCGAACGGAGGAAAAACAACTGAAAAAGTGAATGTAATAAATTCTTGATGGAGGAAACGAAAAGCTACAAATTTCCCCGGCATGCCAAGGAAAGTTGGAATAGTTTTTTATTATTTTATAACCATTTTCGTTAAACATATTGTGAGCTACACTTTCAAAATATTTCTATGTTGTATGCTTTTTCCTAATTCGCCAACTTCCGGCGTATAATCATAGTAAAATTTAATAGTTGAAAGCAGTTACTCACTGCACAACAAAATTAGAGGATTGAAAAAACTGCTCGAAAATATATTTTTTGCTTGTTTTGAAATTTCCGGTTCTTCAACTGTATCGTCTTGAGAATGAACTTTAGTGCTGAAAGCAGCTGAGCATACGATGTCCAATGAAAGGCGTGAAAATGATCTAAAACGTTGATATATGTATATATCATCTACACACAGACGTGAAATGCGTTTCGAAAGTGAGATTTTGAAATTTAATTGGTATGCTGTACGTTTATGGTTACGTAAAGGTCAAACTCAACATTTTCTGAGATATTGAAGGGACGCAATATTAACTTAAACCGTAATTTATCGAGAACTTACTCTTTTGGATTGAAAATTCCGTTTTTGTTTTCAACTTTTTTATTGAAAGCTGCAACTGCGTTGTCGACACACCATTCCACTATACCAAACATATTCTTCAATTTTGACGTCGAAAAAGTTGGTGTCATCGTCGATCTATTTATCATGAAGGCATATTAAAAAAACATGAACTGTGTCTCTCCTGTGAACATATAACTTGCAATGGTTATTTTACTTATACGTAAATATCTAGTAACACACCTAATTCTTTTCCATTGTTTTCCGCTTACGACAGTTAGTCCATTGTTCAACTCTTTTCCGCCAATTTTTGTCAACCGTTTCTTAATGTTACCATTATATGATTTAAGAAACAATGTTGTGAATGTATATATATTGTATTAATATCATAAATGTAGTCTAAGTTTCCAAAGTTTAAAAGCAATTTATCGAGGAGAATTTGGTATGAAGTGCAACGCTTGTCATTCGATCGTATCATCTACATTTGATTGTTGTTTTTTCGTTATTTTTTAGTCATTATATGTAATTGCCATGTTGTCATAATGTTATACTAAATTCTCCAAAACATATTTTAGGTCGAGAATCATTCCAGCAAATTAGCAACCATTCAGACAAAGGCGTTTACAGTACATAAATTTTGGTAAATTTGGTCATTTATAAACTTACATCCCTGTCTGGAAAATTTGAGAAATCTTTGATGAAAATTTGTCGCAAAATGTCAGGATCGTGAACCGTTATCACGGGATGCAATCCCTCATACAGACTGTGGAACAAGATAAAAAAGACAATATGAAATTTCTAACCGTATAATTTTTCCACAGTATGCACGGTTTAGATGCAACTATTGAACGTATATACTATTTGTACTATTTTAATTTAGGAAATCATATTTATTCAATGTATTTTTTAAAACTTAATTACTCACCCCCATATATTACCATATTTCTTCTTGCATTCATTGTCATACTCAAATGCAGTCTACAAAAGTAATATTTAATTTAATCAATGCCAAATATAATTGAAAAATGCCGAACCTCAACCACGGATACTTTCCGTGATTAAATTTTTTTCATTTCTCTAGCGTTGCTGATTGGTTCACAAAACCGTACCATGAACGAACAATTAACGATAGGAAAAAAAAATTAAGCAAAAACTATCCCTGGATAGAATGATTAAATTTCGGACTGGGATTACAGTGAAAATATTGGGCTTCGTTTCCAGAAAAACTTGAGGAAAAATGTTGGGTCGTTTGACTAGGTCTGGCTGACTAAAAAGATATTTGAAAATAAAATGCAATATTTGAAAAATACGATGACGTACCAAAGAACTAATGAGAAATGTTGATACAAATTAAGGTAGTTTTCTAGCGCCTTTATCAATCCACCAAGTAAAGTTGAAATTAATTGATCCATTAGTTCCGAAAAAAACAATAATACAAACCCAACAACCAAAGCACCACAAAACAAACTGCAGTTCCGCTTCTTCTGAAAGCAAGCAACTATAGAGAAATGCTATTTTATAATCTGATAATCATCCACCCCATGAAAGTCAATGCTGGAATTTTTTTAATGTATTTAGGATGCATATTAATTTACCTTTTCTCCGAATTCCTTTCTCAAGCTTCCCAAATTCATGAGAGATGGAGGATCAAATGGAATTTGCAAATTTTCTAGTTTGCTCCATTTGCGTCTAACGTAATATCTGAAAAAGTAACAAATTCCAACATTTAATTCTGATTATTAAAAAAATATAAAAGCTCATCCGAGATTTCATATCAAGTAACCAGTAACATTATGTGGTACTCCCGTAGTATGCAAACCGAGATGGCGGACACCGGAACGTCGTATGTTTACTAGGTTAGAACTAGGCCATAATTTTATCCCAATTTTCCTTATTTTCCTTATGGCCTGGCCCTAACTTGGTACATATACTACGTCCCGATGTCCGCCATCTTGGTTCGCATCCTTCAGGAGTACCCATTATGTTACCATGCAAGTAATTGTCAATTATTCTGTGGATCAATATGGCAACTTTGACACTTAGAATATTATAAAATACTTAACATTTGTGCTATTGGGCAGAATGTTACACGCTTTCTTATTGTTTTTAAAACGCAGATTTTTCAATAGTCCAATATGCCCTAAAATATATTTTTGTTTAGGTACGTTAATTAATAATTATGCTGTTATTACCTTGCAAGAAAAATCACACTTGCGACAAAAATCCATGATTCAAAAGAAAGAACATCCAAAGGTGATATCATTCTGCTTAAATTTCAAGTGATAACTATGTCATGTATCTGCTAATCAAGATTTGAAAATATTATAAATAGAACAAAAAATAGTAGGTTAAGAATGCAACCTGACAGAAATACGGTTAATATACAGGGTGATCGCTAGGAAACAAAAAAGAAATCGTTTCAAAGTTTAAAAGCTGTTTCCTGCCTTCTTTCCTGACGTGGGTTCTAAAATATAAATCGAATAGAACCTTTATGCATGGATGTTCCCTCCACCCCTGAAAGATTCTCCCCATATCCCTGTATATTTCAACGCTGATTTTGTGAGTGTTTTGGAGAGTTGGCGCTTACAAACTAGCTCACATGTTCCAAACTATCATTTTAATTCAAACACAATCAAAAAACTGAAATTACACGTAATTAAATATCTGTCTGAGCTAAAGAAGTGTCCGAGCGGCGGATTGTTATGTCAAAATTACGTTACGTCCAATTGTTACGTCATTGTTAACTTATTGTTGATTTGTAATTGTTACGAAATTAAACCAAAAAATGATGCTCGGTAAACATCCATCAACCTAAAACAACCTAGAACCAAAACAAAAACGTATCGAAACGGAAATGGGTAAGCATGCATTTTATTCGTGATCTCATCTGACCATCAAATTTTCTGCTTTTCTAGCGACCACTCTGTATTTATTGACTTATAAGTAGCAAATTTGCGACGATTAATATAATTAATAATACTTCCGGTAATATTTTGTGATCATGAGTAGGCTATTGTGTAGAAAAAATACAACACCAAAATTAAATCAATTTGTCTTTCGACTGTTTTGCATCAACAGTGATCAAACTTTTTTTTTATCAAATACTCACAGTACGATTTTCATTGATTGATAGTAGTCGCGAGCAAGGGTGGGAGTTTATTTTAAGATTTACGACTGAGATATGTGGGTTGGAACTAGATTATAGAGAATGCGACAAACTATATTTTAAACGGCTTCCTTCTATCCTGCACAGGCACAAACTGTCTGGTCTAAGCAACTGTGTTGACAGCAACTTAAGTTGACTGTAAGTGACGTTATTAATCTTAGAGTCTATAACACTTTTGAAAACGACGAAGTCTAATAATAATGACTTGCAAAATATCCTGAACATGGGTAATCACATTTTCCATAATATATGCTTAAACAATCCTACAGAATTGCTACAGAAAGCTTTCGGTAGGTTTCTAAGCGACCACATCTCACCAGGAGGTAAGTCTAAATACCGCGGCCTTGAATGACTTGTTTTCACGATTATGGTTATTCTGCTTATTCATGCGAAAGCTTTCATAGGAGTATTTAATGCCAAACACCTTTTAACATTGGCTTATGCTTGATGCTTGATGTGAAATGCCGATAGATGATAAGAAAAAGGCAAACACTCTCAGTTAACTCTGTTGAAGCGAACAGGCCGCTCAAAGATCTTAGTATTTGCACATCGTGACGACTATTCACTATGTTCAAATAAAGATTGGCTTTGTGTTTGCTAAGTTTGATCAGTATATCTTCTTATACAATGAAATATTTCTTGTTACTTGCGCAATATCATCATACAATATAGGTCGGTTCAAAATCTGAGAAATGGTAAAGAGCTATCTTTCGCTGCACTCAAGCATTCACCCTCAACTCAATTCAACCTACATCTATATATATAGCCTACGATTTAGAAAACCATTACTTTACATACAATGTTTATATAAATTGGCAATCTATATTATGTACAGATACAGCGAATAATGTTAAATTTAAGCTTCTCAGGCCGTCTGTCTTTGTTTTTACAGACACGGGATCAAGTCGTTATACATGGGACTATAATTTTCTATACCGAGTAATGCGATGATATAAATTTGAATTGAAATATAGATTTAACTTAAACCTATTTATACTCAACCTATTTATGAACAAATAACTTTTTGGATTCCTGGGCATTTCTTTCAATTTGATCGAACCATAAAACACAAGTTCAAGTTGGCCCGTAACAGACCTTAATTTCAGGCATACTGAAGTTCAGTTCCCGAACTGCATTACGCGACCTCCGCAGCTTAGCTGATACTTTGGCTCATCCTATATGTCCTTTCATAGCCATAAAATGGACAGATGTTAGAATTGCTAAATGTGTATTTCACAAGAAGTGGACCTGTTGTTGTTGTTTTTGCGGGAGCTTGTTCGGTTGTTTTCCACAGGTCTGCAACATTTTTTTTTCAATATCACGACACCGTTGGGCCGTCGATATTTTCGGCGCCCAGTAACGGCTCTGCCGTAACACTCGAAATACTTTTTTTGTGTATGAGCGTTGATCTTTTATTTCTGATGTTATTGTTGAAAATCTTTCGAAGGTATAGTTTTTATTGGTTATTTATTAACGATGTAAATGTACTGAATATATAATTAAAAGTTATATAAAAGCTCATTTAATTAATTCGCTTCCAACAAGAAGATCATTTCTGGACAAAGGTGCGTCAAAGGTTAGGTCTGCTTCGCTCTGACTAACGTGTCCATATATTTGAGCGTTGCTTTCTTGTATATAATTACAGAAACTAGTTCGTTTCGTTTTTGATAGGAGAAATTTTGGTTGAGCAATATTAGTATTATTTCCGGTTTATACCACCGTCGCAGTAATTAAGGTCAAATGTATTGCAAATATATAGCAAAATAGAATGGAATAGCATAGATTCCGTGGGAATATCGCGATCTCATTGTTTTAAGAACATAAGATCATTGTTTTATGCAGGCGGAAAAATATCCGTGTTCCTTTAAAGTAGGGTTACCATATTTTTTTGACTTCAAAGCGGGACGCCTCCAAAGACACGACCCCTTAGCTGTGATTCTGTAACTTTACAGTTTCCGATTTTTTCTGGGCTTTTTCCTGGGCTTTTCATATTTTATTTCAATAATTGTCATCAAAAGTTTTGAAATCAGATTTTTGGTGGTAGTTACTTTAATTTACAAGGTTGCCCGAGTACCGGAGAAGCTCACGTTGCCTCTTAAAGTGCCTACGTTCTAACTCAACGTCGTTGGAGTTTGACTTATTCAAGTTGTGATGTAATGTCTTACTAAATTTCTCATGGACGACATGTAACTTGATAATGTGATATTCATGTACAATGAGTATATGTATATAACTATCTTATATGTTATATATCTATGTATATGCAAAAATGGACAATGTTTTGAATAAAACAATTTGCAGAAATTAGCTTCACATTCTGCCTCACCAACTTTAATTATTGTGAATTTTCAGCATATGCTATTGATTTTATTCCATTAAACAACACTGATAAACCGCGATTATAAATTCTTTGCAAACTAACTATAAGGAAAAGTAGCTTTACCCGAAATGTTGAGAATGTACAAATGATTTTAATTTGGAGAATACTTGTATTGTATATGCCCTATTGTTTGTTAAATAGAACAATTCGCCAAAATTAACATTACATTTTGCCACCCATCACCAACTTCAATTAATCTGTTGTGAATTTCGGCATTGCGCAGCATTTCCGCTGTTGTACACGCTGTTAGAGTCTTTCCGAATGAAATTGATTAAACATTATCACACTCACAAAGCGGCTCGCGTGTAATTAAGTATTACATAGGCTGTTCAGTTTAAGTATAAACAGTGTTGATATTGCGAAATTGGCTGTGGTGTGTAGGTGTTGAAACCAATCAATTTGTATTCAACGCATTTTTACTTAGGCATGACTTGCGGAAATTTGTTATTGGAAAGGGAGGATATGATTATTACTTGCCTAACAAGATTGTAGTATTTATCGAAGCTTTAATTCAAGGATCTTACTATCGAAAAGGTCTAATTTAACGATTCATATTGAGTGTTGAAGTAAATCATTGGCTTTTTCTTACTATTCACACAATAATTTCTAGTGGAAAAGAAACTGTATTATAAACAAGTGTTCGTTCATTTTTAGAGATAGCATTGTGAAATATATATATATGAAGTTTATATATATCTATATATATATATATATATTGTAATAGATTGCGGTCTGCGAAAATGTTTAACGTTTTATATTAGGGGTATACGTAACTATCCATATATGCATATGCAGAAATATATATATATATATATTTGAATATAACAGTTCGTCGAAATTAGCATCATATTCTGCCACCCATTACCAACTTTAATTTATTTATTGTGAATTTTCAGCATATGCTCGTGATTTTATTCAATTAAACGACAATGGTATACCGTGATTATGAATTCTATGCAAACTAACTAGTTAAGTTTTTTTTTCGAGAAATGTTGAGAATGCACAATGCTATTTATTGTTACTCTCATTTACTTTGTTGAGTTTGTTTTCCTCAGATTAGAATAATTTTTTATCTGTTATGTATTCTTAGTATTTATGACTATTTGGTTGTATTAAGTTTTCCGATTGATAATTAATAAATAGATTAAAATAGCCTCAATTAATCGAAGTAAATATTGAGAAGATTGACATCAGATTATATTAGAAGACATTTTGGACTTTCATTTAATGAGACGGTAAGCTTTTCATGGTATTTACATTGAAAATTTGAAAATGCTTATCAATCAATCAATCAATGGTTTATTCGTTATCACAAAAAAAAGTTGAAATAAAACAATTGCAATGAACAAATAAATATACAGTACTAATTATGTTATTTGTCTGACCGTATTCGCGAGGGACCTAAATAGGTCTTTAAGCGACACCTACAGCGCCGACACAGGTTAGCATAAAAAGTAACATGAATAAGGGATAAAATATATGGAATATAGCAAGGGTGGCGACCGGTCGATTGCCAGGTCTCGAGCAGTCGATAGCGTCTGATGTTGAGTGACTTTTACTGAAATACTCCCCAAAATAGCATCGAAACAGTCGTGTGTTTTACAACAGCAAGAATACAGTACTTCTCATGCGCAAAATACAATGTACACATACAGATTTGAGTTTGGGCATGCCCGATTAAGTACATTATTACGTAACAAATGCAAGTTTTTCCGCGGCCAAAGTTTAAAAATGAAGTGCCGAATATCGCGTGTCTAGACCAGGGTTTCCCAAACTGTGTGCCGTGCAGCCAGGCCTTAAGAGTGTGCCGCGAATTTTTACAAAATTTCTGAACTTTTTTCTCACAATATTCAACACTGCAACATGATCTTTATCACACTGCAATCAGTAATGGGTGTAGTTCGGTACCACACATATATAGGGTGACCCCAAAAAACGGAACACAATCCATTTGGAACATGTTGTATGAGCTCCGTTTGTTAGGTCACCTTGTATTTATTATTCGATATCCACCGATAGGGGGTCTTACTACTTACTGAATACAGCGCGAAACACCGCAAAGAGCGCAAAACAGCGCAAAAGAGCGCGAAACAGCGCAAAATAGCGCGAAACAGCGCAAAACAGAGGAAAACAGCGCGAAACAGAAGGAAACCAGCGCAAAACAGAGGGAAACCGCGGAAAACAGGAGACGCAGTCATTACCACCTCCTGCCACGAAAGAACCACTGCGCCTCTCGCCATGGTTTTATGGCGCTATTTCCGGTATATTTACAAGATTATGTACCGGATTATAGGTCATCATGCGAAATTTTATCTACCTTTTTGGTGCTCCAGAAGTATGTGCAGCAATATGTCGCACAACCTGAATCCGCTACACACATACTATTTTCAGGTTGTGCGCCATCTTGGTGCACATACTTCTGGAGGTCCCTTTTTACCTGACCCTAACCCTAAAGCCAACCATATCCATATGGAAAATGTTCTAAATTATGGTACCCAAAATGTGTCACCAGCAGGGGCAGACCTGCCATTACAGCATTACTGGCTACATACGTTGGTTTGTGTTTTTAATTTGCCGCCGTGGTACTCCAACTCGAAACAAAGTGCCCCGAACTCATTGCAAAATTTTTTTCTGCTTCACACTGTTTCCCTCTGTTTTGCGCTCTTTCGCGCTGTTTCCCCACTGTTTTGCGCTGTTTCCCTCTGTTTTGCGGTGTTTCGCGCTGTTTTGCGCTGTTTCGCGCTCTTTGCGGTGTTTCGCGCTGTATTCAGTAAGTAGTAAGACCGCCGATAGGTGATGTAATATGCCACACTTTTTCTAATATCTGAATATATAAGGCGTTATATGTTCTCGACTCCAAGCCAACAATGCAAGTTTGCTCAAAGCAGTCGATAGACTTTTCCTAACAAGCTTTTTCAAACTGTCAGCAGTTAAGGGAAACATAAAGAAATTCCTGAAGTGATATCACTTTCCTTTTTCACAGGTAATATTTGGAGTTCTTAATTTTACCACGAATTTGCCATGCGAATTTTCTGTCAGTATATCAGTATAACATATAAAATACAATATATATAGCACAACAAAATATTTTCGCCATTAACATTTTCATGATTCTGAATATATTAATTCTCTGCACTATCAGAAATTAAAAGCTAAAAACGATAAAGCCCGCGAAATCTTGTTTTAATCTTATTTACTGAAACACATAATATTTACAGATGGGGAATTTAATAAAACTGATCTGTAATAAGTGTGCTCGACTTTTTAATCTTGTTGTTAGTGTGCCGGAAGCTGAAAAAATTTGGAAACTCGTGGTCTAGACCGACAAACGATCCTACTTCCGCAGTATATGAGAGTTATTGTCTCACTCCAAGAGCAGTGTGATAATTTCGCAGTGATAGCAGTGGTAAATCAGATACTGGAGTTTGAGCAGTCATGTAACATTCATGGTTTGAGAATATTTATTTTTCTCTGTTTGAATAATACTACATGAAAGTTTTCTTGGAGAATTTTCAAAAATTACCACTCAAAATTAGGCAAGCCCTTAAACTGTATTATTTAAATAAATCTTAAATAAATATAGAAAAATTTACTCCGGGTACAAATAAATAATCAAATCAACATCCTAAACGGAACATAAAAAATACAATTTTGTGTTGATTTTAATGATATTGTGCCCAAAAAGGTTTCTTATTGGCAGCGGTGAAATTTTCTGCATGCCTTATTACGGAGGAGTCGATGGCGATTTATTTTGAAGAGTTTAGTCGATCGCGGCTGAAAGCAGGTTGGCCACCCCTGAAATATAGAATGTGTCTCAATCGATGCAAATGCAGTAGTTGCGACATTAGACATATTTGAGGTTATTACGCAAAGTAAAACTAAGAATTTGTAACTATCTCGGAATAATTACTAATAAAAATGCGAGGAAAGCGGAATAAAAATACAAAAAAATTATAGAAAAGACAAATTTGGCGAAATATACAACTAAAAACCAGACAACGCAAACACTAACACAAAAATACTTACAGCAAATGCAATTTTTTAGAAATACAACAAATACAAAAATTGATGGAGTCTAATGAAGGTTACAAAGAAACTAAACTAATATATCTATATAATGTCGTTCGCAATAAAGAGAAAAAGATAAAACGGCCAAATCATTTGAAAAAAAAAAATAGCTAACGATCGTTGAATTACCTATTAATGTAGCAGATATTATCGGATTAATGTATAAGAGGTTTAATTGTATATAGAAGATGTCAAAAACGGAATCGAAAGCATGGGATAATGTTGGAGGTGTCGCTTATTCAAATTCGCAACAACAGACTGACGAGGTTAGTTCTTATTATATTAAACAATTGATAAACGAATTTTTGTGGGACAGTGATGACAACGAAACGAAAACGTTATTTTTTCTATTCCAGCGCTATACTGAATGGGCGCAGAAATATGACAGTGACGTCGATACCCTGAAATATGAAAGTCCACAGAATCTGGCGACAGAATTATTAAAATATATCGATAACACTCCATCAACAAACGTTTTGGATGTTGCGGCAGGTAAATTGAGAATTTTCAAATATATTATATAAAAATGAACGTTTGTAGCTTGGTTTGGCTTTAAAATGAAAGGTATTTTCGTCATTCTGAATAGATCTTAAATGGGTTCAGTGCTTTCTGCACGTTTCGTGTTACAACCCCAAAATACGTCTTCAATTCTGAATATATAGGCCTGAATCTGGCACAAAATGCTTGACGAAGTTGTCTGAACAATTTTCAACTTACCAGCCTGAATCCAATGTGCTGTCGTGCAAAGTCAATCAGTTTATAAATTCGAACGCTAAAAAATTTTCGACATTAATTTTTACTTTTCTCTATGCAATGATATAGCTTTATGACGCGCAAGATTTAGACCGAAATATTTAGTTTTATAAATGCATCTAGATATGAAAAAATGTGTTATTTAATTGATTTCTTTCACCCACCGAATATGGTGATTTATATAGGCACAGGAAAGGTCGGTGAAGTTTTGAAAAAGCTCGGTTACAAAGGAATTATGGACGCAATAGATTTCAATGGTGCGATGCTGGAAATAGCAAAGGGAAAAAGTTTATACAGGTAGTCACAAAAATCCTGCAAAAAATAGAAATCATGCTGTTTTTTTAAACAAAAATAGATTAAAATCGACATGTCTTGTTTAAACGGAAAACCAACAAGTTATTTGATTTAAGATATATCTCGAAAGCCATAAGAGGAAGAAGAACTATATATATAGCACATTGGCATTTCATTGATTGTCTACACTGATATATATATACATTTGTTCATCAAATATATTAAATAATTCCATAGTAAATATGAAGGCTTGTCCATGGCACATATTTTTCTGTCCCATTCCCATCCCATCACATAGGATTCCCATTGGAATAAAATTCAATCGAAAATGTTAAATTTATGTTTAGCGTTCACTAAATAGGACTATATTTACGAAGAGACATGCAAAACAGCAAAACTTACGAAATTTGGTAACTTTATAGTCATAACTATTATACATGTGACCATCAGCGCCTTCACAGAGTATATTGTTAATGCTGAATATATTTTGCCTTTTATAGCTAACAAGAGAGCTATGCTCAATTATATAGACACGAAGTCCATAACGAAATGTTTCACCATCATTACCCCGAAAATCATACGGTTTTCGTGTCTCATGGGAAATACAAATGTGTGCTGGGCCATCTCATCCAATTGCATGGGACGTTTCCCATGGGAATCCCATTCCCATGGACAACCCTGTAAATATGCTCAAAGATAAATATGATGCCCATTAGAGGAGACAAAATTTACAATTTGTTCAGTTTCATTGTTGTATACATTTTATATGACGTTTTCGTTAGACGTAGAATATTTTTTATATTGTCAAACTAGCCTATGCGATCTCGTTTTTTTACTTGTCATATTGTGTTTCAATAGGAATCACATAGAGATGGGGATTTATCCAAATAAACCAATTCCAGTGGCTGATGGACTGTACGATGCGGCGGTAGGTGCTGGATCATTTGGTCCTCATCATTTAGCACCTGGATGTGTTGCGGTAAGTAATAAATGGCGGTTTACAGCATTATCCGAGGGACCGGGAAATATTTTTATTTATTTATGATACGATTTTTTTATTATTAAATTAATATGTATCTAACCAATACATATTTCAAGCTCGTGCTGAAGAGGTTGTTTCATCAATGGCAAACTAAAACTGATTTTTCAAATTAGTAATATGATTTGTTCACATGAGGTAACAACAAAACAATATTCACAAAGCGGCTCTCTAATACATTCTCTGTGAGACATTCTGTTTGAATCTGTTTGAGATAAAACAGATGCTTAAATCTTAAAAAAAAATTCTTCAGTCCCAATTTTCCTATGTCATAATTTAATGAATGTTAACTTTTTTGTTCACATTTTTGTATCAGCCAATCATTCACATTTTAAGACAAGGAGGCGTGGCAATTTTCAATTGTCGGGCAACTCCCCAGGCAACCGAGTTCAGAAATGCGCTTGAAAACGAAATAGATAAACTAGAGAGAGCTGGAATGATTGCCAAAATTGAAGTGAAAGAAATGACTCATTATGCAGTAGAATGCCGGGAAACAGGAAATTCAATGATGTCAAAAGTCTATGTTTATCGGAGACTGTGAAAAATTTGTATCAAATGATTTTTCAATGTTCACCGACCGGTAATAAATCGCATCTGAGTAACTGTTATTCGGTGATTGGAATAAACCTAACAAACTAGATTTTTGTTATTGAATATGAAGTGTTCTCTGATGCCAGTGTCCAATAAATTACGTTTCGAAAGTATTACTTCGTCATCCTTGGAAGTCGGGCAAGATTCGGGCATGGGTTTGAAACAGAAAACAAGAATTTTTAGGTAGTTTAGATAAGATCAATTATTTTCGGCAAGTATATTTTTTGAGCAGCAACATAAAGTGCAATCATGCTAATTTCTCTGGCTTCCAAACGGCAATCATGAAACAAATATTATAGCAAAAAATTAGAATGTTTGACACTGGTTGATACCATATTAACTAGTCTAGTCAACGCTTCTCATAAGATATATCAATAATATATAAAGTAGGATTTTAGCCGGAAGGATTTTGCGATTGTGAAGATTGTACATTTTGATTTTACTGTCGGTGATTGATAATTTATAATTTCATAATTTTTTCTTGAAAAAGATAAACAGGAATTTTTTTGTAGTTATATAGCTTTTTTGCACTGAACACAATTTTATCAAAAGGTCAAAAATAGCTGGTTTGGACCAATGTTATGATGATTTAATCGATATCAAGGGCATCGGAGATTTTGCAGAAGCGTGGTTTTTTCAATGGTAAAGTTTTGTTAGCCTGCTCACCAACTTGATCACATATGATTTTACAGCTAGTAATCAAGTATAATTATCTAAAATTATCGCAGAATCACTCCTGGTCTCTGAAAAGTTAAAAATACACGAAGGTTGAATATATTCATGTAATGACTTTATTATGAAGAACTCTTGAATATGCAGTTTAGTATTGCTGATTATATAGAACAATTTGCTAAAACGAGTTTCACTTTTTCCCATCCACCTCCAACTTCGTTTAATTTGTTATGGATTTTCAACATTGTTTCTGGACTGAGAACTGGTCCGGGCGTTCCTACATAAATTGTCTTATTTCCAAACAAGTCACATCGCAACTTTATAAGATACGAATTCACTTCAGCGATAACAACAAATGGCATATATTTAAAAGCATCCATCCCTGATTCAATCTTGTAAACCGCAGCTCCGTGAACGTCCTGAAGCATAGCAGATTTATATCTATTCACACCAAGTACTTTCTCGGTACGAAACGTAGCTGGTCCGATCCGAGCGAATTTTACTTCTGTAGAACCAATATTTTTGGGTCCATCTCCAGCATCTTTTTGAAGTTTCAAATGAATAGAAAAGTCGCCATCTTTCTCACTACGGAAATTCAGTGTTTCACAACTCACTACTTTGTAGATTTCTTCTTCTGAATGAACATTTTCATACCATTGCCCAGTGAACATCGTGAAATCGATTTCTTTTTCCAAATTTGGAAGTTCACAACTGTGGCAACAAGCCGACACCAAACAATTGGCAACATATATAATGCCTACTGAAACAAATTTCCGCATGTTGTATCTTCCAATACCGACTTTCGAATGTCGAAATACCTACCTTGTATAGGTTTTAAGAGACCTTCAGAAGAAAATTGATGAGGCTTTTTTGAGACAGCAACGGAAATCACGTGTGATGAGAGTTCTCTGTTTATGATATATACTTGCATATAACGTAATGTAAAGAATGTATACAGCTATTGCATTGATATTGCACAATGTGGATGCAGTATATAGTATCGTGTTGAATTCATTCATGATACATGCGATACATACAAACTGTATACCCTGTAGAATATTATTTTGTCAAATGCGAATCTTTGCCTATTTTATTACTCTCAATTTGATTCGTAAATTGGCTTTTCTTTCTGCAGTTAGTAATCGGGTGCTATTTATTTTTATCTCCCCAGCAATCATTTTTGATATGTTTCTATAAATTTTGATTATCTTAGGCTAGAATAAGGTAGGTTAGGTTTGTGACCCACATTATCTAACGAAAGGGAACTAACTTTACTGATCGAGTGGGGTATTTGATGTGATATGCAATACAGCCTAGATATGCATTTGCAAATAACCTTTATGCATGTACTCTCAACCAAATAATAATTATACATTCTCCTTCAAGTGCAATACATACACAGCCAATCGATTTCATATGTACTTACACCGGGTATTTGATATTATATATGTATTCATTAAAATTACAGCGCATGCGACGGGTTATTCCGACTTCAATTCAAATAAATTTCTCTTGCGAAGCTGGTAATATGGCGATATAGTCTGATGTATAAATTTGGTGATATGCTTTACTTTATTAAATAAAATATCTTTGGGCCTCCAACGAGAACAATTGAAAGACTTGTTCATTTTGAATTCTTTAAAAATTTATTATTAAATACTGTGTTTTGTGATCAGCATCTAACACTGTGTTAGTGTATACTAGTTTAGAACAGGGGGTGTGCAACATTTATGTCGGACATATAATCAACTTTAGCCAACTGGGCAGCCAGTGCGTCGCGGAAACGGCGAGAGAAGAGAATGCTGCTATCTCATTGCCTACCAGTATTAAAAACACCGATCAATTGGGAAAGATTTAAGGCAGCGACGAGAGCAAAAATCATCACGTATATTAACGATGCGATCTGACCGCCTTTTAAAAATAATCTTTCGGATTCTTATTTTATATTTGATGGGGAAAAGTCTGAGGGCATAGAAGAAGTACGGGAGATATTTAGAAGATCTGGTATAGAAGATATAAAAGTCAGACAATTATGATAAATATTCGTCGTTTTCGAACCTTTGATTATTTATGCTGATAACTTCAATATGGGTTTGATATATCTACAACGCTTTGTACGCTTAGTCATTTTTCTATGAATTTGAGTAAATATTTTCAAATAGATTACCAATACCCTCAAACTCGACTTTGCATTTAAAAATAAAATTAAGCAAATGTAATTCGCATCTTGTCTGTTAAGTAAGAAAAATTTTGCTCAATAATGCTTCAGAATTAAACGGAGTTAATATATGTTTTACGTTTATCAAATATAATTTCATTTCACGACAACAATGATAAACAATCTCGTTCACCAATGCGCATCAGAGGAGATAGGCGGATAATGATTCCGCAGGTGTAATTAGAGCTATAACGACTCTGGAGGTTAATTGATTTGATTTGATGCTGATTTATAGTGTAGTTTCAAATTATATGTTCAAAAAGAATTCTGTATTATTGTTGTTTTCAAATATCGAATGAATAGAATATTTTTAAACATGCTATCCAAAAAAATAAATAAATGCCAGTTTTGGAGCAAGATAAATTTGATCTACACAAATAACACTATTGAGTCATCACAACTTCCCCATACGCGTGGATGATTTTCAGGCAAACATATAGTCTTGATTATATTTATTTCCACAATTTTCACTACACAAAAAATTGATTCTCATGTAGAACAATTTACAACAATACAACTTTTGGTATAGAATATCTCTTTATAGAATTTATTATGAAGGCAAACTGAATAGGAAGAAATAAATCATTGGCATTGTCTTTTTATTATTGAGAACACTGTGCTAAATTGAGTTTCACATCTGCCCATCCATTTCCAACTTCTACTAATTTGTTGTGGATTTTCAGCAATGTTTTTGTTTTTGGGAGAGGGTCCGACGTCGATACATACACTTTTTTCATTCCGAACAAGTCACACATCAAAACCATTACGTATGCGTTTTTTTCAACAATATGAACAATTGGCATATATTTTGGTGCATCCATTTCCGATTCAATTTTATGTGCAGTGGCATCGTTAACGTCCTGTAATATAGCATTTTCTATTTTTTTCATACCAATCTCATTTGTAGCGAGAAAAGTGGATGGTGCAATTCGAGCAAAATATGCATTGGAAATTCCAAGGCTTTTATTTTGAGATTTTTCAATCTTTTGAAAACTCCATTTAGCAGAGAAACTGCCGTTTGCCCCACTCTGGTATTGTAATGTTTCGCAACTCACAACTTTGTATATTGTCTCTCCGGGATGCACAGTTTCATACCAAGTCCCGGTTAGTTCTGAATAATCGATTTCTTTTTCTAATTTTGGAAGTTCACAGCAGTGGCAGCAAGACAACATCCAATATTTTCCGACATATAAAATGATCATTGCTAGAAACCTCAGCATGTTGTATCCTCGAGTGTCCTCTCCCTAAAGGCTTTCTGCTAAAATGGTTTCTAGGGCAATATGGCATATTGATTAGCTTTACTAATAACATTGAAATGCTTTAGACGCTTAGCTGCATATACGTAGAGCGTTCGTAGCCCCGTACAATTCACTACTTTGTAGATATCTTTGTCTGAATGAACATTTTCATACCATTGCTCAGTGAACACCGTGAAATCGATTTCATTTTATAAATTTGGAAGTTCACAATTGTCGCAACAAGCCAAAAACAAACAATCGGCAAGATATAAAATGCATACTGGAACAAATTTTTGCATGTTGTATCCTCCAATACCGACTTTCGAATATCGAAATACCTTTCTCGTATAGGATGTATTAAAAGACGTTCAGAAGAAAATTGATGAGGCTTTTTTGAAACATCAACGGAAATCACGTGTGATGAGAGTTCACTGTTTATGATATATACTTGCATAGATCGTACTGTAAAGAATGTATACAGCTGTTGCACTGATATTGCACAATGCGGATGCAGTATATAGAATTCATTCATGATATAAGCGATACCTATAAACAGTATACCCTGTAGAACAGGGGTCACCAACCTTTTCGAAGCCGAGGGATACTTTTAGGGTACAAATTAAGCTGCGGGCTTCCAGTTCAATGGATACTTCTAAAAAAATCAGTTGCCCGATTAAGCCTCAATTATTGATATAATTACTGGTATTTAGTGAAGTATAGACACTAATAAACTTTAGGATTCTTCAGGGAATCAAACGATTATCACAACGTTACAAATAAATTTCTATCAATAACACTTGTATTTCAGAACTGAGTGTTTTTAAATTGATTTTCAACACTCTGCTCAAGTCTAAGATAAAATGGACTTAACAGTTGTACTATCAAATGTTGCATAGTATTATACTCCGACGTGTAACTTGACACTGTAACTCTGAGCGAGTCTTGCAGATTTTCATCAGTGAGGCGTGATTCATGTTTGTTCCTGGCGGAGTGAGTCGCGGCGCTATGGCCCATCGTGAGCGTTAGGTTCGCAGGTTAGAATCTCATACGGGGATAGTTATGTGCGAAAGGATTGCTGGACTCCTCGCCGCCGTAGGGTGGTTCACGTAACCGCTGGTCGGTTAAGGCTCCCTTCGCCATCAAGTCCAGGCTTCCGGAAACAAATAACTAACTAATCCCATACCTGACATCGAATGGTAACCGGCGAGAAGCCGTGGTTTGTCATATGGTTAAGCCGTCCTATCGGCTATCTTCTCCCCGGGATAAATATGTAAATCTCCTCCTATCCTAAGATTGTCAAAAATGTTGATTCGAAAGGATAGGTTGAAACAAACGATGGTCTCGTAAAATAGGATTGCTGTATGATTCGAATCGCGAGCTTTTTCTGTCCGTACTGTGCTGACCAGTGGGTAGTTAGCGCGGAAGATTACGTGGCAAGATGTGAAATATTTCTCCGCTCTGCCGTCGCTAAAATCGCCCCACTAATGAGACACACGCAGACTGTTTTTATGGTGGTATAAATATATCCACCTACCATTCATCGTGAAAATGATGGATTTTTCTTTGGAATCAATAATTGTATTGTTACTGCTCCGCTAACCAACGGACAAGAAAAAGCGCGGGTTCGTGGAAAGTGATGTCATAATTGGAAGAGTGTTAATTGACCCGTCACATTTCTAAGGTCAAATAAAATAAGGTTGATGATTACAATAGTTAATATAGTGCATTTCTAGTTCCCATATAAGTGTGATTTATACTAAAATAGCAGGACAAAATTTAACTGATCTAGCTTACTTATAAAAGCCGTTATAAAGCTTAGTTTAGAACAGACCTGCGGGCGACTCATATGGTCTTCGCGGGCGACTTGGTGCCCGCGGGCAACGCGTTGGTGACCCCTGCTGTAGAATATTGTATTGGCAATTGCGAATCTTGCTCATTTTAGTAGTTTTAATTTGCTTACCTACTTTACTTATTGAGTGGAGTCGTTAATGTAATATGCGCATACATAGTCAACATATGCATATGCAACTAACCTTTATGCAATTTCCCTTAACCAAGTATGCATACATGCCCATTCAAGTGCTATACATACACAGTCAGTCTATTTCATATATGTACGTACACCGGGTATTTGATATATATCATATTTATATTCATTAAAATAACAGCGCAGGCGACGGGTTATTTCGATTTCAATATAACTGAATTACTCTTGTAAAGCTGGTAATATGGAAGTTGTTCTGTGGTATGAATTTGCTGATGTTATTTACTTTATTAAATAAAATATCTTGAGGCCCTTGATGGGAACAATTGAAAGACTCGTTCATATCGAATTCATTAAAAAAATATTATTAATATGTGCTTTTTGAATAGGTGAAGAAGCTTTCAGAAGCTGTGTTAATAGTATAGGATGACTTTTTTGTCGGCCCTATAACCAACCAACTTCAGAAAGCTGGCTGGGCCACACAAAAGAATTCATTTTTTTTTCATGAACACAACGAATTGAAAAAACTAGCGACAACCAGAGCGCTGCGGGAAAGGCAAGAGGGGAGAATGCGGCTATCGCTTTACATTAGAGGCAACGGACAAAACGGCTAAAGATTTTATAGCAGCGACAAGAGCAAAAATCATTATGTATTTTTACCGATGTGACCGCCTTTCTAAACGTAAACATTTGAGTTGGAATTTTATGTTATATCGGGAAAAATCTGATTGTTGACAAGGGACACACTATATGGTTTGCCTTGTCGGATCGTGGCCCGCGGGCCGTCTGCTGCATACCCCCGGTATAGATAGATGTAAAAGTCAATCAATCATCATGACGTTGTGATGACTCAATGGCGTAAATTTGTGTAGAAAACATTTATTTTGCTTCGAAACTGACATTGTTGTAAATTGTTCTATAGGAGAATCAATTTTTTGTGTAGTAAGACTTGTGGAAATAAATATAATCGATATTATATGTTTTTCTAAAGATCATCCACGCGTATGGACGGTGACCTTTCTATACCAAAGTCCAATTCAAGTGAAAGATACCTTCGAAGTTGCAAAGATTTTATTTCGAGATTTCGCATTCTTCCGAAAACTCCATTCAACAGAGCAACTGCTGTTTTTACCACGATATAGTATCGTAATATTTCGCCACTCACAACTTTGTATATTTCCTCTTTGGGATGCACAGTTTCATACCAAGTCTCGATGAGTTCTGTATAATTGCATCGAAGTTCACAGCTGTGACAGCAAAACAACATCAAACAAAAGAGCAACGCTCAAATATATGGACACGTTAATCAGAGAAAAGCAGTTCTTACCTTCGACGCTACCGGTACCTACGGCGCTGTACGCCATTCCCCGTTAAGAAAGCAAGAACTTCGTTACACACCACCGACATTCGATGAGCACGTGACCAAAAGAACAACAAGAAGAGTGCCAGCATACAAGCGCCTTTTTGGGTTTTCCACTAGGTGTCCAAGAAAACTAAACGATTCATAGGTCCACTCCGTGTCCAATAAAAAATAAGATTCAGATTCAGATTCAGATATTTTATTTCCGTCGTGCATGAAATATTGTAGCGACACAAGTAATAAGAAAAAAAAATGCTAACAAAAAGATCAATTGAAATAGAAAGGCACACAATATTTCCGCAATTGACGCGGGGCCGCGAAAGACTACCAGAGTCATCGTGTCAGCGACACCGTGTTTGCTGAGTTCAACAGCAGATGACGTCAAATAAAATCAACTAATTATTCTTTAACAAAAATGGGAATACAATTTGGCAAAATAATATCGAGAGAGTCAAGAGATTACTGAATATAGTAACTAACTGTAGTAATTACTGATTATATAGTTAAAGTCAGTTTAGCTCATTAACGTAATGCTCAGATGAGCAAAGAGAAAACAACATGACATTGAAAATTTCAGATAACAGAAGGGGAATTCCCAACAACTGCCAAGGGGAAAATATATTAGTAGTTCTGGGTACATCAATAATATTCGGGCGAGAGAGAAAACCATTTCGAAGTTATAGTAATAAAGAATAATTGATAATTATTAATACATAATGGAGGAAATTAATCATCAAATATGCTTTTGTTTTAGGTATAAGATTTATATATACCGGTACCGAGTTGCAGTGCTACAGCAAGAAATAACCGAATGCTCAGGATATTCAAAATTATACATCAACGAATAGTGATATTGACAATGCCGTTCGCATTGCAGCATTGTTTTTATATTTTGGAAACAGTGCAAAAAGAAACAAATGAAGACAATATAGGTGTTTTGCAGTATTCATCTTTTCACAAATCTGAAGCAGATAGTCCAAACAAAGGCCAAATTACTGAGAGATATAAGCATCAAGGTAAAGATTTTTTTAATAATAATTAAGGTAATAGCCTTCTGGCTCTAAAAATTTCAAAGCAATTGGTCCAGTAATCAAAGAGAAAAGCGACTTTTTTATAACGTGTCAAAAAACAAGAACAACAACAACATAATATTAAAACGATCCCTAGGTCCACTAACGTGTCCAATAATTTTTGACATATAGAATTATCACTGCTAGAAAAACTCAGCATGTTGTATCCCCGAGTGTCCTCTCCTTAAAGACTTTCCGCTGAAATGGTTTCAGGAGTAATATGGCATATTGATTAGCTTCAATAATAACAGTAAAATGTTTCAGACGCTTAGCTGTATACACTGAACTGAATACGTTGATACGCTGAAGGTGTAGAACTTCATCACGATCCGTATGAACGATCTGTAGGATTTACCACTATGGAGTGACCTATCTCACTTTTTATCTTGTCTTCTCATGTTTCAATTTATAATCTGTCATGGGGAGAAGATTCTTTTGGTTGAAAGGTTGGCCGGAGTGTCTTATGGCGCTCACGTTGCTCTTGAAACGAGTATCATATAATATTAGGAACAGACTTAGTCAAATTGTCCTATAAATTATCCTAATAAATTTCTCATCTACAAAATGCAAAACTGTATTACGCATATACAGCCACAATATGCTTAAACCAACCTATATTCATGTATACGTCAAACCACTATGCATATACAACCTGTTGGGAATGATTATACAACCTACTAATATGTTGTAGCATATCAAGTGATGTACAATCACAACTAATCGATTTCATAGTGTCATTTCGTGTGTCTGATATTCATTAGAATTACAACGCAAGCGACTGACTCAAAATATGGCATATATTAAGCTATTATGTTACATTAGTAATATATAATTGAAATGTGTTACTAATAATAGCGACATTATCTACTTTATTGAATAGAATAGCCCTTTGGTCATTGATAGAAACAAGCGACAGACTTGTTTGAGTTGATCCACAAAAAATTCTATTGCATACGTTGACATTTATAGTTTCGGTAAATTGGCTGAGAGTTACAAACCGCCTAATGTACTTGTAATGTACAATTGACCTCTACTAAAACAACAACAGATTTGAAATGACTCACAGGAATATTCTAATATTTTTAATATTATCAAATTTGACTCCTAATTTAAATTTAAGTTCAAGCGTTCTAACATAAAATTATCAGAATATATAATTCAGGCAAAAGAACTAATTTTAATACTATTACTTATGTTAGCGAAGTTATTAAAATAGCGACTAATTCTTTCGAAAACTTCTCACATATAAGAGATAAACGAGAATATCGGTCAGAGACCGAAGACTTATCGATCGAAACTGCGGTTTCGATTCATGACTCTATAGTGACACCGCGTGTCCTATCACTAATTAATTAAAAACTCGCTAATTATACGACATAATTCGCCCAAAATCAATAGGTCCGAGATAAAATGAATGCACATACTGGAGCAGATTCAATCTCGCTTTATCGCTCGCATATCGCGTGCATCTAACAGACAAACAGACATACAGACAGACAAATACCTATCAACATACTTACCGATTAAAATCGATAAGTAACAAGAACGAGCAATGCTCTATTGAAATGGAACAAATGAGTATTTTTCTGAGTGAGTGAATGAAACTATTTGTTTGTATGAGTAACATCTTGTGTTACTCCTTGGATTACTCATGGAGATGCGCTTTATTTCTCGCCTTATGAAACGTTCAGTTCGAAATTAGTAGAAACAATAACTTGGGAAAAATGCAGCATGGTTAGAAACGAAGCGATTTTACCACTTAAATATACTCAATTTTGATCGCGATTTCCCTTTAATACATAAGTGAATTACCGGAAAATATATGCTCGTGATTTCATTTATTCGGTTCAAACTAATTCTGAGAAGGGGTTATTATTTTCTGAGAAGTAAGAATACACCAATGATTTTGATAGAATAAATAAGTAAACATGTATTGTTTTTCAAACAGAACAGCTCGCTAACATTAGCTTTACACTTTGCCACCCATTACCAACATCGATTAATTTGTTGTGAATTTTCAGCATTGTTTCTGGACTAAGAACAGGGTCAGATATTGCTGCATACACTTTCTTCGTACCGCACACGTCACATCGCAGCATCATTACAAACGAGCCTTGGTCAGCAATACAAACAAAGGGCATATATTTCAATCTATCCATGTTCGCTTCAATCTTGTAAACTGCGCACCGTGAGCGTTCCGTATCACAGCAGTTTCGAGAGTTTTCATACCGACTTTCGAAAATCAGAATACCTCTATTCTACAGGTTGCAAGAGCCTTTCTGAATGAAATCGATTAAACATTATCACTCCCGCAACGCAGATCCCATGTAATTAAGTACCTGTTTATAATATCCTATTACCTATAGGCCGTGCAGCTTAAATATAAACAGTATTGATATTGCAAAATTTGCTGTGGTATGTAGACGTGTTGAAATCAACGATTCATATAGAGCAGGGTCGGCAACCTTTTGTCGCTCGCGGGCCAAAATTGAGGGCTGCAAATCTTGGCGGGCCGCACAAGGTGCGCTATTTTGGTGACGTCTTAGCACACAAAAATCGAATACCATAGAACTCATCAAATATTTTTTGAATAAATAGAAGTAATAGCCTCGTGAAAAATACAATCCTTAATCACTGAAAATTCTAAAGTGATTGATCCAGTAAAAAAGAGAGAAAATCGATTTTTTTCATAACGATAGGAAGAAGAATAATTAATGAAGAACAACAACAAAATAACATAATAACAAAACTATCCATAAGTCCACTCCGTGCCCAATAATTTGCTCTTCGAGTGTCGATTATAGAATTAAATTTTGGTTAAAATTCACAGCCGCTGTTTTATCGCTAAATTTCAGTGAAGCATCGCGGGCCGGAATATTTCACTCCGCGGGCCATGTGTTGCCGATCCCCGAGTAGAGTGTTGAAGTAGGAAGAAGAATAATTAATGAAGAACAACAACAAAATAACATAATAACAAAACTATCCATAAGTCCACTCCGTGCCCAATAATTTGCTCTTCGAGTGTCGATTATAGAATTAAATTTTGGTTAAAATTCACAGCCGCTGTTTTATCGCTAAATTTCAGTGAAGCATCGCGGGCCGGAATATTTCACTCCGCGGGCCATGTGTTGCCGATCCCCGAGTAGAGTGTTGAAGAAAATCATCGACTTTGTTCTTACTATTCTTACAATGATCTATAGTGGAAAAAACTGTATCATAGACAAGTATTCCTTCTGTCAATTAATTTATTTTTATAGATAGCATTGTGAAATGTATGAAGCTGTTAAATGTATTTTGTAATAGATTGCGGTCTGCGAAAATGTTTAACGATCTAAATCAAGAGTGGGCAATTACTTTCTTGAGTGGACCGGTTACAGATAATCCATTTGATTACTGGGCCAGAAGATCAGAACCTAACATAATGATATTATTATGAAAAATACTTGAATGAGCATTAATGTTTTTTTTTTCAAATAGAACAATTCGCCAAAATTAGTTTCACATTTTGCCACCCATCACCAACTTCAATTAATTTGTTGTGTATTTTCAGCATTGTTTCTGCACTAGGAACAGGGTCAGGTGTTGCTGCACGTACTTTCTTCATGCCAAATATATCACACAGTAGCAGCATGACATACGAGCCTTCATCAACTATTTGAACAAATGGTAAATATTTTAATTCATCCATGCTCGATTCAATATTATAATCTGGGGCACCGTGAGCTTCCTGCAATACATCAGTTATGAGTTTTTCAATACCTAATTCTTTCCTGGCCTGAAATGTAGATGGACCGATACGACCAAAGTCTACTTTGGTAGCACCAATATTTTTATATCCATTTTCAACATCTTCATGAAGTTCTAAATGAATAGAAAAGCCGTCTTTCTCACTGTGATAACGCAATGTTTCACAATTCACTACTTTGTAGATTTCTTCTTCTGGGTGAACATTTTCATACCAAATCCCAGGGAATTTTGTGAAATCAATTTCATTTTCTGAATCTGGGAGCTTACAACTATAACAACAAGCTAACACTAAACAATTGAAAACGTATATTACGAGCACGGCAACAAATGTCCTCATGTTCGACTTTCAAAAATTAGAATACCGCTGTTGTACATGTTGTAAGAGCCTTTCTGAATAAAATTGATTAAACAGTATCACGCTCACAACGCGGATCACGTGTGATTAGGTATTACATAGGCCGTGCAGTTTAAATATAAACAGTATTGGTATTGCACAATTTGCTGTGGTATGTTCATGTTGAAACCAATCAAGATATATGCAATACATTTCATAGGCATAACTTGCGGAAGGTTGTCCATGCACCGGAGAAGCTCAAGTTGCTTTTGAATCGCCTATACGTTATATATACGGTCGTTTGAGTTTGACGTATTCAAGTTGCGATGTAATGACTAAATTTCTCATTGACGACATGTAACGTGGTAATGCGATATGCATATACAGTCAGTATATACATATGTAACAACCCTATATGCCATACATACATTTAGAAAAATAGAAAATTGTTGTAAATAGAACGATTCGTCAAAATTAGCGTTTCATTTTGCCACCCACCACCAACTTCAATTAATTTGTTGTGGATTTTCAGCATTGCCTCTGCACTATAAACAGGGTCAGGTATTGCTGCATATTCTTTCTTCATGCCAAACATATCACACTGTAGCAGCATTACACATACTAGCCTATTTCAACAAATGGCATATATTTCAATTAATCCATGCTCGATTCAATCTCGTAAACCGACGCATCGTGAGCGTCCTGTCTATACAATCAGAATAAGTTTGTATATGTATCTAACCTATATGCCATATATGCAATATGCAAGTGCAAAAATGGAACATTTTTGAATACAACCATTCGCCGAAATTAGCTTTACAATCTGCCTCCCAGTACCAACTTCAATTCATTTATTGTGAAGTTTCTGCAAATGCCCGTGATTTTATTCAATTAAACAACACTGATATACAATGATTATGAATTCTTTGCAAACTAACTATAAGTAAAATTAATTTTTATCCGAAATGTTGAGAACGCACAAATGATTTTAATATGAAGAATACTTGAATATGCCTTAATGTTTTTTTTTTAAATAAAACAGTTTGCTAACATTAGCTTTACATTTTGCCACCCATCATCAAGTTCAATTAATTTGTTATGAATTTTCAGCATTGTTTCTGCACTGGGAACAGGGTCAGGTGTTGCTACATGTACTTCCTTCATGCCAAACAAATCACATCGAAGCAGCATTACATACGTACCTTCTTCGACTATTTGAACAAATGGTAAATATTTCAATTCATCCATTTTCGAATAAATCTTGTGAACTGAGGCACCGTGAGCGTCCTGCAATACAGCAGTTTTGAATGTTTCCATACCAAATTCTTTTCTGGCATGAAATGTAGATGGTCCGATCCTAGCAAAGTCTACTTTAATATTCCCAATATTTTTAGTCCCATATTTATCGTCTTCGTGAAATTCCAAATGAATAGAAAATCCGCCATCTTCCTCGCTCTGGTAACGAAATTTTCCGCAACTCACTACTTCGTAAATTTCGTTTTGTGGAAGAACATTTTCATACCAATTTCCAGTGAAATTAGTGAAATCCACTTCATTTTGTAAATCGGGGAGTTCACAACTGTAGCTACAAATCAACACTAAACAATTGACAAGATATATAATGAACACTCCAACAAATTTCCTCATGCTGTATCTTTGAACACAAAGTTTTGAATGTCGAAATACCTCTCTTGTATAGGTTTTAATACACGTTCAGAAGAATATTGATTGAACGCCCCCGAGCCAGCTACGTAAAACGCGTATAAAAAGATTGTTTACTGTTCACAATATTCTATTGCAAGAACTTTATAAATGTACTTTATAAAATGTATAAATTTGTTGCTTTGATATTGCATACATAGTATTGCGCAAAATTTCAGATAACGACGACAAATGATATGTGCCTTCCTATAAAATGTGAGTCAAATAATAAATTTTGGTTCGTTTATTGCTCTCATCCGGCCTTGTATTTTGTATTAAAAATAAAAAAAGTCCTCATTTAAGTAACTTTACATGTTGGGGTGAAGGTGATGGGATGTAATACATCACAGACAATGCAAATATAGCCCAATTTTCAAATAACACCCAAACCATATTATTGTGCAGTCAAGCAGATATTTATACATGGCCAATCAAGTGTCCCGCGCACGTAGCCAATTGATTCCATATGTGCGTAGGTTTGTATTTAATATCTTCGGCATTTCTTCAAATCACATTACACACGACGAGATATTTTTTCTATGAAGGCTCACTGAAAAAATATGATGTTGTTGCCGCGCGTATGGATAAATTCGATTTCAATCATTCGCACGTGCATGAATACATAAAATAAAATATCCGTGTCGAGTATTTTTAAATTATCTTATTTTTACATGCGTGCGCATGATTTTGACCAAATGTTTGACTGATTTGCGTTTTATTCCAAACCGATATTCGCAAATGTATCTATCGCAATATTCATAAACGTAAATACAGACTTCCGAAATAAAATAATGTTTTACATAAATATCTTCTTCCGCATAAGGCCGTTCATTAACGGTTTAAACGTCTACAAATTTGCTTTATATGTCCTTAAGTTACCAACTTCAGTTCATTTGCTGTGAATTTTCAGCATTGTTCCTGGACTCGGAACAGGATCGGGGCTGCTGCATACACTTTCTTCGTGCCGAACATGTCACATCGCAGCATCATTACATAGGTGCCTTGTTCAACAATATAAACAAGAGTCATATATTTCAATTCATCCATGTTCGATTCAATATTGTAACCTGCGGCACCGTGAGTTTCCTGTATTACAACAGTTTTGAGTGTTTCCATTCCGAATTCTCTCCTGGCATGAAATGTAGAAGGTCCGATCCTAGCAACAATGTCTTTATATTCATATTTAGCATCTTTATGAAACTCTAAATGAACAGAAAAGCAGTCTTTCTCATTGTGATTTTGCAATGTTTCACAAATCACAATTCACCACTCCATAGATTTTTTCTTTTGGGCGAACATTTTTAGACCAAATGACTGGGTATTTTGTGAAATCAATTTCATTTTTTAAATTTGGGAGAAGCAACTATAACAACAAGTCAACACCAAACAATTGGCAACGTATATAATGGCTACTGCTACAATTGCCTTCATGTTGTATCATGGAATTTCGGCTTTCAAAATTCAAAATGCCCCCTTTGTACAGGATGTGAGAGCCGGTCTGAATGAAATTGATTAAGTATTATCAAGTCAGTAACGCGGATCACGTGTAGTTAGGTTTATAATATACTATTATATAGCCGTACAGTATAAATTTATACAGTATTATATTGAAATTTAAAAATTTGCTTCGGTATGTTTGTGTTGAAACCAAGCACGATAAAGGCAATATATATTTTAGGCACGAAACTTGCGGAAATTTGTTTCTGGCAATGCAAAATCAGTTGAACATCACTTCTATAACAAGATTGTAGTTTTTATCTGGGTTCTACACCGAACTCGAGACTTTCTATCCAGCATCTTCCCATCGATAAGGGTGAATTGAATGATTGATATCGTTTGCTAAGTCAGTATATTAACCACCTTCAATCCCATTTTCCAATACCTGTTACAATATTTGAACACGAATGAATCGATTAATCTACAGAGTCTTCAAGTTAATTACTGACTTTTTAATGGTTACAATAAGTTATACATAAACATAAAAGCTTCGGCATAGACAAGTATTCTTTGTTTGATTATCTTAAAAGGTTTTGGGTGCTCTATAATGAAGATGACCGCATGGTTTATATCAGTTGCAACACATAATTAAGTACACGTATCACGTGTAATTGCAACCATGGAAACAATTTAGAAAAAAAAACATTGCATCTAAACATTGTGTAATCATTTGATAATTATATTCCGTTCCATCGATCACTATAAATATACTGTAGTCAGGAGTCCGGACTAAAATGACATAAATGTTTTACATATAATCCGAACTAACATGTCCTTTTTAAGTTACTTCAAAATATCGTTATATTACATTATAAAATTGTAACACTATAATACATTTAACGCTTTGTCACAGCTTTAATTCACTATTATAACAGTCTGTTTGTTGTAACAGTCGAGTTATTCGCCCAATGAAGCAGATACACGAGTATGTCGAATCACTGCACTTATTGCCGACTTGTTAAAACAAAGACATCCTCGATTGCCGACTTGTTAAAACAAAGACATCCTCGAAAATTTTACACGTGTGCTATGTGGTAATAAAGCTTCACGAAATTTCGATGAGAAGTCCATTTACGTTTACATTTTGTCGTGTAGAAGTCGGGAATAGAACAGCTAATTTTTCTCGGGTGATTACGAACTTTATGCAATGTCGAACAATGTAAAGACCAATCAATACTGAGATATTTTTTTACTCGAATCAACTTGTAGAATACTAATAGCAGCTGATAGAATTATAAAAACTTTGATTACAAACACCGATTTTTTCTATATCAATATTAAAGCATGAGGACTCATTTTAGAACCCTATTTTTTTAATTCTGTTGAATATTAATAAAGTTTTCGATTATAATTTTGAAACGTATTTCAACGTTTCATTCGACAAGATGTTTCGAGTTTTTGTATTGCTGCAATTGATGTTGTTGACTGCTGTGATTGCTGCCAAGGACAAACCGGTTGATCCCGTGAATCTGACTCATGTATTTGAATTGAATGATGAAGAACTCAATCATACGATGCGTAATTTTGATTTCCTCGTTGTCAATTATTGTGAGTAACTTGAATTTTTATTCCGTTCTGTTTTACTATTTCGATTTTTTTTGTAGTAGAGTATACAGGATATATTTAATTTTAATATATACATGTATATATATATCAAATACTGTCAGTCTTTTATTGTCCATAGTTGATTTGCTACTAAATATTAGTCTTTAAAAATATTCGATGGTTAAATTTGATGTAATTAGGATTTTACTGGTAACGTAAGAAAAGGTACATCATAAGAAGTCGAAATTTTTGCATTTAATGAAAAATGATGCGCTTAATTACAATTCCATCAACATTTTATTATTATCAGAAATTGCTTAATAAAAAGACGCTTTATAAAAACAGGCATATTAAGAAAGTAGTGTGTTATTCTCACAGTTATTTCCTTGCCAACTGTGTAAGTTTGACTCTACAAAGTAATGTGTTCATCAATTTATATTCAATGTCATTGTTCCGAGTTACAGATTGAAATTTCGAGTTCACAGAGGTATATTCAGTTACAGACTTTGCTATGCATCAATATATTTCATTCTTTGATTAAAAAGAAAAACTATCATCAGTCTTTTTTTTTGAACACTAAAAAAATTCATTAATCTCATGTCAAAGACATCATATTTTTTTAGATACCGCAAGTTCAAAGGGAAGCATGGAATTTCAACAAACCTTCATGGAAGTTGCAAAAAAAACTTTTAAAGAAAATAAATCCATTGTGTTTGGACAAATCGATATTAACAGATTTGAAAAGGCTCAATTTATGGAACATATCACAGAAGTACCCGAAGTAAAATTTTACAAACGTGGAAGAAGCTTTGATTTTGACGGTAAGTTAGCGAATGAAATCATAAGTGTTTGTGCCCTAAATAAGTCAGAGAGAAACAATGATATTTACCCCAAAACAATACCTATTTCTATATAATCAATTTTCTAGATTCTCTTTACTCAAAATTTAGAAATGTTTTCATACGTGTCCCCATATATTGATTACGTTATATGCTGAAACAGAAAAGTGTATATTCTTTCTACAATGAAAAAAAAAATCCAATATACCTGCGTTGTGCACAAATATACATCAGTTTTAACGACTAACCTTTTATTCATCAAAAATTGTATAGAATTGAAAATATTGGGATTATCAATGACTTTGTTTTTACAGGACAAAAAACAGTTGAACATCTTATGACGTGGATTCGTCTGGCTATGAACTACCCAGTTGTTGTGTCATCGCAAAAAGAATTTGACGATTTAAAAGAACGAGGAACGATTATCGCAGGTTGCTTCTACGGGGTAAATATTCTGTTTTGTACGCTAATTTAAATATGCCTATCGATGCCATTAGTGAATCAATTTCTTCATTAAGTGAATTACATACAAAATATTCAGTATAATATTCAGTATTTTATCATTGGGTATCAATTTATCTAGACAAACTTTTAATTGAGACAAAAAAATATATATTTTAATATAGTATATTTAATATAGTAATCCTGCAAAAACGAGAAAAGCGAAAAGATATATCACGAGTTATCACATAAAAAAAAAGTTGTATTCAATTCAAATAAATGAACACGGAAGCAAAAACAAAATTTAAACAATTTTTGGTATTCCTGAAGTATGCGCACCAAAATGTCGTACAACCTGAACCCTACCCTGGCACACAACCTGAGTTCAGGTTGTGCGCCATCTTGGTGTGCATACCTCAAGAGGTCTCATTTTTTTTAAAATCATATCCCGAACGAAGCTGGAACTGTAGAACAGCTAACTAGCAGTAACCTACCAATCTTTAACCACTATACAACAACATTATAACAATACGAACAATAGGTCCACTTCGTCTACAAAAATGTTATTTGTAAATTTTTAAATACAAAAACTAGTGTTAGTTATAAGATGAAGATACATTACAAATATATAATTTTATACTTTAATTTTTGCAGAACGCGCCAAAACCAGAATTCGATACATTCGTGAACGTGAGCGCACAGTTTTTTCCTGCCAAATATATGCCGTTACCGAGATTTGCTCTAATCAACAAAGCAAGTGTTTCACGTGATATTGGAATTAACAAAGGAACTGTTGCAATATATAAAAAGGTGAAATTATTATATTGTTATCCATACTTGTGAGAGTTTTTTAATTTCCTTGTACGATACGACATAGAAATAATATAATTTTATTTTTAGTTCGAGAACGGTGAAAAATTTATGTACACCGGATCACTTACTGATGCAAACGCCATGTTAAAATTTGTCGATGAACAATCACAGCCAATAGTGTACCCGTTTGGACAGCATGAGGTTTGATATTTAAAGTATTTTTAAAGTGTTGTTAGAATGTGAAGTGGTTGAATAATCTAAATCTTCATTGCTGTAATATACATCCGCTTATGGTGAATACAAAATTTCATTGGCAATAGTGCCGTCCTGGATAAGACATGTCTATGCTATTGAGATGATTTACTCAGGATGTCAGATGCCAAGCACTCGAATTGTTCCAATTTATTTTCCGGTATAAAAATTTTGATTATATGAAAGAAAAATGTCTATGTTGATCTATTTCTTATCATTTATCTTTTTAGTATTCGTATCGATTAGTCCATTCAGATGAAATACGTTATCAGCATTTGCTATTCATGCCACGTAGTGATGCCAGATTTAAACAAGCGTTTGACGATTTCAAAGCCGCAGCAAAGGAATTCATGAAAAGTTCGGTAAACTATTTTTACGTATTGATTGACTGTATTTTCAGTTTACTTGAATGGATTGCAATAATAAATATAGTTTCTTCAAAAACAAAAATTCAAACTCTTCTCATTTTGACAGGATAAGATAGAAGTTCTTTTTATACACGTCGATACATCAGAAGAACACATTGACAAAGTTGTTTCGTTTTTCCACGTCGACATAAATAAAGATATTCCTTGTAACAGGATCACAAAGCGCGATAGCTGGCATTCTCGATTTATACCGAGTAAAATGGATTTCACAAAGGAAGGATTTATTGATTTCACTCGTAATGTTATAGGCGGAACAATTAAGGTATTATTAATATCCTTAGACATATAAAAAATAAATAAAAATGTTGTCACCTCATCAGAACTAGTGAATACAAATTATTCATTTATATTCTGGGAATTTTAAACGGTTTAGGATGAGATCAATCTACCTACATTTTTATTTAATTTGGTTTGTTTCAACTGGCCATTACAAATTTTTGATAAACGCACTTTTACATTAAAAAACTGCACAAAGACACTTTGACATTAAAAAAACGATTCACCTCAAATTTCCTAACGTGAGGTTGTGTATTTTTTATTAGTTCAAATATTCCACAAAATATAATTTCATTGATCAATTTTATAGAGAAATATTCGAAGTGAAATTTTACCAGGAAATTGGAATAAATTTCCGCTAAAAGTTTTGGTGGGAACGAATTATGAAGAAATTACAAAAAATAAGGGAATGATCGTCTTTGTTATGTATTGTGAGTAAGCAATATTTTCGAATTTAATTGTTTCATTTTACACTATAGTTTTAACTAAATCATTTTTTTTGTATAAGACGTGAAAGGACATAAAGAATCGGACAAAGCTATGCCGGTTATCGACGAAGTTGCACAAATGTATAAACTGAATAATACTGTAACAATTGCTTCTATGGACGTTAGTAAAAATGACGGAGAGATCGATGTTCATCATACAATCCCATGCTTTAAAATGTTCACCGCTACAAACCAGGTAAAATCCACCACAATTTAAATTATCACTACATAAAATATTATGGTATTATAGTACTTTGATGCATACCTAATTTTGCAACACGTCTACTCAGGATGGAATATTTGTAAATTTCTCTCATGTTGCACATTTTCTCACTAGATATGCTTGTAATATTAGAATAAAACTTTGAATATTTTGCGAAATTGGTCATCGATGTACAATGTTCAGAATAATCAACAATATTGCTTGTGCTTATTTCAAATATATATATATTTCTTATAGGAAAAAGCTTTCAAAGGCACAAAATCTGCAGCTGCTATAAAAGAGTTCATTGATAGCAATGGTACAATACACACCGGGGTAAGAATTATCTATTTTTACTCAATAAATAACAAAAATGGCGAACCCTTGAGGTTGCTGTTAAATAGTATAGTAATAACATAGTATAGTTTTATCTGGTCACTGGCGGTAATATTTAAAAATACCCTCAGTTTTGAATAAATAACTAATTTCAGGGAATAATATTTAGATTTGCAATATATATATATATTGATTAGAAATAGAAAGTGTGCTTACAAAATGATATTTTATTTCAAACATTTGAAAAACTTGAATATTTTTTATACCAAGTACATGCCTGAAAAGGATGATATGAGCATGGATTTTGAATTTGATGAAACCGATGTCAAAGATCCGGATGTGTTAGATTATGAATCTGAAGAAGAGAGACAGAAAATGTACGCTTTGGAAGAAGAAAAAGCCGTTGCTAATGCTATAGAAGAAATTGAAGGTTAGTTGTTTAAAATAATGTATTATTGGATAGATGTGGTTGCTATACGTCAGTTTTATGCCAATTGACAAATATGACATTGCTAATATAGTTGACATTAAAGTTATAACTGCGTTTGCCGAAGAGCGCGTCGACTGCGCTGAAATTGCTAACATATTAAACCGGCATGATCCCGACACAACTGTTTTAATCGCATGTTAATTGAACTATAATTAATCACACGTTTAACTTTTACAAATACTCGAAATTTGATTTCGGCAAAATTATTTTTTCTCTTTTTAGGCCACAAGGCTCACGACGATCCAAAACACATGGTAAATCCGGAACATTACAGAAGGTTGGCGAGAGGAGAGGTAGTGGATGAACGTGATATGGATCCTCATAAAGATGCTCACTACGCGACATCGGACCATGAATCTAAGAAGCACGGGCATGAAGAACAGCACATTTTTCATGAAGGTCCTGATGGAACAGCTCACCATGAAGTACTGCAATCACCACACAAAGATCCCATAAAAATGGAATCACCTGGCACTCATAAAGATAATCATTATTATCATCATGACGATCACCATGATGACCATCATGATCAGCGTGATCATCACCACGATGAAACATAACGTTAATGAAGGGAAACTGCTTGGGCAGTAGCTCTGAACTAATTTTGCTAATTATCACATGGACGTTTCTAAATGCCAAATATCTCGGGTATACTTAGATTTGATAAATAACGGGAAATGATTACACGAGGATTGGAAAACATAAACATAGACAAACGCAAGCAATTTCAAAGAAGTCAAAACCGGAAGTTCGGAGTGCATTTGGCGCTCCATCTGCAGGCAATCAAAATTTAGCTCGACATAAACAGATAATACATTTAAGCGTTATGACCTTAAATTGAAGATATTGGATCAATAACATAAATGCTTTCGTTTGCCTTTAAAAAGTCTTTCCATTGTAACTTAGCTTAGCTTTCACATCGCTTTAGGTTTTTGGTGCTTTTAATTTAATTAAATAAAAATGTTTGCAGAAGAATCGTGTTTCAATTTTGTGTAAAAAATACTTTGTAAAATTTAGAAGAGATAAATTCCTGATAAGGTAATTGGAATTAGGTAGCATGTAAAGAAATGTTCATTTTTTAATACTCCTTGCTTTCCCTTTTTTATTGTAACAATCCTGTTCTCGGTATGGCGTGAAATTATTTATTCTGAATCATATTCAAAAAAACTGGGAAAAAACTGAAAGTTATTATTGTTAAAAGTCTTGTTTATAGTGAAAGTTTTGTACCATTGTTCAAAGAATTTGGTTCGACTCAAACATCACAAGATGCTTTTTGGTAAGCCGCGGTCATCCGATGGGTTATTCAAAAGTGTGGTGGTGAACCCAATAGTAAACTACAAGTGAATATTTTGCTATTCTTAACCGATCAAGAGAATCATATTCTCTTATTTGCAATATTTCGCCTAGTAAGCACGACTATAGTGTGCCATTCATTTCAGCCATTGAAGCATTTTGGTGATTTAGTTATACATACAGAAAGTATACAATCAAAACTTCCACAGGTATTTATTAAGCAAATAATTCAAAATATTGTAACACAGATTTTTAAAAATACTTTTGTTTCTATAATTTAGCTTAAGAGTAAAAGATAACACTTGGAAACTACAATAAAGCGGCTGGAGGCTAGAATAAAATAAATTACATGAGACATCTTGTGAGCATCAACCGAAATTGCATCCTCATTGTCTAAATTCAGTTTCATATACACGAAAAAGTCAATTAGTTTTACATTGATAATCTCTCAGTATTTAATATTATTAAAAAGCTATAATTATGTTAGAAATCTCAGTGGAAGTAAATAATAACCGTAAAAATAATATTTAATATAAAACAAATAACATTGATACGTTACTAATGGTATCTCGTTGGTATATTAATCGCGTTGACGATATTGGAGTTTACGTTGCTAATGGGAAAAATAAAAATTCTAACTGAACTGCTGGCATATATGAGAAATGAACCAGAATCCTGGCATGAGGCAGCAAATGCATAAATCATACGTCATTTGAAAAACGCAGTTGGTCATCCGATGTGTTAAATCGATAACTGTACTCACAGGTGAACTTCAAGCCGAATGAGTAAGATTGGTTATGGTTTTAAAGTGTCTTACAAATCCATTGACAGTTGGATGACCAGATAATTTTGATTCTCTTTTTTTATAAATTTGCGTTATCACATCTTCGCTACCCTGAATTGTTAGTTATGCAGTAACATCGATATCATCTCATGACGTCACTTTTGGGTGAATTTTTAACAAAAGTAGAAACCCCAGTTCTTGATACAGTGTCGTCATTAGCATCATCCTCGCGTATTCTTTGTTGTATTCTTGACGTGCTTGGTGACGTTTGAGGGTTTTCATCCGCTATAAAAACTAAAAATATCATGTAAATAAAATGAAGTATCCTAAATTCGTAATTTCTTAACGTTGTATGGCATTTTGAATTTATCGTGGTGACTCAAATGATCGGGATGATTCCAGTGATAGGTTTTAAAAAACTGTCGTGTTTTGCCTCTGTCTGCAAATGCCATAATTGCTATATTTGGTTGATTCCAACCGTCTTGATAATATTCTTCTCTTCGGATTTCATACAACACTTCTATAATTACAAGCAATGCGCAAAATTCTTGCTACCTATCAGTATTATCTATTGTAAAATATAGTCCAAATTAGTCAGGTATAGCCTTATACATTAGCTTAAAAAATAGGTCAGTCAAGTATATATGTTACAAGTTATGAAAAACGATATTTTATGTCTAAGTTTTTGTACAAGAATCTATGAAACATGGATTACAAGCAGGTCCATAAATTGAACAAACTGGAGAAAAATAAGCATTTCGGCACAAAAACGCACGGACAATTCCATACCCTCCAAATTCTTACCATTGTTATCAGCATCATTCATTAATGGATTGTCAAATGACATCAATTTAGAATCATTTGAAATCTTTCCGTTCTTTGTCCAATGTACTGAATCAATCTGTAGAGAATTTATTTGTTATGAAGGTATTACTATACGTTGAATAACATGAATGGTTAGTTTATGTTTAAAGCAAATTTGATTAATTTATTTAAATTCATTCATTTAAGTTTTTTTTTGAAACAGCGATGTTACACATTGGAAAACTGGAACAACCTTACTACTTCACTACAAACAACAATAGCTGAAATGTATGAATATATAAAAACAGGGATTTTAGGACACAGTGTAACATGTTATGTTATGTAACATGTGTATTTTACACAGTGTAATATAACAGGCATTATATTATAGCAGGCATTGTTGATAACGGGAAAAATAGGGGTATTAGAGCTGACAAAATAAAAAACAAATTTTTATACAGAATACATAAGCTTTTTTAGGTTCTCATTGATTGAGGCAATGACGAACAATAGTAGACGGTTTGTACACCAATACTAATCATTATGCGTTAGTAATTTTTTTGACGGCAATACTAATACGGCTAAACGTTTCCAGAAGTACGTACTGTAATATGATCAAACTATGTTTGTCAAATATTGAAATATAAATTTGCATTCATTTACCTCTAAATTATTGTTGTCATGATTAGAAGTAGTTGGACTTTGCGTTCTTTGAAATGATTTTCTTTTTTGTAGACAAATCATAAACGTCATTGCTAGAACGAGTAGCACGACGGAACAGACAACTGCTACAGCAATAATTGCTGCATCTTTAGCTCTTTCGTTGAAGGGTTTTTTATTTACTGAATCGTTTGTGTTGTTATTAGTAAGTTTGGAGGGCAAAGATCCATCTTCGATGAATTCATCATTGAAAGAGGCGTTTTGTAATGCAACAAAAAGTGGAAAAGAAACGGATTTGTTGTGATCTGTTGAAAACAAAAAAAATTTTGAAACATCTGTTGATTACGACCTTGCTTTTATCTAGTCGTTGCTATTTGAAATACATTTGAATGGGTCAAAAGAAAAACATACCTAGGCTGTCATTGATCACGGTTTTGTTGAGATAAAGGAAAAGATTCTCAGCCAGATCATATACATCGTATCTATCTCCACTGCCACTCCTTTGCTTCTATATTGTAAAAATGTATCAAATGATAACTAAAAGAATCAACCTAATGACACAAAATCAAATCAGCACTACACGAATTTAAATTTCAAAATTGATTTGTTATGTTCTCATTCATAAAAATTAATATACCATATATGCTTTAAAATAAACCTAAATGGGTATTTAACTCACTATCGCCGTTGCTATTTTCAGTTTAGTTGATGTCAAACTTTCTGCAATGCACTTAACAACAATTTCTTCTGAGTAGCTTACAAGTGGTTCCATATTTCTGATCTCTTCACAGATTGTACTCACAGTTGAACCCTAACAAAAACACATACATTCAAAATTGAAAGGTATCCAAAACGCTACTGCAAATAAAATTACACCTTGCTAGTAATAAAATGGTAAACGTTTTTGAACAATGAATGTTTTAATAAAACTTCTGAGTTTCCAATGCTTTTCTCAGCAATGGAAAGTTACCACCAGGGGATTTTTACACGTGGCATATTTTAATCCAAGTAATACTCAATTGAGCAATCTTACCTGAGGAATATGCTGTCTGTCAAAGTAGAGATAGACCATAGGACATGGTTTTACATCACGGCTACTTCTCGGTGATGGTTTATCTGAAAAATAAAGTTTATTTAAGAGTAGAATTATCATTAGGATTTTTGGTGATAAAAACTAAGTAGAATAGTCTAAATTTATTTTAATTTGGGTATATCCATCAATGCTTGAATATAATCATATTTCTTACTTTTGTCGAAGCAATCAGCATTGTATTGACAAATTAGTGGGCTGTTATTACTGCAATTAGTAGAAATACATTCTTCTTTTCCACACCGTCCTTTTCCATAAACTGGATGGAAGCACTCAGTATTGTTATCAACTGAAATGAAGCATTGAAACAGTAATTGAAAGAGAACATTTTCACCAATCTTTCCGTTCGCACGCTATTCATGGGTTTCAGGTGTACGAAAAGCTTAATATTTTAATAATCAGTCTTTTTGGAATAATTCATCTCTTTTAGACTGTTCAATATAATAATTTCTTTAGCTACGTTTAAAACTGCTTGTGGTTTAACCCTGACAAGTTTAACTTTTGATATAGATTTATTGCATTAACAACAATATTCACCTAAAGTTGAGAAATAATCTTAATCTTACATTTATTGTGAAGAGCTTTGTAGTTGTGAATAACAGACTTGCACTCGCAGAAGACATCTTCACATGTAACGACGTTAATTCCTTTGAACGAAATATTAAAATGCACTTTTAACAACTTTTTGCAGTTACCTATAAGGTACTGACAAATTATTGATTTTTCCTCAGCTTTTTCAGTATTTTTAAGAGGGATTTAAATTAATTCATAAATCTTCAATCAATTTCATCAAGTTTTGTGAACATTTTTCATGAATGAAATTTTTCTGGTTATTTACAAAGTCGCAGGAAAATATTCAAAAGAAATGTACTCAATAAAACAATTACATTGTTTTTAAAATTTCTTCTAAAATACATTTTATCGCAATTTTATCATATATGTGACTTAACAATATTAATAACACGACGTATAGCTTTTTTACTATTACATTTTTTAATTATTACAAATTTTTATCCGAATAACTAAAAATATATTTCTTACTTTGGTCGCAAAATTCGCCTTCATATCCTTCATGGCATTCACATGAAAATTCTTTGACGTCATTAACAACGCAATCGCCATAGGAACCGCAGTCTGTTCGATCAGTGAGTTCGTGACTACCATCTCCTAACTCGAACTTGACTTTGCATGCTGGAATTTCTGTATAATACACGAATATTAACTACAATCCATTACCAATATTGAAAAAAAAATATAGGATATTGTACATTGGTCTGCATGACCAGATTTGAACGAAATAATGTAGACATTAAGGTTGTGTTTAGAATTGAACTTGCATTATTAACAATCGTTAATGAGTTATTCACATAATTTCACTGTAACGTGCATGCATCCCATATTTATTTTCACCTTGTTCACAGAATCTCCCGTAATATCTTTCATGACAAGTGCATTTGATTGTTTGTTCTTCCAACGAAACGATCTCGCAAGTTCCATTATTTTGGCAAGGAGAAGGTACATCCGCGCACAGATCGACAACTTTCTCGCAAAACAAACCAACATGACCTGTAAATCAAAAAAGTAGTCACATTCGATATACAGTACACTTGTACAAACCTAGTTTATTTTGAATTTCAGGTGCGTTTTAAGCGACGGTGACAACGCAAGATTCAAGAATTAAATATGCATAATTCGCAACTAACCTCCTATTATACTAATGTGAAATTTCATTTCAAACAGAGTCACTAAAACAGATCACAACTATCTATATCCTATGCGGACATGAATATACAATGACTAATATAACCACCACTGTATTGGAGATCATATGAAAGTGCACTCGTTATTTATAAAATATGGCGAAATTTGGATATCTACTGAGAGAGATTACGAAAATATGAATTTGTAAGCTTCTAGCAAATTCCATAGCTACTTACTAAATATTTAATAACAAATAGTCTATATCAATTAGGTGAAAAAGAAATTTCTTCACACGAACAACCGCAATGAGAATAACAATAACAACAATTTAGCAAGGCGTTCCATAGGTCCACTTAGTGTCCAAAAATGTAAATACAATACCTAGCCTGCATGCACACACGAATGATTCTTCAGATGGAATGCACGTTGCACCGTTGAGACATTCGTTATTGAAAGAACAAGCATCAAGTTTATGATCACAGGTTCTGAACAGAAATGATAACAACACTGAAAATTTTGAGTGTAGCCAACTTCATTTGAACAAATTCTGCATGCAGCATAGAGTTGGGATAGTATCTTAATTGCAGGGTAGCAGCATCACCCCTGCCAGTGCGTTTTCGAATACAAAATTTGGGTTATCCTAATCAAGAAAACATTCAAAAAAATTGGGATAGCACAAAATGTATAATATATCACCTATTTGAAAATACTACATGAAAAGCACATTTGACGACATATACAGTTCAATAGGGTTACATGCATTGTATATATATTAACCAACCAAATGTACGAATAACTTACTCTCCTGCGAAACCTTTAGTACATATGCATTGAAACCCTCCAATAGTGTTTATGCATTCTGCATCGTTTTTACATAAACCATGTTGGGTTTCACATTCATTAACATCTTCCTCACAATTGAAACCGGTATATCCCTAAGAATATGATTTTAATTTAGTTACGAACACAGTAATACAAAAAATTTATTGTCGAGTAAAGGTGAGTAGAAAAGACAACATACTTCGTCACAGTTGCAATGGTATCCGTCTCGTATGGGCATACATTCTCCCTGGTTTCCACAAGTTATGTTGGCACAAAAGTCGACTTCGTTTTCACAATGCTTGCCAGTGAAACCTAGCCTGAAAAAAAGTGGCCATTTAATCAAATAATAAATATATAATAAATATTTATTGGATCACCATACCATATTGATACTCTAACTCGACTCAAGTTTTTACTGAATAGGATTGATCTACTGCTGACCATCACAGTACAGAAATCGTGTTTGAGCGAATTCAAAGTCTTCGTTGCCCGGTTACTAAATGTGACAGAATGTAGCATTCAACTCAATGAGTCTACCGACGATAAGAGATGAACTCACCCACAAACGCACGTTACGTTATTGTTTAATACAAGACATCTTGCATCGTTCTGGCATGGATTTTCTTCACATTTCAAATCATTTCTTTCTTCGCACGAATCACAATCAATTTCACAATTTTCCCCTTCAAATCCGGCGGGACAAACGCATCTAATAAAAATATACAAGAAAACATCGGAAAAATAAATTTATTGTCTCGAAAATGACACCTATATACATTTGCACCTATGCACATTTGCACCCACGTACAAATGAACATTTTCGCGCTTGACGTACGTGGGTCGACTTTGAGATATGATATGCTTCTAGAAAGATAGAATATTGTTTTCAAATATATATTTTGAATTAGACTTTATTTAGGCGTCAATTTTCTGTGATTACATTCGTTTTAAAGTATTTTGTGTTGATTCTTGCCGGTAGACTCAGAAGATACGATGATCATTATATTTATCCATATCCGCCAGAAGCTATCATCGAAAGAGAATGGTTGTTAAGTCATCGAAAGTGAATAGACATACATACTCACATGTATTCATTCTCCAAATTCACGCATGTAGAGTTAACTGGACACGGTAGTTCTACTGATTCGCAGGATGCTACTTTTGTCTGGCAATATTTCCCGACATATCCAACTTCACAATTACACACAACTGTTTTCTGTAAACAGTACCGCGGTTATACCATTTTGTAATATTTAGCCTTTGGCTAAAATTCTACAAAAATTTAGGTACTTTTAAACAAAAATAGTTTTTGACGGGTGTAAATTTAAACTTATAGCAGAATATAAATGTTAGTTCTCTTTGAAATAAAAAGTTCAACTGTATATAAAAAGATTCAACTGTAGCCAAAAAAAGAATAAATCAACGAATTGTAAGTGGATATGTAGACAAACCAATACGTAGAACTTCATTGCAGTTGATAACAACGATTGAAGTGTCAACGATTGTGTTCATCTAATATTTACGTCAAAATTTCACGCATTTCTTCCAACAAAATTGCTATGAAATTACGTTTAAATTGATATCGTATCTTGTGAAGTATCATGTTACCACAATGTGAGCTGAGAATGTCAGTTCAAATAAAACCAAAACACCAATTTAAATGTGATAAAATTATGTGTTGTATTTACTTTGCGAAACAAATATATATTTATTCCTCCAAACTAAACCTAATGTACCCATAAAACATTTTGCTTTAATCATTTGTCTGGTCAAGAAAATTATACAGGCATGTTGGCCTAACTTTTTATGATGAATTGATTACTATCATGTGAAAAATTCACGACAATTTTTTACTGAGAAAGCTATCAGTTGAATAAACTATTCTATTATGTGTAAAAGCAAATTATAGTTTAATTTCATCTGTTTTTCTCCTCAATTTAAAGTTTATTCCAGGTTAAAGGTAACTGACATATAAATTAAAAAAAAGCTTTATTCCGAATTCTAAGAGTGATGTAGTTGTAAAATAAATTTGATGCAAGCATTATGTATGAAGACTAAGTTTCACATCGATCATTCGACGGTGGCCTAACGAATTGAAATTCATTTAAACAAAACTTCCTCTTGCAATAAAATTGAAGTAAAAGGTACAATGTATTTTATGTACAAACCTTTCGATGTGATAAAATGTCGTCGTAGATACAACTAAAGAAAATTACACAATCCAGACATTTGTAACAATTAAAATATTTACTAACTTCGTGAAACTCAGATTCTTCTTCAAATATTGAGAAACATCTGCCATTACCATTACAAGTATCATCTTCACATGGATCTTGTATTTTTTCAGCACATGTCGGTCCAAAAAAACTTTCAGTGCAAGTGCATTCATATAGTCCATCAGAAAAGCTTTCACATTTTCCACCTGAGAGGAATAAGTTTACTTTATCAATAAAATTTAATTGGTTATTTAATTTTTTTAATTTCCGTATTAAAACATAAACTAAAAGCGTGAAATAAAAGGAGTTTCGATAACTGAGTGATTTGGCGCCCATGATCCTTTTTTGAAGGATAATTTTAATTCTATGATTGCCTGGTCATGTGTGAGAAGCAGCCATTTTTGGCTGATGAATCGCGAACTTCAAATTCTGAGTTTACTTAAATATTGATTTCAGAATTATTGTGCTATAGATATTGATGATTTAAAGTATATTTTATCAATACAATATATGAGTAATGCATATCACAATTATGTCATTGGACTCCCATATTTAGTAACCTGTTAAAAACACGCGACCCAGTAAATTATGTTTCAATTTCGACTCGTCATTGATATGAATTATGTTTTGCTCATTTCCAGTAACTAAAAAATTGCAGCGATGAGCAAGATACGATGAATAATTTTAGATTTGATTTAAACGAAAAAAGTTCTCTAGTGACTGAAAACAACAATACAATGCTTGTTACCAACTAAATGACATGTTTAAAACAGTATATGAAAAGAAAAATCTTTATATAAGAATACGAAGTTTTACTTTTTTCCATTTTGCTGAGTAATTACTATTACACTTGAGGTCTTACTTATTTTGTATACTTTATAAACAATTTTCAAACGGGATTTTATATTTTGGACAGAAGATAAAAAAAAAAATTTTCAAACAATATTCCAATAATGAAGCGTACTAATGCAATGTATTGAAATAATAAAATTATCTTATAATCAAGCATCAGTACGACAAGGTAAAATATCTTACCATTCAAGCATGGTTCACTTTGACATCCATCAATCAAAGATTCACAATTTTTCCCAGCATATCCTTCGTTACAATCACAATCATATGAATTTATTCCATCAACGCATTTTCCGCTATTAGAACATGAATTTTCCATGCAATCATCAATGTCGACTTCACACTTTTCACCTTTTGCGAGAAAAATATTAAAAACGTTAAATAATAAACATATAAATACCTCTTTTACTAAGAAGCTATATCATTATAAAAATATTCAATTTAAAATAGCGTTATCGACAACATTTGTTTTGCACCAAAGCAATTAGTTTTTATTCTATATATTAAAAAGAGACAAATTGTTGGATATCCTGACATTTTCTTTAGTATATTTTTAACAAACAAGTAAACTGGTGTCAGATATGCTATGTAATATTACTTGTTATTGCTATAGGCAACTCAGATTTCTGAAAAGTTTCTCACGAGGATTGCAAACCCACATGAATTTCGTTCTGAGATGAAATGTAAATTGTCAGTTTAGAAATTATAATTATCATTCAATCCACTTAGTGACTGCACTTCTGTGGTTTACAAATGGCTGAAACATTCTAACACGCAAAATTCTTCATCAACCTTCTCAATTTGAGACATTTGAAAATTTGCACTGTCGAGCCGATATGACCCAAAACGTTTTCTTTTGTGTACTTATTTTTAGGTAATATAAACATAACATCTTCGCCACATATGTAATGACAAATCCAGTTAATGACTCGGAATGTGTTTTTCCAATAAAAATCGTGCTTAAGGTTTTATTGAATAAAATTTTTATCAGCTAACCCGTGAACCCCGTATCGCATGAACACCGGAAACCGGAAGAATCCGACTCGCATTCTCCGTGGTAACCACAAGTTTCATCAAGGCAATGATTTACTTCATTTTCACAAAATTGACCATGAAATCCATCAGGGCATTCACAAATAACGTGGTTGTCTATATCCTAAAAACATCAAACATTAGAATATTCGGCTATCATGAAAAGAAATGCTACATAAAGAAACACAGAGATATTGAGTGCGATAGAGAGAGAGGCAGAGAGGGAGAGCTTTAAAACGCAAACCAAAAAAAACGATTTGACCAAAACTGAATACTGAGGATAGTAAAAAAATCAATTGAAATTTCATGTATCTCAATTTTAATTTCTCATTTCCTAAATTCTGGTAATAAATTTTGATGGAATATATATTTAGTAATAGTAGAATATTGAATAATCATCAAAACCAAAAAATCGCTATCTTTAAGTTGCTGCTTCCGTATTATTTTAATTTGCTTTAAGAGTCTTGCTCTCTCTGCGATTATTGAAAATATAGCGATGGAAAGAAACTTTAAAGTAAAATTCGGAAATATTGGAGCGAAATAATATTAACTTACCTGACAAGAACCGTCATTGTGACATGGCTCGAAGTAGCATGGATTATTTTCTGAATAGACACAAATAAAGTTAGATTCGTAAAACTATATTATAAATCGTATAAATCGAAGATTTGAATTGCAATGAAACTGTTGCTGTTTGTATACAGATATAAATAAATAAATCCATGAATAGTGAGTACCATAAAATCAACATATTGAATTGTGAATTTACATTAGATAAATCTACTTTTCAGATAAAAGTGTCATCTTTAAAATTTGCTACAACATTTTTAAATCAATTTTTGTCCAAGAAATAGAAATCTTTTGTTAGAGAGTAATATGAAAATAGTAAATTTTCAGCAATATTCATAAATCTCTAGTAGAATTAAGTAAAAGAGCTACAATTATACGTAAGGTGCAAGAATATAAAGATATACAGTACCTGAACAATCTTTGCCTCTATATCCTCCATTGCATACACATTCATATTCTTCGTCATTTAATTTCGAACATGACAGAGTTCCGTTTTGGTTACATCCTGCTGTTACCATGCATTCTGCAATATAAAAATTTCATCTTCAAATAGACTTTTTGAGCTAATTATGTTTGAGCCAAAATTGCAAAATGAAGAAATACTGTAAAAGTTAATAATTTCTTTCGCAAAATTACATCCCAATTTAAACAGGAATCCTAAGAAAACGATATCAAAATCATATAGTCTTTATCTTGGCCAGTTCAATTTTCCACAAATAAGACTCGAAAATTATTTTGAAAACAGACATATTTTTGCTTAGCCAAACATGATTCGACAGTAAATTTCTGTGAATACAAAATTTCTCACCATTTTGCAGGTTGAGTGTTTCCTCCTGTAAGAATACAGAAACAATATTTCAGAAAATTAATGCCAGACCATGTTTGATATACAGCAATGCAAATTTTTAGTAAAAGACATATATATTTTTTTTATTATATATATATATATATTCGTAACTAACTCAGATGTATTACCAACAACAAATTTTATATGAAAAGGCAATTTTTATAGTAAGACGTAAAATTCAGGCGAACAAATAAAAATCTTTATTCAAAGTTAGGATATTTTTTTTTTCATTATACTTCGGAATAACTTGATTTAATTCACTTCGATGTGAAGAACTACTTAGAATATTCAATTAGTTTTTTTCTGTTTCATAAGTTGTATTTGACTATGTGCCGTATGCTGCCCTTTTGGAAATTTGTTTATTAAATCATTTTTTAGCAAATATATAACAATATTTGTTTATTTCAGTAAATATTTTCAAAACATAATATTGAAACGAGAATGAAGTCTCTAATAAATGAATTTTATGAAAAAAAACAATTTTAATTCAATTTTCGATTCGAAATATTGTTTTAATTAAATTCTGACAATAATATCTGATTCGGAATAATAATAATGTTAACAAAAGACATGATGTAATGTGTATTTCAGTCAGTTTTTAATAAATATTTAACACAAAAATTGAAATTTCGACATTAAATATTTAATATCACTTTTTAATATAATTTTGTTCCTAATGTTTCTCTAAGTGATATTTTAATGTGACGAGCACCACGAGGCGACAAATTAAAAATCAATTTAGCTAATGGGTGGGACAGATTACTGAATCAAAATAATAAAATTTTGTGTATTTGGGAGAGATTTTTTATCATTTTGTACCAAATGTACGACTTTGACTATGTAATTTTATATATTATTTATTATTTTTATCAATTTGCGTAATCATTAGAATTTTTGATTAAATTATGATCCAAGTTAATTCATACGACTCTATTAAAATGAAAAATATGTTTTATGATTAAACAGCAAAAACTGAAATTTCAATTTACATCGTTTAAATTCATTTGTCAAGTCGTCATCAGCGCTAAAATCAATTGTAAAATAGCACTTGAAATTTATCCGTTGAATATTACGTTTGTATATTTAAAAGAAAAAAGTTAAATATACAATCAATAAAATTATGGATGGTCTTTATTTTTACAATAACCAAAAAACTCTTCTTACCGTCAGTTCTAATCCATGAAGCAAATAATCACGAAGTTGTTCGTCCGTACATGTTATTTTTCTACAATCATATTCATTTTCGATCTCTTCTCTTTTGAAACGACTTTTGATAAATTCTGACGCAGTATTGCGATCAATAAAAACTGTAATGTTAATGAAATTTAATTCAAACATCCTGAAGAATTAATAGAATATGTTTATGAATGTAAGCCTTTTTGAGATTGTATAAATAAGCAAAAAAACATTAAAAAACTAGTCAGCCTTGAAAGTTCTGAAAAATTATCTTCAAAGCCTAATTTCAATCCATAATTGTTGAATATAAAAGCATCAAAACACCCAAATTGTACGAAATGAAATGGTCCTATCCGCCTGGAAATGATATTGATATGGAAATATAATATGGATTGAGTTGAAGTAAGTTATGTTGTAAAAATTTTGCTTCTTCTTTTCTAAATTTGATACAACATTAAAAGCATTCGATTATGTGTATTTCATATCGGCATAAAATTATAAATTGCCCGAGGTAACAATTCTAACCATGCGGAAATTATTACTTTTCTGGATATGTACCGCAACAAACAAACGATCCAACAACATGAACTTGGTAAAAATACTGTAATATGGGATTAAGCATCGTCAGCCACTTTGTTTTTGTCGAAGAGTACTTAAAATGTTACAAAGCTTCGGTGAAGTGAAATTCACAATAATTATCGCCATTGAGAATCAAATATTTTAATTGTTATAGATAGAATTGTCAAACAACCAAACAGTAAACAAATAATTATACAAATTCACGAACATTCCTGACACACATATTTCGTTGCAATCTGGTACAAATTGCCCCTTTGCTGCCACAAGTGTGAAAACTAGCTGCTTATTTGCATTTTTGAGATTTCAACATTTAATAGTGTTGTATTTTGCGCAATACAAGGTCATAGGATTCGCATTATATAAAACTATTTAAAGGGGCAACATTAAGTGTTATTAAGACCATCGTTGCTAACTTATTCAAATATAAGAGTTTTTTTCAAACTTATCGTAAACACCTATACCAAAAATAGATTACATTCTCCAAACTGACGTATAAACACTGACATAAGAACGTTTGTTAGAAACTGGTCAATTACAAACCAAATTTTGCCGACAAAGATTTTTTAACATGAATGACTCTTACGTAATTTTAGGTGAGAGATCTGTAATTGATTAAAGTTTCAAATATTCGGCTGAAAGATTTTTACTCAGTTGCATAGTGCATTTAGAAATCTGTTTCTGGAACATTCAACAAAAAACAAAAATCAGTTTATAGTTATTGACGAATATTTGAACTGATCATTATTCATTGCAATAAAATTTTCTTAAGTTTCACCATTTTCAGAGCAGTCATCTCCTATCCATCCGTGTGAACAAATAATCTCCCCTGTCTGTGGATGACAAGTCAGGCCTTGTCTTAGTTTTGACGAATCACAATAAATTTTACATCGTGGACCATAGAATTTTTCAGCACATTCCAATGATATTTTTAGCTTCAATCCTGTAAATATAAATAATGTTATGAAGCTAAAAATCAGTTGTTATTTAGCCAGTCAAAAAAGCTAAACGAGAGTTTAAAAATAATTTTTGATGCAAATATCTGGTTATAAATTTTTAAGGTGTGGAATGAATGAACCAATGTGAGAAAATGTGGATAAAAAAATTAAAGAAGATTATGTTTTGAATTTAGTTAAAATTACCAATGACATATGACCTTGACATAATTTCTAAATTTACTTTGCGATTTGAATTTGTCCACGCGGCATAAAGTTAAAAATACAGTCACATTTTTACTATCGGCGTCATAGCACATGTCGCAATTGACCGCATTCCTAGCTTGTAACCAAATACAACACCAATTTTAAAAACTGACCAAACATGATCATTATTTATTCATTGATCTTTAGGCGTGGTGAGAAACAAATTGATGAAATGATCTGATAGCAATAATTTATATTTAATAAATATTTGACAAAAAAATTACCGTGATCTCGAATATGTGCTAATCTTCAGAATTGAATATTTGAAAAAAAAAGAGTGGTCAAAGAAAAATCACGGCTTCGCCATATGGCATCATCTCAACTTAAGTCAAAGAACTACAAAACGAAAAATTGTTCTGCCATTTGAAACATAATTGCTCCAAGGAAATTCAGTTTCAACAAGTGAAGTCCACTAGCCTTTAATAAAGCTCTAACCAATTTGACAAAGTTTAATAATAACTCCCGTTGATTATGGTTATATATATGCCCAAACTGCAATCAAATTGATTTGTATACCTGAAAGTGTGTCTACAATATGTGTTCTATCTTCACGTGGAAACATCAGCGGAAGAGGAAAGGAAAGATTATCATTAGCTCCATCCAACCTGTCGGACCCATCTTGATTTATATCTTCTTCTACTGGGAGAAGAAGAAGGTGCGTAGAAATCTAAAACAAATAATTCACAAGTTGATACTTTTAACACATCACAGATGTTGCTTTCATGAGAGTTATCTGCAAAGTTTAAGTGTGTTTTCCATGGATGGGTAATTATTGCAGTATCGAAGTAGGGATGGAAATGACTTTAATTTTAATAAAATGATCATGTTAGAAGTACAATTTTACACTTCATCGCCTTATAATCCAGTGTTTATTTGCTTGTTATTGCTAATTGAGCGTATCTGTAGATGATCGCACAATTTATATTGTCATATAATAATTTTACCACAGCGTATTATTACAAAATATCAATGATACATGAAATTGTGGTTAACGTTCCGCAAACAAAAAATTTTGTTTTATGCGATATTTATAATACCAACTTTAATATTGTTTGATTTAAGCTCCTTAAACAAATCAACCATTAAATTACATACAAATGAATTTGTCTATTAGTAGAGGTTGTGTTTGTAATAAATGCGAAAAAATTGATAACAATAAAAAATTATAAGCAAATAGTCAGTTCAGAAAGCGACTACCGGATATATTTTGACCTGTCACATTTCTCACGATTGTATCAAATGGGCGTGATCGAAAATTAATCAATTTAATCACGACATTTTTCTGTATCGATATTAATTTTGCACTGAATTTTCAATTCTTAGCAGTACGAAAATAATAAGCTATATTATGCACTTAATGAATTGCACTGTTGATAATGAATAGAGCAATATACATGATGTAATTGTAATTATGTTAAAAATATTTCATCAAGATTAAAATGCTAGCTTTGATTAGTAATGTATTTACTCAGTTTCAAAAATAGACCATTGTTGTTTAATCGCTTCTAATTCTTTTCCACAATTAATGATGTCAATTTTAGAAAGCAATTAAATTCAAATACACTAATGTATTCCACAAAGTATCTCATGTCACGATAACAATTGCTGTCTCATGTGTAAACAACTTCATGAAAGAAAAACATATTTATTGTACTTATTTGTTGTATTCAATACAATCTCAAATGTTTTTGCGATTCATGTTCGTTAAAAAGGATTTGCAACAAAAACAGCACAATTGCTAAAGTCTTTAAATCCGGATAGGGCCAGTCGAAAAGACAATGAGGATTCAATATTTAGTATCCCTGTTTTAAATTAGCTTAATATTGGTTGCCTATTAAATTTGTGATATTGTGTTATATGTACCATAGCGCACTTGCTATTAAAACTTTCTAGGCATCTAACCCAGAGTAGACAACCCACAATATAATACTACAGAATATATTCCAAAAATAGAACTTCAGTCGTTTGAATGTCAAGAAAGCTCATGTGTATTACGTAAACGACGTCACGTCGAGACTATCGCAAATGTGAACAATGCGTAAGAGAAAAAGCTTCCTGTCACGGCATCTATTCATGCTGTCTGTTTAATACCTAACCTACCAATAAACTAAACTGATCTTGCAAAAATCACCGTATAATCCATAGCAGAAGCATTTAATATATACCTATCTAGCTATATTGTTGGTCTTACTACGTTTGTCTATTCGTGTTAAAATCCTAAACGAAACAAATCAGAACGAATTGGTGTCAAACAGGTTCAAACGTTGCACTTAAAAAATAAGTGAACAAACGTGTACAGCGTGGGAAAATTTTTACATATATACATGTTTAAAGTTTTTTCTTGGCGTTACTCTTAAAATAGAGTCGTTAGTATTACTTAAGCTGACAGTGAATATAAATAAAGTGCACTCAGATCGGTCGCCACCAGGAACTTTTAAATTGTCACAGGTTTTCAAAATATATAGCCATTTATCAAGACGACGAAACAAGTTACATACACATGTTGACTTTGAATATTCAAAAGGTTTCGAAAGTTTTAAAATCCGAATGCGTCATAATGTAATTTACTGTGTAATTTCTGTTTTGGTCTCAAATAATGCCCAAGATTTTCATTACTATCGAAACACGAAAAAATCAAAAAAAATTTTTTTCCGCGGCACCATGAATGAAAATGCTTAATTTTTTACATGGTAGTGAAAAATATGTATGTGTTTTTGAATAAATATATTTTTTATCGTTACTAAAAACGTCAGTCTGTACCTGACTCTTCGTAAACAAAAAATATATTTAATACACTGTTACAATTACGTATTATACACACAGATCTTTTAAAAGAAAACTCCGCCTAGGTAGACATTTATTTATAAACTTAATTATATTAACAGTAATTATATCCACCCACCTTTGAATCATCGATAGGTAAATGTAGAGCGGCAAACTCTTGAAAGTTCCTTGAAGATTCCTAATTTGAATGTAAAGATAATTGAAGTCATTAATTTAAATTTAAAGGTAAATGTCAATGAATATCACGATTAGGTCGATGTATTAATTATATTTTGCATTTGAACCACCCGTGATTGTTATAGAATTCACATTTCTCATAGAAAAAAGTTGTTCATTTAAACTCACAATTAAGTGTGGCTTGTTTATACATCCATAGTCAAAACACAAACAACAATTATATGAGGTTAAAAATGTAAATTGATTTATTGATTTGAGTTATGATTAATGAAACATGATTGAAACCTTTTATGATAAGTAATTGAACGTTTCCTGTGAAAGAATCACTAATATTCAATACTAATGTTCAATGCTGAAATGGTCAATTATTCTTTCAAATTTCATAAAACGGGGAAGATCAGGATATGAATGAAATGTGCGAAAAGTATAATCACGTTAAATGATCATATAGCAAGCATACGGATTCTCAGTCATTTGGTCTAAGGTGTCGCGCTCGTGGTATCTTCAAGACACATTTTCGAGTACGTGCATATGACTTTGATTAAGCATATTTTGTGCGTGCTGACTTTCAGTTTATTGGGTACAGGTTGAACTTGAAATATACTCGAGACAAGTATTGTCTGAAACGTTTTCGGCATTAAATTTTCTTTACAGAGTTGGATTCATTGATTTAATAATTTGCATTTAAAATGTTGTAAAAGTCATGATTGTGACACACGTTTTTGACAATGAGGAGCATTATCCAGACAGTTTGGACTCTGTTGACCCATGCCTTACACAAATAAAATTACAAAATAAAAATAAAAATGGAGTGTTAAAAGGGAGAGAAACAAAAATGCAGGAATTGTACAACTCTATTACAATATGGAAAATATTGAATGTTTAGTAAACTTTGCTTCCATTCCTAAACGCCACCTGTTTTGCGCACAGACTAACATGATCAGTATCGTCAAAAATATTTTTGTTTTTCTGCAAAACTTTATTTTTTACATTATCTGAGTGTGTGACAATATTCAGTAAAAGTGGCAAAAAATTATATTACTGAGGCATTACCATTTTTGATGAACTTGAAAATCTACCCAGAATTAAGTCTTCTTTACTTTTGAGTAAGCATGAGTAAGTAACCTTGCTATGCGTAAATTCTCCCACGAAATAAAAGTAGATTCATACAATTTATGTTGTTTTTGAAAATTTGATATAAGCTTACCTTATTCCAATTCATTCGTGAATTTCCGCAACTATGTACAAATTTCTCGTGATTATCGGTGTCTACCTTTCCAATACATATCTTAATTTTTTCCAATTTTTCGACCAGATTATTGGCCTTACCGTTTTCATTGCCGACATCTTCCTCAAAATAGGGATAAACTGTCACGAACCCAACAATATCTGCAGATACTAACTGAAGATATATTGAGAGAACTACGAAAATTTTTAATTCAGACATTTTAAAAATCTAAATGATCTGAAAATAATATTTTGGAATGTTTATATATAAGGCATAATTATATAGTAAGATCAAAATAGAAAAAAAAATTAAGTTATTAGATAAATAGATCAAGATTATTAAAATTCAAATCATCATTTTGTCGTGTCTGACATGGAATATTAATTTTTTAGTTTCTCGTTCATATATCAATTCTCTGTTATTACTCTGTTATTTAATTAATTGGCCACATAAATTAAGTTTTTAATTAGACAATTTATTTTCTATGTTTTTCGAATACGATATCCACAATATAGTACTATCTTTAGTATGAAAGTAGAGCTAAGCTCATGGCCATGTATGATAGAGGTTTTGTTTTGTAAAATATTCGACTTATTTTTGTGAAATAGTTATTTTTAAAAATGCCAAAAACGAAAAATTTCGGTTAGTGTTTATTCACGATTATTTACGTAGACTAAAGATAAAACTCATGTCGCAATAAGTTATTCACCACGAAAAAATCCCGAGAATAGCAATAAGAAATTTCCCGTCTCGAAGACAAGTCTGCGTGCTGTCATTTATTTGGCAGCTTCAAAAGTGTGTCTGTCTGAATAATATGTACTTGAAGGCTATGCGCGTCTTTTTATCCAAATACTGCCTACCTGGAGTATAATAATATGAGTATATTCGATGAGTACTAATTTTTCAATAATTCCAAAAGCATGAGTATTTTATAAAGATACAACCATCTAATAACAGATTCTTTGTATAGTATTAAACTGAAGTAGACAAATATCGAATAGAACTCGTAATTTTTATAAAAAAAAACTCGATATTTTTATAAAAAAATCAATAGTTTATTTTCTTTTACTAATCAGCAAGATTTTTCTAAAAATAAAGTAGCTTTCTCATAAATATATCCATCATTTGACCTGTGATATTACTCACGACGTCCTGGAAGTAATGGTAACTAGTACGAGCAGACTCCATATGAATATCCGACATGTAAACTTTGACCCGCCAGTAATATTCGTGCAAACTAAATCTTTATAATCTATCACTGAATGTTCAATTGATAACATATCTACATATCATACTTGGCAACGTTTGGATAAGAAGATAAATGATGATTTATAAATCCTACGAATTAATATATCAAAAAATTTATAAACAAGTGTCGTTTTTAATTTTTTGCTTATATTTTTCAAAAATAATAATCAGAGATGATAAAAAATTTCTCCGTTATAAAATTATTCAATTTTACGCTAATTTTTAAAATTGAAAGCTCAAATAAATTTTCTCAATTAAATGATAAAATCTCGAAATTTTGCATTTCCGTTTTTTAAGTTGTTATTCCACAAAAAGTAGTGAGGTTACAAATCGCACTTTTACTATAAAGTATAACTTTATTCTTTTCTCAACCGTTACGCTAATTCTTGAGCTCAATGTACCGGTACGAAAATAACGGTATGTATTGCCATCTCATCGGTAATACGATAGCGTCAGATTTTGTACATGAATCTGTCTTACGTCTAGAATACTAATTTTTTAAACATTACTATTGTGATAATTTTTAAATTATCTGATTTTGAGTTCCATATAAAACGTAACTAATTAATTGGAAAAGTTAAAATGAGTTGGTTGCCATTTTCACTTACACTTTGGTAAACATCTTGAAAGAAGTAAAGATTAATTGAAGTCGTGCCAACCAGACTTGGAAAATACTCTAGCTTCCTCATAGTTTTGGAGTTGTCATAAAGTCTATCTAAGAATTGAAATCGATCAGAGACATGAGGCGTGATATGCTTCTAAATTTGCATAAATTTATTCAGAGACATAATATGTTAATACGTTTCATGTAAACTATTTGAGATTTGAAGACAAGAGTATAAAACAAACTCCCTTTCCTGTTTGTTCTGAATTCTTATCTGAATGCAAAGAAAGGACATTTAAACTTTTTTCTACGACAAAGCTTTTTCCAAATCAAACTAACCTAAATGACTATACCGTTCAATACCACGAGTCTTTCAACATAAAAGAATCGTGTCACCTTTAAAAATTAGCCAGAAAAAGCATGGCTCGCTATCGTGATTGAGTAGAGAGGTGTACATTGTAAGATACTTGTAATAACTTGTTAGTGTTTGACCAAACGCTATGAGGCCAAATATATAATTCAAGTCATTACGGTTACGGAAAAACAATACGGCATTAATTCTTCAAAGCGATAATTCGTAAATAAGCATAAAGCATAAACATGCCATTGGTCTTATGAAAAAAAATGCCGTAAACCCTATTTTTCGAGGAGCGTTAATCAAAGGATACAAACTCTTCTATAGTATATCCTTCGTAATCAATTTCTTCTACCAGCTGAACATTTCCGTCTGAGACTATTCTGTTTACATGCTCAGCGTAGTTTATGATAATGCGCCTATGATTCTGTTAAAAATGACTCAAGTTTGTCTTGGCGCTATCGCTAGGATACATATTGCCCTTGGGCATTAGTGGATTTCTGCATAGCAAAGCTAAAAACTAAAATAATAATAATACGAGAGGTGAAGGGCGTACACGACACAGCCCGGATGATCTTACCTATTTCATGTCACTAATTGCCCGCTTATGACTGACTTTACGAGTGACATTTTTTAATGGCGTTGCTCTACTGGTCATAAGTTGGCCTACATGGAGTAAATTTACCAGCATTTATAGGTAATTCCAAAGTTAGTTTGCCAGAAATAACGCAATCTAACTACGGGCCGTGCTTGGAACACCTTTTGCAGAATCCTAATATATAATATGTTCCTATTTTTATACATTTATATCCTGTCTATTAGATACAATGTTGACCTATTATCATTCCTTGCCGGTAATTCGACGATGTGCTGGATTACAGGATCGATTTGAATTATAATTTAGATGAATATGATTGAAAAGTCATTTATTTATTCGACTATAGTTTTATAGCGGTTCGAAAAAGGGTTTTAGGATTAATTAAATCGTGTGGACTGAAGAAAACTTCCCCGTGCGTCTAAGATAGTTATTGGGATTTGAATTTATTCTCGCTACAAAAGGGTATTTTTTAGGAAATTGAGCTCATCAAAAATGTACTCACTCAAGAGATAATAAATTGAGTAGTTTTTCATTGTGTAGACTAGAGCGTTACTCATAGAAAAGAATAATGGTGTAAACATTCTATTAAATAGCTTTCACCAAATAGTGAAAACACTAAACATTAAAAAGTTACCTCGAGAATAATTCAATACCTTCATTGAGCATCAAACAACCTATACATTTGTCTTTTATTGGTTTTCAGGCAGATTTCGTATTCGTAGGTACCGTCATGGAAGTGAGTGTCGAATTATTGCATGCCTGATATTCCAGTCACTGTCATATCTTTATCAATATGCAACAATCTATGGAAGAATAGTTGTATTGAAATTTAAATAAAGCATGGATTTATTTAAAACTTATTCTGCGTACTACAGGTCATAAGATAAAGCTCGCCTCTTATGCTCGGCAATATATATATATAAACAATGAGATATTTCCCATTTGTTAAATTGCAGCATTCCAACGAATGCAAAATTACAGAGTTCGTGGTTTCAATATTTACATATTGGCGGACATTTAAGTACAGTTTGGATACCGGTAACGTATAATTAGTTGGCGAATGACGTAACTAATTGATATGATTGGAAACGTTATACTTCTGGCATTGAAAATGTGCACCATATGTACAATTGAAACTTTCTATTAAGTTCGTTGGCGTAACCAATAGAAAATGTTTAGTAAAATTACATAAAGTTAAATAGCATAACGTAGTCACCTGACTGGCGACTAGATCAATACATGTTTTGAGGTTTATTCACTGTAAAACATATCTGTAACTTGTCAATCGTGTGATCAGTAACTTTTTCCGGTCGAACAAAGTAATGCATTCCACCCTTGAGTAAATCTGTTTATTTGTCATTCAAACAAAGTTTGCGTTGAACTACATGAAGTTGTCAGATGTTTTAGTTGAACTTAAATCCAAGTCATAGTTTCCACCGTGAGATTACCAATCTAAAGCAATCGCATGAAGATGATTATTGGGAATTGTCACAAATTTTGTTAACTTTATAATGAACTAATGATGCTAAAAACATGGCATGAACTCTCTGTGTCTGTTCACCGACGGTGCCAAAAGTGTCACATATAATATCAAGTAAATATGCCAATGGTTAATTACAGTCTGTTGTATGCACGTCAAATCGTTGGACTCCGAAAGCAAAAAAAAAATTGTAAATGGATATCCCTATATGTTTTGACTGATATTACAATAATAATAAGATGAAAATGTTCAATAGTGAAATCATGATTGTACTTGGCAGGGGAGCATTATCAACGTCACAATTCTGCCTTTTGTGTATTGATGAAAGTAGATGTGCCTATGCTCCACTTTGTTAAACACGATTTTTTATTTCATTTCTTTATACCTGTTGGTACAATTGGTGATATTAAATCTACAACCCATATTTTAGTTTGTATAAAACAGATCAAATTTTCGGCATGGACTGAAATAGGACAGACATATTGTTCCTTCCCCTTCTTTGTTATGTAAATACTATACTATTTTCTAGGTATATATGAATGTAGAAAAAATAGGTTTTTTGTTGGAACATTATATAATGTAAATATTATAATGATGCTCAAAGTGTGGCCAATGTGGATGAAACACCATTATAGACGCATGGCTGCATCAGAACAGCATAACATGAGTAAATTAAAAAACCTTGACTTTGATTTTGTATTGGTATAAAGAAGTAATATAGTTGATAACATATATTTCCCTATTTATTTCATTGTAGGCTATTTGTATTTCCTATTATGTCAAATGGGTTGCTGTGGTCGAATAGTGAACAGTATACAGAACTCTTTACACAACTTGATGTAAAGTAGGCGAACAAAATTAGTTACCTCCATATTGGTACACAAACTACTGGAGTGCCATCATTTTTGCCAAGTGACATTATCAGCTCTTCGTTGACGTCTTGCGTTAGTGTCTGCGGAGGTTCGTCCATGGAATACACAAGAATTGATCGCCATCGGTTTTTGTTTTCCAACTGTATATTCTGCCGATACTTAACTTTACATAAATCTGAGAATTTTGAAGAGTCGGTTATTTAAATCTTGACAATTAACGTTTGAAATGATCAGGGGTGATAGAAGGGCGCGATAGATATCTGCTCGCGTAAAGTTGATATTTTTAGCTGTGATTGTATTTGATTGTGTACAGATATCTCTAATTGTAGCCCAATGCAATATCATTAACATTCACATGAAGGCTTTAGACTGCAGAATATAAACATGTTGCTTAAAGATCGAGTTTTCGAGGTCAACAAACTGCAAGAATATGTACTAAGACATTGAGAAACACTACTCTTTTCATTCGATGAATGTGCAAACATAACATTATAAATCCTCGTAAACGTTCGGAACATCACGTAGGTCTTCAATTACAGTTTGCGTCATCGTCATGTACTTTCGTAAACATGATTAGCACAGTAAGTCTTCTTGTATGAAAGAATAAGTAGGCCTAACACATTCATTGAAGGTCTAGGTATCCACAACAGGTAAAATTTTATCAAAGAGACGTTGAAGTCTAGTTAAAATCTTTATATTTTGATTTGGATTGAGTTCTAAGATTTTTATTGCAAACTGTAAACTGCTTCAATGCGTTAAAAGTTTCACCAAATTGAACATGGTGGTTTTTTGTGCCTCCAGCTATTGGCGATAATATTACAGTATTACGATTTAAATGCAGGGAAGATGTATAAAAAACTGTTATTATTGCTTTCTGTGCTTGATAGTTTTCATAGGACATACAAATACTCTTTCTAGTACAGCTCAGATATCAGGTCAATGTAAGTTTTACGAATTATCTGAGTGTCAAAGGGACCTATAATTGGAAGAAATGTAAACGATGTTTCTTGAAGAAAGTCAAAAGACGCAAATCAGGATTTTAGTTTGTTTATGTATTATAAAAACGAAAAATAAAAATGAAATGTTTGAAAAATTCAATATTAGTTGTTATTAATACTTTTTGATCTAAGATTCTAGAAGGCAAGTCGGACGCTCAATATAGCAGCATTTAAAATATTTAAATGTCTTCTCTTATCCAGTAAAAGAGAAAAGTTAATTTATTTGCCTATCGATGATAAAAATAAAACAAAATATTTGTAGCATCTGCTAATGGAAATCAAATATGTGATACATTTTGGTTACATTTTTAACTGTGTGAAAACCAATGTTGGTGGTTGGCTATGGGATATTGAATTTATTGGATGACAACTTTGGCAACATGGCAAAACACCACACATTATATTTTTTTCACAAGGCATTTAAAATTCAGCGAAAAAAAAATACGAACACAGAAATGAAATAGAGTTGTGAATTAAATGGAAGCAACTGAAATATTTCCACGAGTGTTTCACAGCCTCGTTACTGAGTATATTAACTGAATCGTTTACTTGTAGAAAGTGATTATGAGAGCAATTGTGTTATGTATATTGTTTGGGTTTGTTCACGCGAATGATCATGGTACTGGGTTGACCCCTCCGTACACATGCACTACAACTGTTTGTAAGCCTGGTCAACCCTCAGTTGACAATGAAGGAGAAGCCATGAACCAGGGAAGACCAGGAAAAAGAGGTCCATCGGGGATGAAAGGCGACAAGGGAGACCCGTGTCAATGCGATATAGCTGATACAAATGCAATGGCAGAGTTACGGGCAGAATGGGAAGCCATAAAAGAAAAGTTCATAATATTGGAGGGAAGATTGAGAACACTGGAAGGTACATAGAGAATAAAATTACCTTCAGTACTAACCTCGATTAGCTTGAGGGTCTTGGATATTGCTCACAGCATAGCCACAATAATTTATATGGGAATAGGCTGCGCTAAACAATAATTAATTTTGAAAAGCAATAATTGAAGCTCTCGCTATTTTAATTCCAGAATCTTTTTTTATCTGAACTATACCCCGAAGGTTTTTTATTTTCAGGAATTTTGTTATCATTCATCTGCTACACCATGTCCTACCAGCACAAATAAAGTATATAACGAGTACGGACTGTTTTGTCCAAAATGTAATATCACACAGCCTACATTTTTGTCATAGATGCTGTAACCGATCTACCGGAAAATTGCTCGTCTTACATGGAGATGTCACATCAATCATCTATCTACGAAGTTGTGCCAATTTATCCGCTCAAATTCATTGGTGAATTGACATCGTGGATGACAAACTGCAAGAAAGCAATGGCTGAAAAAACTGATGGATGGGTGGCAAGTTGATTTTTAAAATACACTTTTGAAAACAGAAAAATATTGTCCCATATAATTCACGGATTACTTCAAAACATATGTATATATAATAAAAATGTATAATAAAAATTGAATCACTTGATTTGTTGAAAAGTCAAAAAATAAACATGAATGGTGCAATCAAAATTATCAAAGAGTTTTTGTGTAAAAATTTCAATTCTAACATTTAGTTTGAGGAAGAAGTAATATTGAATTTATACTTTCTGTTATTCGATAAATTCGTTTATGTTTAATTCTTACATTTATATGTATTTACATTGATTGAAATGAACTTTGAAAATTTAATTTCCCTTAGACTGTTCAAAGAAGAGTGGATGGGGGTACAGATTTTTATAGAAACTGGGAAAGCTATGTCAGAGGGTTCGGGGATCGAAATGGAGAGTTTTGGATAGGTGAGATGAAAAATATTTGGTTTATTATTGTAATTTAGGCTTTTATGGAATTTCTTCTGAAATTGGGATACGTTTTGTAAGTTGAATAAAAGTGATATCTGCCTTCAAGATAGAAGGCCAGGACTGTACCATTAAATATGCCCAATGAAAGTCCTATTTCATCTTTAAGTGGTGTAATTACATTTCAAATAAATGTCTCTGTCCATTTTTCAAGGTCTCCGTCGACTTCATCGCATGACGTCCGACAGGAAGTGTAAACTGAGAATTGATTTTAGAGATTGGGACAAGTCAACGAAATACGCTGAATATACGTAAGTTTATATCTTAGTACAAATTATTGACTACGCAACACTCCACGATGTGTAATATTTGAACTGTTTTGCATCTTCAGTCAGGCAAAATAATTTTTTGCTTTATTTGAGAAATTCTTTCAAGCGTATGATGTATTATGTGGTTACAAATTCTTCAGTATTAGCTCTTTATAGCATAAATGCATATCATAAATGTGTCCATAAATGTATAGAAGGTGCCAATCTGAATGGCGATTGGGATGACATATCAACTTCTACTAACGGAAATTGCGTTTGATTCAGATGATAATAAACAAACTATATCTGATTTCAGTACATTTCAAGTCGACGATGAAGCTTCAGATTTCAGATTGACTGTGTCTGGCTATTCTGGTAATATACAGGATAGTATGGCTCATCACAACAATCGAAGATTTTCCACATTTGACCGGGATAATGACGTTCATCCCACAATTGCATGCGCAGTGAGATATAAAGGTGCTTGGTGGCACGGTAATTGCCACGATTCGAATTTAAACGGTCAATATTTTAAAACCAAAACGAATAACAATGTAGGAGTTTGGTGGGATGGATTCTCATACTCCTTACCTTACGTTGAAATGAAACTTCTCTGTATTTGATTTTTTATAAAGTCCATTTTTTTGCGTAGTAAATGTATTGATTACACGAATTTAAATATTGAGCTTATTCATATTTTATTTTACAAGATATATTCGCAGGGGACGTTTGTATTTTAATGTTGATTCTGGTGTTGAGCACAGGAACTATTCTCTCATTAAATTACTTTCTGCAGTGAAATTCTGCCATATTCTGAAATATGCCACACTTATTATTTCTTAGATTTATTAAGACATACAATTAGTATTCATAACCGTGTTGAGTTCAGCGCGAATATAGCTTACGTTTGACTTGAAGATAAGGAAAACTTATCGACGAGTCGTCTGTTATGGCACAAAATATAGTACTGACTTTGCTAAAATCGCTTCCATATCTTGGGATTTTATTGACAATGATTGTATATTATATAGCAGGAATAGCCAACATTTTTTTGACTTCGATCGACTAAAATCTTCAAAATACCTCGCGATTGACTGATTGTTAATAAATAAGGTCATACACAGAAACGAATGAGTACTTAATATACAGATAACTGCACACACGCATTCGCAAAATTCCACCGACGCCAATAAGCTCGACTATGTGGACTCTTGCAGAAATCGTCACAAAACTTTGTATTTTTTATGTTCCATTAAATTTGTTAATTTGATTATGTAATTGTACCAAGTGTAAATGTTTCATCATTCATTCAAGTTTCAGTTCAAATGATCCAGTTCAGATCTAAGGCCTGCCTAATCTTTAGTCGTAAGCAGGTGCGCACCTAGGATTTTCAAAAGGGAGGGGTTTCAAATTCAGAATTTCCGATGCAAGGCTTCCGAAACAGTCGCCGCGATTACGTGCTACCGAATGCTTGTCTCGCGCTTGTACTGCTTATCGCACATTTAAGGGCTTGTCTTTCTTTTCGGATATAGAAAGAGCCGACTTTTTCGGCGTATAAGAATTTTTTTGCCAGGTAAAATATTCAATTCATGAGATCGAGAATTTAAAATGTCTTTCTATAATAATTTAATTGTGTTTAACAAAACTAGGGGTTGCGTCAACTTACGTCCGCCATGGTCGTTAGAAAAATCCCAAGATCTGCTAAAAAATCGCGGAAGGTACAATAAAAATACCCATAAAGTATATTAGTTTAAGAATGCACATTCATAGCCTAGGTATCCCCGTGGATCGCAAAAACGTCACTGGTTTAAAGAGCCGACTTTTTCAAGGGATAAAGATCTTATTTTGCGCAAAATAATCAATCCATTCGGGCATATTCAAAATGTTTTGCTTTATTAATTTAGATGTGTTCATTTTAACATGAGGTTGCTCTGAAATATTACTGCAATCTGCGGACATAAAATGCATGCGGAAGTACCCCGTAATACTGTGTTCCGCGATCCCGTGAACTCGACAAATCTGAGCTGTCCTTGCAGACCTGGCTTCACTCCATTTTAAAGATATTACCGTTAGAAAAATCTATTCCGCAGAGTAAAATTTATTTTACCACAATAAAATATTGATTGAATTTACTTTTCAGTTATATATCAAGTCGCGTCAGGCCCGTCGGTAATTTTAGAGGTACGTTGCGCTAACAATGTACTGTTTCAATTGTCTGGGTTGGCCAGACTCATTTACCGTACGTGTATGACGTATTGCGCATGTACAGTAATGTATTCTTTCTGTTTTAAAACACATAACAGGCGCTGCATGAATCTGTTCCAAGGTAATTTTGGGGGTATATGCTATTAAATTCACTCAACATCAGGCGCGATCGACAACTCGAGACGTGGCGATCGACCGGCCGATCGCGATCGACGTGTTGGCCACTCCTGTTATATAGCTTGGGTTAATTTGTATAGTCTTTGTTGAGAAAGTGTACCTATACGACTTCTATCTTTTCTATCATAGTGAATCTGGGAACCCTCGATTTAAAACCTAGGACCAGTACGTGCTCTGTGACATTTGTCTCTATTGTTGGTTCCACGTATTACCTTTGTGAGTTACACCCCAATCAGTCAGGCGTAAAAAGGGAACTATTTCATGACTTGCTATTTGATATGATACTTTGCGGCGACGTCTCGGTTTTTTATGTGAAGTTCTTGCCGAACAAGGCATTATAGTTTAGATAAGATTGCACTCGAACCCAGACAGTTACTTTGGTTACTTAATTAGTTCGAGTAAGCATATTGAGCAGTAGGCTATACTACATGTTACTTTTGGAGGAGGAACTTGAGCCTTACAAGGCGACAGACCCATCTATAGTCCAAATAAGCACAATCGTGTTGTGCGTATTGCGTCATAAAATAAACATATTCAGTCAGTGATTCACAGCCAATGTAAAGAAAACTGATAAAAAGCGAATGAAAGTATAAGATTGTTTCGATGAGAATGGACAGCACTAGTGATTTCGAATTTGCCTTCAAGCTAAGAATATAATGAGAACTGCAGATGGAAGTGAATGATTCTGGAATGGTCATAGACACATAAAATAAACTTTCGATTTTGTTTACGATTATTTTGAACATACAGGCAATGTTAAATCTGTACTTGGACAAGGTCGATAAGTGACAGATAACCCAGCCGTGTAAAGCACTAATTTTACTAGAATATAAGGTTTTTGTCGAGTGGAAATGATATAACGGACAAGGCAGGACGTACAATTGCGCAAGTCAAGGCTCTTAGAAAAAAGTTATGACGTAAGAGATCTTTGACAATAGTGTAGTTGCCACGAATGTAAATGGGTGCGCAACCCAGTTGTCAATACCCCAGCAAAATACACTTAACTAATATGTTTAGATATTAGAATATGAAGTACCTAATATTTTGTTGTTTTGGGGCAATTATCTTACATGATGTCTTCTCTGAAACAACGAACTGCAAGTTACGGGATTACGACAATAAACCTGTAAGTATATTTCAGACAACTCGTAGTTGATGGTTTTATCATTCTTTAAGTTGGTAACTTGAATTTAGTATACCGTTTAATTAAACAGCTAAGGCTGTGAGCCAAGATCTCCAACATGTTGTTCCTATATATAGTATATTTAAGTGTCATTGAATTGCATTGAGAAATGTATGTGAATGAATAAATTGGTGTTTGTGTTACCTGAAACGAAGTATGCATGCTGGAAGCGACCTTATTACTGGGAAATTCGCTCAACTAAACAGAGTTAAAAGACACTTACATTTATTTTTTTAAAATCTCTATTAAGTTCTACGATGCTCAATATTCCACACAAAATTTGCTATTTTTTACGAATATTGCACCTTAAAGCCATGCCATTCAACACGCTTCAGTCCCTGGTATTTTGCGACGGTGGGATTTATTGGACACACAGTATGCCTATGGATCGTTTTGCTATTATGTTTTTGTTCTTGTTGGTATTTTCTTCTTATCTTAATGCTGATTAGAAAGTTTGAATGATCAGATAACGAAATTATTTCGCCATTGTTATGCGCTCTCTCGATATGTACACTTTTTTCCACAAGCAAAATTTTATTGACATTTGTATTTTTCACGCTGATGCTACAATTTAAATTATTTTATTTTAACACAGGCTCTAGTTACTAGAGTCTAGTAGAAATAAAATTAGGAATCGACTAATTTTTTGAATTGAAATTGTCGAATATTAACTTTTCTTTTATATGAGTATCGCAAAAATTTCTATAAAGATTCTAAAAATATGAGAAGTTTCTGTTTCAATTTATAGTGGTTCCACAAATACAGGAATGCGTTTTAATAATAAATTTTGCTTTAGGGATCTGCGTGCGACTGCGGTGAAAATACTGCTCAATCAATATGTTACGTATCTAAAGTAAGGTTTCAGAATGGAAGTTGTGGATCCTGTCCATCGGGAAATTATTTTGACTATTCCATCTATGATTGTCAAGAATGTCCGAGACCGAATCATAACTGCGAGGAAAATGTATATCGAGACTGTAGGTTCGTATACATGGCTGTTTATTTATGTTCTGCTATATTATGTTATTTACTTCTAATCATAAACATTAAATACTTATACTTGTGTACTTGTAACTAAGACTACTGCTGGAAGTGTTCCTATGCTCAGTTCAAACTAATTTTCAAATTCGATATCAGAAAATTCTGGATCAATTATCTCATAATGATTTTAGACATATGTTAAAACAAGATAGCATTGCAGGGTGACCCAACAAAACAAATACCATAATTTTCTTTGCATTGGGGACAGACTTGCATCCGTCGCGCATAATTGTCAATCATTCACTTAGTTTTCTTCTGGAGCGAACTTTCTGCTGTCAGAACATGTCAATAGAAAAAATAATGTTTACTGAGCCACACAACTTCTGGAGCAAGTCTCACAGAGACCGTTACACTCATTGAAGTGTACAACATGGATAGCCAGTTCCAAGCTTGGAATAATCGGTCGGTGTTGGTTTGAAGACAAAAACTAGGCGAGAAGATCCCAGGGGGACGCGAGAGGTCATAACATGTCCATTTGAAATTCCACGCAACTTTCATTCTTGTTTCTTTTTATGACGTAATATTGTGTTGTTTATACACATGCACTATGCACAATAACCCCGTTTGTCAATGCCACAATAAACTACGTGTCACGAAATAGTATCAACATGCGTGATAAAACGCGTTAAAAATGAATATTGTATTTGGTGCGATCTCTCATACTGGTATTCAAGTATGGTTGTTAACATTGCCTCGTTTTCGTAATTTTGAATTTTTTTGTCAGTTTTCAGTTGTGTTTTCAAAAAATGGTTGTAAATCAAATAACTCTAATTGTCAATATGTCTTTGGATGACCCTTAGTTTAGTCGCAATAATTATGAATTGATAGCACAAGCACTGCGATCGACTAGCCTAAAATTATCTCTCAGTACCTGTAAGCGGAACGTGGTTTAATGTTTCGAACAAAAATGATAGTTTTGAAAACGTAAGTAATTTTAAGCGCTGACTCCCAGAACATTCTCAAATAAAACGTCTAAAATTTTGTCATTGCAAAGTGAAGGGTCGGAAAAACGTCCACATGCATAATTAATGTTCGAATATGAACTGTTTTCTTTATGCTGAAAATGTACATAAATTCATTTGCACTTCTCCATTTTGTAAACTGTATTTTCAACCTGGTGGTTGTAAGCATGTTAGAGGGTATGGGTATTGAATTTTGAAGACGTTAGGAAAGCCAAGAAGTCTGTAATCGTTGTGTATTTTCAACGCGCAGTTGATGGATTTTCGCATAGCTCAATAGTGATGAAGTAAACAATCGATTGAGATTTTATGTGTGTTATGTTAACGTTTAAGCAGAAAATACATCAAAGCACAAAAAGCATACGTTTATTGCGTTTAGTTTTAGCTAAAATTTAGTTTGACTTCACCAGGTATCGCAAATTGTGCGCAAATAGGAAAATGCATGAAGACGATTATAAAAAGTATGGCCTTATACATATGACAGAGAATAGCGAAGTTGTACACCGATCCGTTTTATGTCTAAAAAAAATCAACTAGCGAAGTTGCAAAGTTTGTAAGATTTTTTAAAGGGAGACACGGCCTAAAAAAAACCACTGTAATCTAGAGGGAACATGAATTTATTTATGTATTTATTTATTTTTGTTGAAATAATAATTACAAAGTAATATGAATGTGACTAAAGTAAAGTAAGAATTGTTTAATTAAAATTTTTTATTTTGCTTGATTAAATTTCATTCAGGCCATGTGAAAAAAACAAATTTACGACTATCACAACAAAGTCTACCACAGCATCAGCATCAACACCATCTATATCATCTACTAGTTCATACACATCCACAAAAACTTCAAGCACAAAATCGGTCGCATCAACCACCACCTCTCCGCAAAGTAATCAAGTGAAATCTACAACTGAACAAGTTCAGACTATTGAACATCTAACAACCACATCATCTGCACCTTATTCGGACCACAATATACAATTAACGAATTTAGATATTTTATTTATTAGTATTGCTGTGGTAGTGATAGTAGGATAGTATTCTATATGCATATAAAGACTATCTTTGGGTTTTGTGTTTAAATAAACGTGAAAATTCTGAACGACAAAAGCAATTCAACTTGGCATAGCCGAAAGTATATAAAATGAATTGAAATGTGTTCATACTTTATTACTGATGAAATATATGGAATTTTTTTTATCATTTTTAAAAATTCATTACTTGCATCGTTTTTTTGTAAACTTACAGGCAATGTGTATAATTATGTACTATTTTTGAAAGTGATGTAATGGTTGTGAGATGGTACATGTGGTCAATTATGCAAATATTCATTGTTCAAAATTGAATATACATTTTTACGAATAAAAAGAAGAAATGATTTCTCAAGTGAAAACGATGCTTCTGAAGAGATTTAAGATATTTGCACTCAAAATTAACAGAAAACTTTTCTGATTGATGGGTCTGAAATGTTTTTATGTTCAATATATAATTACATTATTGTCATCACTGGTTAGTCAAACTCACCATATGAACGAGCACTTGAATCAAGCGGCAGTAGGCCATCTGGTAGTTAACAAATATAATTATAGCTTGGGAATTCACATGAGAAATTTCAAGAAATGATCAATACTATTAAACTAATAAGAGTATTCAAAGCTTTGCTCTTACTACAGAGTTTCGGATAAATATTTTTGTTTGTGTTTGGCATGGCTTGCAGGAAGGTGTGGTTGAGTACCTTTCAACTAAGACCGCATGGTGCATACCACTGAGAACTATTGAGAAGATTCAAAAAAAAAATACAGTATGGCAGTGTTTCAATCGAGAGGATTTGAAAAAAATATTAAATAAAGCATTTTAAACTCATATTTATTTTCTTTATATGGCAATTTCGGCAGCCTTCTTGTTTTACATTAAATTAACCCATGCCTATGAAACTTCTTGCTATTTAGTCGTTATGAATTAAAACTGAAGGAAATTCCTGAGCCAAAAAAACGTCTGCAAGTCTCCAGTCTGTAAATTTCTGATGATTTGGGATAACAATATTATAATTAAAAAATATTTGCGACGATTCAAGGCTCCCATTTTAACCGCAATGCCTTATCGTGGCTAAGGAATCGCACGTTGGATACACGCTTATAATTAGTAATAGATAACTACTGGTGTACAATCAAATGATTAACTTTACTCATAGTCATAATTAAGTGAAATTTTCCCATTTTATGTCATCACTTTTCATATAGTAATTAATATAATTCTGTTTTTAACACAATTAAGTCCTTAACTTTAACTCCAAGGTAACACTTATCAAAGATAAAATGGGTGAATATAATTAGGACATATCCGGCTAAAAGGTACTTTATAGATGCATATCATGGCACGTGGAGAGTTGACAAGACAGTCGTATTTGATATTTAAGTGGGGCACGTGTGTCTTTGAGGTCAGGTTCAATAATTAATGTTCGACGTACTCAGGGATGTAGTGAAAATTATGTTAGTAGATTATAGTATAGGGCTTGTTGGTTGTTCGTTAATAATCTAGTTGTACTATAGAAATTGATTCACATGCTTTTTATTTTATTAGTACGTTTTTGGAAGCAACAATATGATGTCTCGCGTGATAACGAAAATATTAGTAACTGCCACTTGCATTTTGGTGGCCTGTGATGCTGAATATATGCAAACGAGTTCTCAATGCAGCGTTGGTGAGTATTACATATTTTTATATAAGTACCGGAATTATTCATCTTTATAGGGGTTTGGTGATGGGGTTGCAAGCAATCAATGAGGTAAAGTATAGCGCAAGAAAATTTTATAGAATTAATTATTATGACTTGAATTGAAAATCGAAAATTTCAGAAAACGCGAAAACTTTAAATTTGAAAATTGTGGTTCTTTTATCATGTATTTTCATACCTTTGCTCTTAGAATAGAGCATGTTATGAATGAAAAGCAGGGAATTGTTCCTATTTCACTTGAACATAGTTGAACATAGTCTATCTAATTTAATGAACACTGAGGCACTGAACATGACGCACAAGCCTGAGATTTCAAATCAACACCGCCAACATATAGTTAGTCACAAGACGGAAAATTTATCGATCGGCAATAGATTTGAGAAATTACGACATACGTGTTTATTGGAAAAATTTATCTCGTATGAAGATTGTCGCTAATGTATAGCAAAGATTGATTTTGAAGCCATGGTTTTTGGATTTCTGTTACGCCTCGCAGCTTTGTGAAGTTTCGTACTATTTTTATCAAGACCTGGCTATAAAAAAACAGATGGTAACTATTTTGTGGTTTTAGACTAAGTATCATTCTTGTTATATAATGTAATATAATATAATATAAAAAGTAATATACTTTATTTTTGTACTGTTAGTTTAGTTTTATACACCATAGTAAGAGTGAAAAAAATTAAAAATTATCATTTTTTTCCAGATCTTGATTTTTCCACAAAACCGTGCTTTCGATTAATTGACATTGGGAAGTTTACTTGCGATTTTTTGTACAGATGTTGCTGGAACCCTATTGAAAACAAATGTATTCAAAAAGAAGGTAATAAGAATATCTAATGAGTAAATAAGAAAACAATGTCTAAAATCTTAGAGTTATTTTAGGGGACTTGCAATGCCAAAGGATATTGGTTTAAACTGTTTTAACAATTGCACATTTAGACTTCACCCATTCATCAAATCATCAGTTTAGTCGGAGAATAGGAAACAAGGTAGGAGTCGAACCGGAACTTGAGTTTAAAATGGAGGAATATCTAACAACTGAAACAACTACCAATGTAGTACCGAGTGGTCCTTTTTCGACAGAGTATAAAAAAAATGAATATGGCGTGCATAACACGAATCAAAATCAGCTAACGCCCACTGTAACATACGATGCAACTACGACAAAGAAATCTTCTCATAATGAACGATCGATTAAACAAGATATCTTAGAAGGCAGCGGCGAGAGGAGTAATACTATCGAAGGTAAATCACCAATGCTTCACGAAAACGAGGACTTGGAACTACGCAGTCTAGTAATCGACGAAACTAGTATATTTTTAACTCATATTTACGAGGCTGAGTTAGTTGATGATTTTGTCGAAGAATACGGATCTGCTATGGATAACGAAACGGGAATAACAGAAGAAAGTTTTATTAACCAAGAAACGCAGGTGACGCAGAATGAGGAGGAAATAATTGACGTCGATTCTCTCGATGAAGTTTCACAACCAGATGCTGATAGAGAGCAAAATATGTCGAATAAAGAACGAAGACTTGCGGAGAGACAGCGACGACGGGAGCAAAGGCGGATAGAAAGGGAAGAAAGAAGACGTAATCGCATAAAAAAGAAAGGATTAAGTTCAACTACAAGAAAATAGTTTTATTACGGAATGGCAAATAAACTTAAGTAGTGGTACAAGTAGAAAGGGAGTAGTAATTCGTTGAGCTCGTCTCTGTATTGAAGCAAACGACTAAACAAAGGCAATGTACAGATAACACGAGCAAAAACTATGTAAAATTGTAAAGTTATAAATGGCCAAAACATCTTTAACGCGAAACATAAAAACAGTATGTGTGTACTTATTCGCTGTGAAATTATTAATGCATAATGAAATACACTGAATTGAACAATCTCCATCTGTTTTAGGTTAGTGACATGTGCAATTCAATATAAAAATGTGAGTGCGTATATTCACAGTTGTGGCGTCCTTGTTTTTATAGTTTTTAACATTATATTGTGTCGAATTTTATGGATTCGCTGCTCTATTCGTGCTAATTAATACTTGGACCCGAATAAGGATGGCAGGAATTTCATTTTTCATGGCGGCGGTGTCTTCTTTTGAACAAATTGCTTTTTATTTCACATATTTTAATTATTATACATTTTTTTCATTTAGAACATCAAATAAATATTTAATAATAAATCTTATTTTTGCGTACGTTTTTTCCCAAAATGTCAGCCTGCAATTTTGTTCTTTGACCTTGTCTTTAAAAGGATGCGACAAATTTTATCACTATTTAACATCGCGTCTCTATTAGAAAATCCGTCTGCATATATTGAATTAATCTAGATGACCTTATAAAAAAACATGTAGTATTACCAACATTTTCTTAGTAAATAAAACATGCTGAGACAAGAATTCAAGTTTGAATGGTAAACTAACATAGAATTTGAATATTCGACGTTCAATGGTATTTAACAGCTATGGTATACTCTCACGTTTCCGCTGAAATAGAAATTCACTTATCAAAAATTGTTTCCGTGATTGATATCTGTATCGTGTTTTAGGGTGAGGTTTCGGTGACATTAAGGTATGATCACGCGAGACGTTTGTCACAATATTATACGTTTGGGGTTTACTTACGTTAAGGAATTGGCTATAGAACGGTCTCTCTTCACATCACATAAATAGGACAGGTTTGCTGTATATTGTCAAATCAAATTATTATTTTTCTTCCCTGGTCAAAGTTTTATCACATTAGTAGGTTAATTGTCTGTGAAACGGAAAGTATTTTTATTTAGTATATATAATGTGTTCACTGTTCAGATATGTTTCCTTTGCTCAAAATAGAAGTTTCGCAAAAGAATTGCGAAACAACCTATTTTTAAATAAATTTATGGAAATGTACTGTGACGTATTGAGCGATATCTTGTCGGTGCTTGATTGTTTATCAAAATATCTGAAATCTCTTTTGCCTGCTGATGTCACAACCGCAACGACACGGACGTGATAGGTTAAATACTATTGTAGTGGTTTAGCGGAAAAGAAATTATTGGATATGGAATCAGACTACCAAATCCTGTATAAGCCATCAAAAACATGATTGTGGTTAGGAAATACTAATCACGTTTTGTATTTGGCAATATATCATACTGAAAACTCACCTTGAATAGATAAAGTAACGTCCATCTCACCGTGAATATGTAAGGTAAAGTACAACTCACCGTGAATAGGTGAAGTAAAATACAACTCACCGTGAATAGGTGAAATAAAATACACCTATTTATACGCTTTTACGACATAAAAAGGATTACTAAGTATTAGAAAATCAGCAGGACTTACTTGTGTTGACATTTCACTGGAGAGATTAGGTCTATGTTATAGTTATATTAATTTTAAACCTAAGCAGAAGTTACAATTGCTGACACATACTATTTTCAATATTTGAATGGCACAAACATTGTCAAAGTGAATAATAAATATCCTGGTCATGGAAGGATTTTTTTCCATCTGATAATGATAGCAAGATGTTTTACACAACAAAATAATGAGTTGTCGCAAAATAGACTGCTAGTAATATATACGCATATTCAACTTCTAAAAAATGTCTCATTAAGATTATCATTACCTGATAATAATAACACATGTCATTAATATTGGATTCGATTTTGCAAAAAAAAAAAAAAAAATTATTAATATTTATTTCTGGTGCCCATATTTGAACATCTTTTGAAAATCTCACTTACCCGACACCAGTAACCCAAGATTTAATATTGCATGAAAATAGATGCTAAGAAAACTAGCGAAATATTTTCAGTTTTAAAGATTCGATGGAAGACTTTAGCGATATTAATTTAAATTTTGGTCGAGTGATGGTTACCTAAATATGTGGATTACCGGTACATGTTATAAAATGCCGGCAATATCTAATCTAACATTAATTATTTCGTTGTAACACACGGGGCATTTCCCAGTTTATAGTGTAACATGATTTGTATGTCGACATGTGTGCGTAGGCAGAATATCCTTGGTCGCTCAAATACTAATGCGACGTCTAGCGGCTGTATCGTTTCTCACTACAAAACAACAGTTGTGTGTGGAATTAAGTTTAAGGTGAAAAGTACTGCACAGCATGCGTACTTTACTCATTATTAAATTAAATGATTCAATTAGAATGCCTCAACTATTGGACGTGCTGTGTATATAGTCGATGCACACAAAAAAGTGTTTTATATTGTTCAATTCTCTCACTAGCAACACTAGAGAGCAATATATTACAGTGTTTTTTCGATATCATACGCTGTGGCACATATCGAATGTAACTTAATTTTACTGCTAGTACTTTTTACAAACACTGGGTTGTTGTTTAAACCTAGAGGAGTAAACAAAGACAAACCATGTCATGTTTGAGGTATTTAAACTCATAAAAAATGCGCATGACACATAACATGAGATGGTAAAACAGTGTGTTATCGAAAATATGTAGTTCCCGCTTCTTCTCTATATTTGTTTCATTATTGAAATCATGTGATTCTGTGATTCTTTCAATCAACAAAAATCCTCAGAAGAAAAACAATAGTTTATTTTCTCGACTTAAAATTTATTAAAACTGTTGATGTTTTTTTTTTTGGTTAGCGATTTTTTCACTTTTTATTTTGTAACAAATTACATTCCACAGAATGACTAAATCGGAAATTTTACGCTTTGCAATAAAAAAAAAACGCGAGCGGCGCAAACATTTATATTTTCAATCAGTTCTAGTTTATAGAAAAAAATATTTGGTGCTTGGGAATTTTGATGACTTTGAATATGTAAGTTTGTTCGTGAGCTATCAGAACAACAACTCAGGAAGTTTTTGTAACACAATATCACGTAATTTTTATCACGTAATCTACACGTGTCTACACGGGCGTATTTGATCAGGGCAAAAAAGTGAACCCAGTTCGTTGGGGTTTACACAAAAATCACAACATTTTTATCGTACACGATGAAGCACTTTCATGACGTGCACTTCCACGCTGAAACATGAAGGTCATATATAGTTTTACAAAACTTGTGGGTTTTTTGTTTCACATTATTGCATTTTTGATGCCTTGCATTTAAGGATCTCTAATATCATGAACAAAAAAGTAAACATGACAACATTATATTATTTTAATCACTTGGTTTATAAGTTCAAAATATTATTAGCTATAATAGTTCACCATACATCACAAAGAATTACAATAAATAAATGCTGAATCAGCATTTCTTGGTGAAGTTCTATACTTAGCCTGACCTAAGTTTCATTTCCATGTATAAGTCTTTGCTTTCATTTATGTAACGATTGATATTTTTTAATATAATAATATATCTTGGAGTTGTGTAGTACGCTTGTGTTCGCATATTCTTATAATATTACATTATGTAATGTATTTGTTGTTTGTTGATGAACATATGCGATAAAACAAGATTCGGAGAATTTCGCTTCCGTATATAAATTTACAGTAATTAAACATACATAGCGCTGAGTATCAAACGAAGTCAAAAGGGTAAATGAGTCACAACCACACATCTTGAGATTAAAAAAAGTACAGAGCTTGCTTTTGATTATATTATCTGAGATATAACTTTATTGCTAATTCTTGCAGTCTTGTTTATTTTGGGTTTTATTATCTGAATCGGACATCTGTGCAATCAGTCAAGTGACGCGTACTTGATAAGTTTTGAAATACCTTAGTACGTAGAATACGATTTTTTTCTATGTCTCACCACTGCAATAAAATGAAATAAATATCCTCATAAAGTCCGACTCAAGTTTGATAACAATCATTGAAATAGCCCACAAATTTCTCAGTTCTATCCAGATAAGAAAAATGGCCGCTTCAAATTATAAACCGATTTATGTTGCACGAGTTGGGGAAATTTAGAAATGAAAAACAACTCTTCATTTTCCAATAATAAAACGTCAAATCAGATATATTTACCATAAAATCACGCAACTTCTAAAATGGGCATCTCGTATACGTTGACTAGACGGGAAACTAGACAAATTTTTCCTTTTTTTCTTGAAATTGGTATCAACTTTTGTTAGAAATATTCCATACCAACGCCCCGAGTTGAATTCTAATCACGCAGCTATTAAGACAAAGTAGCCTTCTTAGTTTCAAAGAATCCAGAATCATTAACGCAACTCATCAAACTAGAGTAGCGAATTTACTGTATCATCCACTCATATAACTGTTGACATATACGAATCACTCTAAATTGATCTCAGTTCATCTCAATACATATAGCAATGTATGTTATTCAAAATGGAATAGATTACCCATGGTACTTGATAGATCGATTTGAAGGTAAATTAATGTGAATCACGTGACAAGATCAAAATCGTCTGCTAATATTTAATAATAATAGATAGTGGGGTAATTAAATCAGTCTTGTGTGTAGAGTGCGAACAGTTTTCATATAAATGAATTTGTAATAAAAACAAAGTGGATACTGTTGAAGTAACCAACTTGCCTGGAGCACTGCAGCGTTTTAAACTTGCTATCTGTACAACTGGTTTAACGAGAAAATTGTGAAAACGAGTGTTTAATAAACTGCCGTATGAAGTTTTGCATGTGTTGTATACTAAACACAAAACACATGATAACACCATTGTATATTTTGTACGCTAACCCATATAGCAATGTATGTTATTCAAAATGGAATAGATTACCCATGGTACTTGATCGATTGATTTGAAAGTAAATTAATGTAAACCACGTGACAGAAGCAAAATTGTCTGCTAATATTTAATAATAATAGATAGTGGCGTAATTAACCCAGTCTTGTGTGTAAAGTGATATCAGTTTTATATAAATGAATTTATAATAAAAAAATCGATACTATTGAAGTAACAAAGTCGCCTGGAGCACTGCAACGTTTTAAACTTGCTATCTATCCAACCGGTTTAACGAGAATATTGTGAAAACGAGTGTTTAATAAACTGCCGTACGAAGTTTTGCATGTGTTGTATACTAAACACAAAACATAAGATAAGATACGCTAACCTTTATCTCCATGAAATGCAAATTGAAATATTCAGATATGATATGCATAAGCATCAAAATTATCGTCAAAGATTTCCTGTGTGGCTGGGCAAGGAAACTTGACTCTCCCATTGTAAAACAATTAGACACTTCCGGAGTGGATCATTGAATATTAAAACTCAGTCCTTGTGTTCGTTGGAATCTTGGAAACGAAAACGCCTTTCTGTGCACGTAATGAACCATTGAAGAATTTTCAGTACTTCAAGACAAAAAAAAGTCGATAAATTACTATGTCCCATATTTTTACAATCACCTTTGTTCCTAGGAAATCTCAATATTCTCTTT